ACTTATGGAAAACACACGAGTAGTTGTTTATTTTTGTTTTACGTGTAGTGCGGTCCTCCTGCACTTACTATTAGAGTAGAGTTTTAACCCTTCGTACTGCAGAATGTTCTCGTTGTCGGGTTTTGCTCCTGTTTGTTCGCTACACTTATTTTTTTATTATTATTTTTTTTTTTTTTTCGTTTTCCGATATTCCGGATTATCGCCCTTATTGTTAAAATTGTTTGACGTTCTAACTCATGACGTCAACTGGCAGACTATCGCCATTGAGGAGACGACCACTGTTAAGATTGGTCGCATAAGGCATTATTTCTGTTACGTTTTTTTTGTATTCCTGATTGTTTTCAAATTTGAGCGAAGTCTGTGTCAGTACAGGCCCGGGACTGTACAGCGCAGTGGACGCTTACGTCTGGCCCCCCGGATCCATTCATTTGATTTGATATTAATTGTTTATTTGGTGCAATGTCTATTTTCTGTCTTGTCCGCAGGTTATCTTGTAGATTTTTGTTTTACGTGTAGTGCGGTCCTCCTGCACTTACTATTAGAGAATACTCTTGGAAACTTCGCTTTAAAATACACGAATAGCTGTTGTCAATAAGTATGTGTTTTTGTATGTACTGAAGCAGTTTGAAATCAAGATATATTTAAATTCGTTATAACTCAATAATATGACGTTCTATTGCTAAAGTTTATCGATTTAGCTTAACATATCAAACCAACAATGAAACTAAAATTAATAAACAAACCTCTTAATCTAAACCTTAATCTTTCAAAACAAAAGGGTATAGAACTTGATCTCGTCACTATTCGAAATAGTTTACACAATTCAATATTTATTTTTGATCTGAAAGTTAATCGAAGAAGTTTTAGGTAGTTACAGCAAGATCAAACCAATTGTGGTGACAGAGCATATTAAACACCCAAAGTTAGTAGCTGAATTCCTTTCTCAAAAGATTATTTTTCCCCATACCAGAACAAAGAGCTCAATATTGACTTTATATTAAACACTGGTTGCCGTGAAGCATGAAGATAACATTCAGCCGAGAGATTTGTTACTATCTTACATGCAGTAAATAAATACTCCCTTGGAGATTTACCGATCTTATATCCTTTAATACTGAATCCTGTGTTTCACAGAATCGTGAACAAAGCTAATTTTAATATCAATTTGATAGACAGTAGTGCTATTCTGTATCACAAGTTTCTAAACGTGAGCATTAATAAATCGTCTCCGAGACTTGTACATGCTAGGGGGATATTAATTTATTGGTTGGCGACCCGAGTAAGATATATTGACCTCCATCAGTTAATTATCAGTTATTATTTCATGAAGACGGCCTTCTTTATTGATGCCATAACTATATTTCATACAGTTTTATAGCATGTATCGTATGCAAGCATGAAAATCTCTGCCTAACGGAAACCATTAATAAGCTATTTCCAATCCTCTATTTTTCTGAAGTGCCAGTGACGATACAATAGTTAATGGACTAGACGTCTTCATGATTTCCTGTAAATTGGGCGCCTAAGTACAACAGTCGTCCATTTTGTTTGCTTGTGTCATCCCCTTTGGGATATGTCACTAATTACAAGCATCTTCTTAAATTTCAGCAAAGATAAAAGATGGCCGTGTTGCAACATATTGTTCATACTCCCGGCAGTGTTGAATCGACACTTGAAATTATTACAAGGGCTGGTTGAAAAGTTCTAAGCCTACCTATTAAAGACCTGTACAGAGTCGATGGTTTTATTTTATTTGTGTACATAGCCTCCTTCGAGGTGAACACACTTTTGCCAACGATGTTGCGAGGCCTGGATGTCGGTCAGGATGAAATTTTCTTCAGCCACCCTAAAACGTCGCTCACAGCTGACATGACGTCATCATTTTTGGAAACAGGCGAAAGTCTGACGGGGGTCAAATATGGCCAAAAAAACGGCGCAGATTGTCACGGGACGTCAGGAATCTGAAATGTTTCTGATCCGCATGTCAAGAGCTTTTGCACCCATCTTGCAGAAACGTCTGTCATTCCTAACTCGTTGGCGATAATGTGCTTAACCCTCTCATGAGAGATGCCCACAACACAACACTGACAATATGTCGAGTGGGCCGTCGATCAGCCAATACCAGGTCATGCACCCGGGTAATGTTTTCTTGAATGGTTGCTGTTGATGACCTCTCTCTGTCGCTATTACATTCCACAACCCACCTCTTTACTGTGGAAAAGAAAGGGGAATCACCCCCTAAAGCGGAGACCACGTCGGCAAGTATCTGTGTTGGGGTTAGTCATTATACACTTTCAGTTGCAGATCTTGATGACTGCCCTATTTCTGGTGATTGCAATGGGTGGATTCACAAGATGGTCTGGTACGAAAACAATAATAACACTGATTGTACTTGTTGGTGGCAAAAATTTGTTTCAACCCAATTAATCTATCCTTTCTAGGCTTAGAACTTTTCAGCTAGCGCTCGTAATGTATAACTAGTACATTTGTAATCTACTTGCCAAACCAAGGGGGTGGCGGGGGGGGGGGGGGGGGTCCTACTTTCTATTTAAATAATCGCAATGACTTTTCCGACACGGTGGTCATCAGTTGTACGAATCGTTTATCTCGGTTTTATTTACGACGCTGTAATTGATTGGCCGGTAAACCGTAATCTTACACATAAAATCCTGTTAAGTACAGCACGTTTTGTGTTGACGTTTCAAAGAATTGCGAAATAAATTGCATTGACCAGGAGGTGTATAGTATTCTGGAAAATGAACACCTCTCTATACCACAACAACACGTCGTGCTCTAATCATTGACAAATTCTATATTATTTACTGAATTTTAATCCTTCAAATTCAAGATTATATTCTCTGTAACATTTCTGAATTTCAATTTGGCGTTATTTGAGGAATTGTTAATCCCGTGTTAATCTACTACAATATTGTGAAAATTGAATGAAATGAAATGCAATGGGGTTTAACGTCCTATTGTTCTGCTCTATGGGCCTCGGCTTTTCGTCCCATCCAAACGACTAGACAGCTGTCGGTCCTGCACCACTGACAAGGGGAAGCCACGTCGGAAAATCCCGATGAACTTTCTCGGTCAATTCAGGGATCGGACACGTGACCTCCTGGCTAGCGAGCCAGCGTCCTACCCACTTAGTGTAGCACTATGCAGTGCAATGAGTCGCTGGCTAGAGGTGGCAAATACACGGGAAAACTCCCCACATCCAACGTGTGACGCATACTCTCTCTTCTTACTACATATTTTAATAGCCTAGTATTTTTAATTGTCTTCTTTGGCTTCCTTTTCACGTTGTGTATTTTCTTCTTCTTATCTTATTTGTCTTACCAGGGATAACAATGCAACAGTCCAGTTTTACATTTGTAAGTCAAGCTGGATACATATGGTTACAATGCATTATAGATTACATTAGAATACTTAAAATTAGCATCTTTCTCTGAACTCCCAACTTATGGCTAGACTCAGGTAACCGCTACATCATCATATTCCTGAAGCAATGAACCGAGAAATCCCTCTCTGTCCATTGCTGGATTGGCTTCTGATACTTGCGCTTTTGAGGGAGTTTGTCTATTCTTCCCGTTCGATCCAATCTATCCCAAGTACAGCCACATTGACAGCCCTTCGTTTAATCTGGGGTCTTCCAGTGAAAGCCTTGTTCATCTCCATACAGTATTGTTTACATTGTTTACGTGTTGATAGCCTCGTTTATCACGCAATTAGTTTTTCTGCAATATTCTGCTATGCACTGGTTAATTGTGCATAATAAAATCGTGAGTCATGACGTAACGTTATGTAAATATATTTGATCAAATTTGGAGCTTTGTTTAAAGCGTAATGACATTGTTACGTAGTTAGCTATTGGTTGTTAATCGGATTAGCTCTGCGGGGATTATGCTACATCATATGGTGTAGGAACTCAGATGGTAATCTCTCCGGAACCCAATGATGTCTAAAAATTAACTGGCTGGTTTGGGTCTTTTAACTGATTTGCTTACGTCATGACTTAAGATTCTGCAAATAATGAATTTGATTGGATGGTTTACAGTGTATGATGCAATTAGTAAATTTCCAATCACGTGTTAAACATGATGTTCTGATTCACAAACTATAACTCTTTTTATGTGTAAATCCGTAACTCATTATTTGAGTGCATTATATTTGACCTCTTTATAATGTGGGTATGATTTGACCTCTTTATAATGTGGGTATGTGAACCCAATAATTAGTTAAAGATACAATATGGTCGCAAAGACCCTAGTACTACATTAGCTACCGTTGCTCCCTTGAAAATAAATATAAATAAACCATACACATGAACGAAAGGTAAAATGTTTTCATACTTGATTTTGTATGATCTGAAAATAAAGAAAATGTATAGTGTTTATTTGACGTGTGTTCCACCTGATAATGATGATTTTATGCGAGAGTTTCCTCCTTTCAGTACTTTTTAGGCCTGAAGTGTTATCAGCATTATTAATTAGACATTAATTAACTTATCCAGACCATAATAAACTCTCGATGTCATCGCTAGCCTGTAATGTTTATTGGATTAGGTTCCGATTTGCTGTTCGACTTCCATTCATAATTTAATCATGTAATGGATAATCGAGACTATGTTTTTATCGTACCGACTTTAGTAATGATGATCGAGACTAGGGCGAAATTTCAATCGCTAAAGTCTCGGTTCAGAGTGGATCAATTTTCAGCAAGTTCCCTTTACATTATCCAGTTTTTAACCAGGGCCGGCGGAAGCAATTCTTGATTGGGGGGGGGGGGGCTTCCATCCTAGGTCCTATAGCCGTGGGTCCAGGGGCCGCAATAACCTGTAGAAAAGAGTAAAGCCCCCCCCCTACCCCCCCCCCCCCCACTCCGTCGGGTCTGTTAACTATCATAGTGCGAACTGCCATCTCCCATAATGCATCTTTAACGCATGCATTGAAATATAAGGAAATCCACCATTAGTTGTATATTTATTATATTTATTATAGGTGCCATATTTGATTATAAAGCTGATGCCGCCGCTAGATCAGGTTATCTTTACGCCATTTCTGTTTATAATGATACGTCTAAAGATGCTCTAAGTTTTGCTACAGTTTATGATGAACTCGATATAACTGATAATTTCAGAGTAGCTTCTAAAAGTAAGTACATTTATATCGATTCTTTTATTATTATTTATTATCTACTGATTTGACTACTTGCGTGGGGGATACCGCAGACTCCGAGTCCATGCTGAAAAAAGGGTAAAACACGAAATATACGTAAACTTGTATCAAAACTAAGGGTGAAATAACGTTTACAAGACTACAAGTAATGAGTCACGGTGTGCGAATACGGAGAATAATGCTCCACCAGACTAGTAGATTGTGTAATATACAAGGAAGATAGAAAAGATTTCATGAAGATAACAGCATGTCTTTCAACACTAAAGGCCTATTCTTCCTGAAAACAGGCCTTAGTATCAGATCTTCGAATTCATCCACAACCTTAAATGACCAAATGAAGTAAGACACACCAGCACCTAACACTATTCCACCAACACCATGAAATTGGTTCCAGATAGAATGATGCAATCGGATACGCAGCTGCACAGAGATCTGAGTTAAACAGGGTTATTATTTAGAATAATAATCTCATACCAGGTTATTGTGTAGAATAATTATAATAACCTCATACCAGGTTATTGTGTAGAATATAATAATCTCATTCTCACACGGGGTTATTGTGTGGAATATAATAGACCCATACCGGGTTATTATGTAGAATTATAACCAAATACTGGGTTATTATGTAGAATTATAACCAAATACCGAGTTATAATGTGTAGGATAAAGCACGAGACTGGGGTTATGCTGGGGAAAGAAAGACTAAAGAAAATAACCCGAGAAAAAGAAAAACCGAGGCCGGCAGGTCGAGGGTTTTTTCTGAAGTCTTTCTTCCCCAGCATAGCCGAAGTCGAGGACTTTATCTTGCTTATCCCAGAATTCCCGTAAGAAAAACCTTATATCATGGTTTTTTATGGAAAAAAACCTACCCTGGAAGAATAACCCGGTACAGGTTTAAAGAAAAACCTTCAGAAGAATAACCCCAAATTTCCCTGTATACTTCAGACCGCAAGTTATTCCGGTCATGGAATATACCCCAAATATCAAAGAGATTTACCGTTACAGGTTTATAAGTATAATTATAACCAAATCCTGGGTTATTATGTATAATTATAACCTCATACCGGGTTTTTATGTATAATGTGTAGGCATTAGTATTTTCAGTAAGTCTTTATTTTGTTTGATATAGAACTGCATGGAAAGCAGGTTTCGTATTTGAAACTATGTGTAATATGTAAGATTAATGGCAATCTAATGATTTCTCCCATTATGGTAATGATATGGAATGGGAATAGGCGTAATGCACCAAATTCCTCTAGAGAGCTGATAAACGGTTCTGTATTATCAACGTACAGAAATACTACTCTGGGAATGTGTCTTATTTAATTACATATTGAAGTATGATGTATATCAGTAGACATTGAATAGTGATTTATAGCTGCTATACGAGAATTATTCAACAGAATAATCTCCTTAATGAATAAGTATAGACAAATGAAATGAAATGAAATGGGGTTTTAACGTCCTACTGTCCTGCTTCGACTGGGTTAATGAAGATGGGCATACGTCATACAGTATGCTATGATGGAAATTTTGCCCGGGCAGCGTCACTATGGCTTACTCTTATATCGAATTCCAACTGCCAAGGGATCTTTTACGTGTATACACGGGACCTCGGATTTTCGTCCCATCCGACTAGACAGCTGTCCTTGTCAGGCGCTCCGTCCTGCACCACTGACGGGGAAATCCCGATGAACTTCACGGCCACTGCAGGGATTGAACATGCGACCTCCAGGAGTGCGCGCCCGCATCTCACCCACTTAGCCATCGTGGCTTCTACATTAAATAAACAGCCATTGAGCGTCAGACCATACGAATTGGATTAATGAAGAACAGCGATTTTTTATTTTGAAAAATAAACCATGAATAGTATAATATGTCAATTCAGCACTATGTTGCTTTTCGCTTGAATGCAACTACTAATAGAAGTAATCAGGTAGTGCCGATATTATAGTGTGGTCGAATCTAGTAGAACTGAATTGGTGAAATAAATTTGATTGGTTGATAGTTGCATTCGATAAAAATAATTCAAACGTGGGACAATTTATCACCATGAATTAATCATACCACGTTTTTGTCTTGAAACACTTAATAATTAAACGTCCTTGACATTTGAAATGGGTCGGTGGTATCATGGATATATATTGTTACCCTCTCTATGGTCTAATTATGATCTCAAACCGTGAGTTTTACGATCCTGTGTGATTATGAAACCGTAGGTTTTACGAGTATGTTTGATGTAAGATAATAATACTGTTTATATCTCACCACAAATCATGTACCAATGATTTCCCCATTGACTTTAATGTTAATTCTCGTCTCACAAATTTTCGTTGGGCAGAACGCTTTCTACCACAGATGGAGCAACATCTGCTCAAAAGCACGTATGAGGTTGACCATGGAAAACTCGAGATACACAAATTGGAATTAAAGATAACGAAACATGCAATTTACTGCCCTAGATTTCAACCTAACCAATCACCAAAAATCTGGCAGAAAATGTATTGTCAAATCCTTTTCTTCGATTCTACACCAAAAAGTCAACAAAAATCTCCATGCTAAAGTCGCCATGCTAAAGGGGGAAAAGGAAGTGAGAGAAAGACTAAAATAACGTTCGCCCTATATTCGTGACGGCGTAGGAATATTTGTGACGGCGTAGAAATATTTGGTGAGCTGTGTCCATTTGTTTACCTGTAGATGCGCACGTTAGAGCCATACAAAACTTACGCTGTCTGTCTACAGTTAGTTCCGCATAAGAACAGACACGAAGCTTGTTGACAGGCATATTTAGTCGAAAACCTTGAGTATACTTCGAGAATTTGAGAAGTATTTATTCCCATTCCATTTTCATATATGTAATGAAATTGAAAATGTTTATTTAGTTTTTGTGTGTATGAAACGCGAGAGCAAGAGGAAATTGCTACCATTACTAGTCTGAATCCTGGTACAAGATTTATTGAAAGTAAAATCACGGCAACTAAGCTATACACATCCTCGGTATCCCCGGTGGTCTTATTCCGTTCTACTCCACTAACCCCTGGGTTAATCTATGGGGTTTCCACGATTTCAAATTATCTGCTCTGGCCTTGATTGTAGCTAAAATCTACGAACCAATCAAAAAACAGTTAACAAACCAGTCTTACTAATGAAAGGGCCTTCGTTTCGCGCTCGTTTTTATAGCCATATTCATGTCTATTTACTAAACGATTTATGTAAATAATGTATATATTTCTAATTCATTTATATTTAATTGTATTATCAAAATCTGTAGTATGTTTCGCTGATTTCAAATATGTATACCATCTATATGTTTGATTTTTGTTATTATTATTACTATTCTTTCTATGTCTGAAATGTTTCATGCTGTTATGTTTATTATTAATGAACTTGTATTTGGCAATTTGAACCTATATATATATATCTTGTCTACGATATCACACTTGGTGGAAGTGGACGTTTAACTCCAGGAACGAACGAACCTACATATATAAACACCTGTCTGATCTTCATTAAAGATACATTCCCGCGTACAAACTGGGTGATTTGATGATACATTTGGACTAAAAACATTTTCCAACTAATTAATTTATCATAATTTTGCTCCAAATCCTTCCCAAAACATTGTAATTGCCAAGGAAATCGATCAAAAGAGGTAATGTTTGTGTCACGTGACTTAACTCTCTCGGTACCTAGCAATGGGTGCGAAGTCGGCGGAGAATTCATTGCAAACACAAGACGACGCTGTCTTTAATCACTGACTATTTATTACAAATATCGAATCCTAATAGAATTCTCGGATTATACACTGCCCGCGTCTTTTTCCTTAATTTTTATCTCAGAAAGTGTTGTATGTCTAACTCTTCATAAAGTTTATCAACATGTACATCAAGCGCTCAATCTCCGCGGGCAACTTTTGGCGTCACGCGTGCAGATATTCCTAATCATCGGGCTGTCGATATGGGGAACCTTTATATTTTTGTCCTGTATACGCTCCATGAGAGTTTTTCAGGAAATCCAGTATTTTTCTTGTAAGATTGGATATTTCTACTTACCATATATACCAAAATTGCCACACTTCTTTTATTGGAAATAACCACCTGATAAATACTTTTCTGGGAATGTATCTTTAATATATTATATAATAATTCTAATGTGTTGTTAATAACTACCCATTTAGGCTACCTTCTGGCTAATTTCTAACCTTGCTTTTGTTTGTTTTTTTCAGTATGTTCTCAAATGGCTGGAGGAATCTTTGCCTTTTATGGAAAAACTGATACGAAATCATTCAGCATTATCCAGTCTTTTAGTAATGCTTTTCGTATGCCTTATATAACGTTCAGTTTGTGTGGTACTGCTGATCAGCGTGAGAAACCATATGTAGTCTTTATCAAACCGTCTTACACAGACGCCATAACCGATATAATTAAAACGTTTGGTTGGACAAGAATGGATTATATTTATGATTCGGATGAAGGTATGTCATTTTATATTGTCAGTACCCCTGTCCGCCCGTCCGTCGGAGGAATCCCGAATAAATGTGTATCAATTTTATATGGAGTTATTGTCCATGTCAATTAAACCTTGTACACGCTCTACGGGTCGCAGTGTTTGAGTTTTAGTATTTTACTGTTTGGCAGGCCTTAGTGTAGAACAATATGGAAATTCAGAGTCCAGTATCATCTGGAGTTATCACCCTTGTCACCAGAGTTTTACGATCATATTTGATGATAAAACCGTAGATTTCACGAGTATGTTTGACTGAAGATAATATAATACTGCATTTAATAATTATTTGGGGCGTTGGATGGCCAAATGGTCTGTCATTGAATCAACTGGCGAGGTTTCGATTCCCCGTTTGTACGTGTCAAGGAGTAGGTTCGCCTGTCCAACCTCGTGGGTTTTCTCCGGGTTCTTTCGGTTTCCTCCCTCTGTTAAAGACCCCTACGCGCAAGCGAATTATTGATTGATGAAATCTAGTGGGCAGAGTTCGCAAATAACTTTTCAAAATATGGAGAAATCTTGTATTGGAGCCTAAGGAAAAGGCTTTTCTTACCGTGCATATTTTTACTTTTAAAGTTTGGAATATTTGGTTCATGGTGGATTTTATAAAAAAAATTACATGCTCTGCGGATCTGTGGTCAGTGATTTCAGAGCTTGCACTGATGGCCGACGGAGGAACTGTGAAAACTCCGTATCAGCGAAATAAAGATTTAAAGTTGTTGTCATTAATATTTATTAATTCTCTGTCATAGTTTGATTATGAAGACTTCATGGGATATCGCGTGGGTAGAGAATGGTTAAAAATTTACATTTAAAGCTATACTTGTCTTTTATAGTGGACCGTTCCATACTAACGTGGTCTAAACTATATACACTCCAATATTTACAATTAAGACTCCCGTAGACCTTTAAAATAGCGTCTGGCGTCAGTAATGACACCGTTTCCGCTCACAGTTGTTGAACAGAGTGATCAAGACAGATCACTGCAGACAAAGTTTGGCACAGAGAGGAAATAAGACCGCAATAATACAATACACCCTAGTTAAAAATTTATATACACGAACTATCTGTATACGGTGATAATTGCTTTGTAAATATTTATTTATCGTATTTAGTAGCTGTCTACGGGGGAATAAGACAGCAATTATACTAGCATAATTAGAAAGTATTATACGTTTATCAGAGGTTTATACTAAAAACAGATACCCAGATAGACACTGCGTTGACTCATCACATCAAGTAGTTGATATTCCTTAACGGAATAATCCCAGATTTCACAGAACCTCGTAAATAAATCGCCGGGTTTTTTAAGACAGGGTGGTGTTGCGTCCAAACATACTATAAGCCAAACCAGTTTAACTAGTATAACCTCTTTGGTCGGAGGTTAGAGTTAGCTTTATATTCTTTATTCGGTTCTCGCACTGACACTGTCTGGCCCCGAATGTAACTTACTGCGTACTGCGCATGCCCAAAGCGAGCTGTAGGCGGAGTTTTTAAGCCTACCCGTTCAGACGGCCAAAATGAAATGAAATGAAATGAAATGAAATGGGGTTTAACGTCCTACTGTTTTGCTCCGAACTGGGCTAATGAAGACGGGCATACGCCATACAGTGTGCTATGAGGGAAATTTTGCCCGGACAGCGGCACTACGGCCTACTCTTATATCGAATTCCAACTGTCAAGGGATCTTTAACGTGCACGCCAATGTGTACACGGGACCTCGGTTTTTCGTCCCATCCGAACGACTAGACAGCTGTCCTTGTCAGCCCCTCCGTCCTGCATCACTGACAAGGGAGAACCACGCCGGAAAATCAGGATGAACTTTCTCGGCCAATGCAGGGATCGAACACCCGACCTCCAGGCTAGCGAGCCAGCGCCTTACCCACTTAGCCACCGTGATCCCCACGGCCAAAATGAACCAGTTTAAAATAAAAGGCCTTCTCGAAGACTGGTGGCGAGCTGAGTTTTTTTAAACTGGTTTATTTGCCCCACATTTTGCGTTCAGACGACAAAGTGAAACGGGTTTAACGATCCCCGGGGCTTTTAAACCAGTTTAACTTAAGAGTCGGAACTGGCTATTAATATATTCACTTTGTCTGAAAATTACAAATGAAAATATTGAGTCTTTCGGAAATGATCGCTAGATTTGACTATCATTTTTCAGTTGATAGATTGACATTTAGAGAATCTCCTACGAGTCTTTTTTTATATTAAAAAATATCAACACAAGTCGATAAAGTTTAAAAAAAAGCCCCGAGGCTTCGACGTGTTTTTATTTTTACTTTATCGACGAGTGTTGATAAAAAAAAAGACGAGTAGGAGATTTCATTTATCACCCAACCCTTTCTTACGCGCACAGATAAATAAATATAATTCTTTGGTATAGATTTCACTTTTACTGAACCTGATTACATTACGGCGTAGTGATACATCATTTTTTTGACAGCAAGTTACCAGTTATTGACAAGGTGTTTCTGTTAAAGTTATGGGCAGTATTGTAGGTGTTTCTGGTAATTGAGAACTCAGTAGATTATGAAAGTTATCACATAACCGTAGACTGTGTTACTGGGTGATAAAATAATACTCACGACGACCACTAATCACTATAATTTCATTCTGTACACAGAGGACTAGGCCTTACTTTGAGAATAGATCTCGGCTCTGAATGACTGCCATATTAAAAACTAGGTATACTTTTTACATCATTCATACACCCACAGACTAAATAAACATTTTTGATTTTATTAGACGGAAGCAGAATAAATAAATCGTCGATTTTATTTAAACTGACGGTTTTCAAGCCATATTTTATCATGTATGTAGACTCGATCGTGTAGGCATAAACATCGCGTGGGATATAGAAACTTATCGTTCATCCGACGTGGAAACGGAATATGTGTGGGTTTGTTTTAGAAAAGGCACCACGGAACTTCATATATTTGCATAAGATTATGAAAAAAGTTGTTGGCCCTGACACTGTCAAATGCTGAGCTTTTAAAGTTATTTAGTTAAATTGACGAGATATAGCCATTTGAAATAAGGAGAGTCGCGTAATTGGTTGAATGTTTCAAGACGCTATGACAAAGCATTTACTTCCTTACACAAATTTTTAGTCCTTTTAATAGTTTTCTTCCTAAAAAACAAAGTGACCAAAATTAGGGTTACAACTAAAACGTTAAAGTTTTAAATGACCAAGCCTTGTAGTCAGACTGAACAACGATAAAACCCACGTGAAGATGCATTGTAATCTTCGACAACTCAACACATACCAGGTCATTTGGAGACTAACATATCGTGTATTTTGTATGCCACTAATTCTATTGCGCTCAAAGATTTTAGCAGTAGCATGTGAAGCTGAGTGTTGGTGGGGGAGCGAAACCAGGAGGAAACCCATGGGGTTGGATAGGCGACCCTAATTAACAAGCTTGGTATCGAAACCGCGTCATCTGAATGAATGGATACACTGTAACAATGGTGACCCTGCAAACTGCGACCATATGAAGTCTCAAAGACCTTTCTTATATCTGGTGGGGGGTGGCCGAATGGTTTGCGCGCGCGTTTTGAGTAATAAGGTCTGTTATTGAGTCAACTGGTGTGGTTTCGATTCCCCGGTTGTACGTGACAAGGAGTAGGGTGGCCTGTCCAACCCCATGGGTTTTCTTCGGGTCCTCCCACTGTTCAAGTGAATTATTGAAATAAAATTGAACCATATGCTAGTCCCGAAATGACCTAGTTTGTGTAGAGTGGACGTTACCCCCCCCCCCCCCCTCTCTCTCTCTCCCTCTCATATCTGCCACAATACAAGACTTTGTTTGTTGTAAAATCATGGTGAAAGGAACAAATCTGTACCTTAGTAACTTGATGATTAATATTAGTGTGGAAGGACGGACAATATTAGTGAGTGAATGTCGTTATTTGACTCCATAAACCTGATTCCGCCATGACAGTAAATAGTTTACAATTTAATAAGACTTAAATGTGTAAGTGGGAAACCTTAATTACGCTTCCTGTTTTAAACCATGGAGGAGTGGGTGTGCCAAGATTTACTTGGTATAGAACCTATTATTTAATTAAGTGTCGTAGGAAGTTATGGTAAGATCAGGTGGTTGTAATCCTGGAAAGGCTACAGCTGTGTTTATTCCATAGACGAACTAATAACACACACAAAGAACACACAAACACATTCGATTACACTCAAATCCCAAGTTTTGGACTCAAATAAAGTGTCGCAGTGCAATAACTACTATCCATAACTAAGGTTTTACTTGATCACCCGGTTAGTGCTAAATTGTAAGGCCAGCTCAATTTTTCGTCATAGATCACGATATGTAAACAGGGCTAGCGCTAATCCCATTCTTAACCCAATGCTCCTTGTTGATCGTCTATAATAGGTAATGTCGGATAATCATCTGGTAGGCAAGAACAGCATCCTGAGAAAACTTGATTAATTACCAATGTTATATGTATTCCCACCAAGACATGAATACAGTTTCCATGACAGACTAAATGTGTTTTTATTGTGTTGCACCAAGAAATGGATTTTAAAATGATAAGTAATTTAGGAAAAAGCCAATAAGAATTTTGTGAAACGATACAATTTCAAAATAGAAAAATTGTTTTGTTTATTCTTGTCATCGCATCCCCCAGACGCGTAGACGCATACAATGCAACATGTGAACAATGGTGTGTGGAATTCAATAGATCTGGCGCTAGGAAGTTGAGATCCACGCTTTCACAACTCGCGACAGTTATTCCTAAATAAAATGTGTTTATGGGAAACAATATCGAACCGTAGAATACATATAGTTATAAACTAGCCTACTAAAACATCGGTATAACTGCTAGGAGGACAAAAACGTAAAAATCGAATGTTTCTATACGTGTATATATATATATGGGTGTTTTGTGTGTGTGTTGTTTTTATTGGTTTACACTCTATCTCAATTAGCAGCCTTGTATAACAATGCTTTCACTCGGCTTACACGAGACATTTGGACAACACATAGATAATGGAATTTCGAAATTCATCAGTAATTAAAGGCTAACATGTCTAGTCACCAATATAACCAATTTTACTATTCATAATATTGATACAACTATCAAGAGAGGCAGAGAAAGGGATTTCGACCTTCATTCCATTACTGGCTGCTTTCAAAAATATAAGATAACATTTTTGCTGTGGAAGAATTACCATTTGGACCAAAGAGAGAGAGAACTGAAATGAAATGAAATGAAATGGGGTTTAACGTCCTACTGTTCTGCTCCGAACTGGGCCAATAAAAGAGAGAGAAAGAGAGAGAGAGAGATGAGGTTTAACGTTCACTCGACACAAACCAGGTCATTTTGGGACTAACGAGTTACTAAAACGTTTGACGTCACACATTGGCACGTGGAACATTTTTTAAATGTTATTACAACTAAAGAAAGTCGATCAATTATTGAGAATTTCTCTAGAAGAAAATGTTACTATAAAATATTGTCGAACATATCTAGCCTTTCGATATTCTTCTTCTATTCTGTTAGCCGTTAACGTCCGCTTCCACCGAGGGTGATATCGCAGACAAGTTGTCTTTTTTTATTATCTTAGCGCAGGCGCAGGGGTCTTTCTCGAGAAGGCACCCCTGTCTCCAAGCCACATACACATGTGATTAAAAGTATCTTTTATACATGGGTACTTGAGGCTTGGGTCTGTAATGTATGGGTACTTGAGGCTTGGGTCTGTAATTTCAGATCCGTGGGTCGGTAACATTTATCATCAGGTAATGACGTGTATAAACGCCATTTTGAAAAATAAACATTTATTTTATGTTGTATTATGGTTTATATTTTGAATTACATATTTTATATGGGGTTCACCAAAATCTTTTAAGTGATTAGGGTTTCCATGGGTCTTAATCCCGCCCTGGTGACATCCAATGTTTTAAAACAGGCAAACAAGAAGCACTTATAGAACTCATAATGCTGAATACAGTCACATCATGATCTTTATTGAATCGGGTGGTCTTTAGACTCCAAACTCCCTTTCACATCCCTGAATAACAATAATAGTATCCAATTCAAAAGTTGATACATTAATCAGAATTAATATCTCGTTGGTTAGCCATGCGACAAATCAAAAATAACATTAAATCGTGACGTAAAAATAGAAAGCAATAAATTTATCCTATTGAACTATTGGTAGTTAGCATAAATAAAAAATCGGTTCATGGTATTTAATTTCAACTTTTTCAGTTTGTGAATCAAGGCGATAAGCCAGCTTTGTAAAATACAACGACTCTGGGAAACGGTCAAATAAATCGTCTGAAGGTTTCTAAAATAGACAATTCGTGATATCTTTATTACATTACCAACAAAAACTAAATCAATATGTTGTCAGTAGTCTGTCAGATTATATAAACTCACATTGAAATATAATTTTTATACAAATAATCTATTTTGATTTATACTATAGAGTGATAAATATATAATCCTATAAAAGATGTAAATAGTCTAGAACGGTGTTAACGAAAAAACATGACAAATCGTATTTTCTAATAGCAACATGTTTTTAAGTCATTGGTTTATGACATATACGATTTCCCAGAACATGCTCATTTTAAACAAGTTTTTGGCTTGTGACAAATGAATTATTGAAATAAATATAAATCCCTCAGTATAAAGAGAGAAATGGGGTTAACGTCCCCTTGACACAAACTAGGTCATTTCGTGACTGACATAATGGTACCATTTGATTTAATAATTCGCTTGCGCGTATTGGTCTTTAAACTTCGGGTGGGGGGTGCACAGGGGGACACGGTGAGGGGGAGGGGGGCGAGCCGGCGACGTACAATGCTAGGGTTCGAAACCATATGATTGCAGAAGTCGTTCAGGTGGCACAAAAACCACTATTCTAACATAAGACATGGGCTAAGATTGGCATTTCACCGAACATAATATTAATTTATTTCTTGCTTGGTGTATTGTAACATGATGGACTTGGTGTATTGTAACATGATGGACTTGTCGACTGAAATAGATATTTAATCTTAATATTTATACCAAATAAAGAGAATATCATGGCGGGAAAAGAAACGCGTCTACTGGTAATTGTTAGCTGTTTGATATAATTACAACAGTTAAAGACGCAGAACCAGAAATTATGTGTGTTTGTTGTTAGATCCGAGTTGAAATCACTATGGTTATTGACAGTTTCTAGCTTGAATGGTACTATTCGTCTTATAATCACCACCGTCAGACATGGTGTCGTGATCCGTGATTGACATATTCTTAATCAATCAATGAAGTTAAAGATATATTAAGAGACTTTTGTTAGTGTAAAGTTCCTGAAATCTATAATCAATCAAAGATCACCTGTAGTGTTAAATACGATGGGTACTCCCTTAATTTATGATTTCAACCCATCTTGGTATCAATCAGTCTTTTTGTCAATCTCCTAATTCACTTTGGTAATTCAAAAACTCATAGATAACCCTTTAGTTAGATATTCAAATTCCATGAGCATGTTATTAAGAATCAGGAGGTCCCGACATTGACCGAGAAAGTTCGTCAGGATTTGGATATTCAAGCCTGCCCCGATTCCCCCTTGTCATTTGTGCAGTTCGGCGGGACTTGCAAGAAAGAGAGTCGTTCTACTTCTAGTAGGAAGAAAAACCCAGTGCACAAGTTGACGTCTACGTAAATTAACTCTTGAAAGTTTGAAAGTTGGTGTTCGCTGTCCGAGCACAGTTTACCCCATAGCATACTGCATGGCATATGCCCGTCTTCATTAGTGCCAAAATGTAGCAGCTTAACACCACTTCATTCTATTAAGAATCCAGAAGGACGACAAAAATATGTACTATCCAGTTGCTCAACAAAATAAAGAACAGTCAATCTGTGTCAGGTATCTCAGAAAGAGTCTATTACAATAAATAATTAATAAAATCAGACAATAGCTTTCACTCCCCATGGCTCGGTAGTTAAATACTGCACAATTTCTTGCGGATACCCTAGAGACTACATTCTTCCTACCTAATTCATATGTACATGTATATGTACAATTATGTGTATTAATGCCATTTCCCTAATTCGAGTGTAGCACACTGTACCTGGTCAGCAATATCACTTTCGTGGAAACGGACGTTTGTGGAACCAAGGTACTATGCTTTATGGCATATGCCATGCCCGTCTTCATTAGCCCGGATGGAGCAGAAACGTAGCACGTTAAACCCCATTTCATTTGACTTCCGAATCTTTTAACTCTCTGACCCAAACGAGCAGTTAATAGTGTTCACTTGTAGTGCTTTGACCGACGGAATGATTAGTGCTGTAATTCGCTTAGTTTCAGGTTAACAGTAGGAGGAAACCAGGGGACCCGGAGAAAACCCACGAGGTTGGACAGGCGACCCTACTCCTTGACAAGTACAAACGGAGAATCGAAACCACGCCATTTGACTCAATGACCGACCTAATGATACAACGCGCACGCGCTAACCATTCGGCCATCCAATCCCTCGAATTCCCTCTGTCACTATACATACCACTGCATGGTGAGTACAGAACAAGTGGAGATTGTGTTAGGTTGTCGTTGAGAGTTAGAGAGTTGAACAAGCGGGTCTAGAAATATTTTTTAAGTTGATTTAAGTAAATGTCATCCTTATCTATTTATAGTTACTCTATATAGACCCAACTTGAAAATATTGTAAATGTATATATTATATTTTCTGCTTACAGGCTTAATGCGTGTACAGTATATCTACAATAAATTAAAAGAAGCCAATTTTACGAATAACGTAGACATTGGATTTCGTCGTGTGGAAGATATAAATAACGCCCATGCAGATTTACGGCGATTAGATAGATACCATGCCGATTCTGCTAAAAATGTTATCTTAGATTTGTCTTCGCAAGAAGCTTACAGAAAAATTCTTAAACAGGTAAGGCTGCTACACTATAAAGACCAATACTAAATGAAGTTAGCCCGATTTTTTGTTTTTCGTTTTCCGATATTCAAACTTGAATCTCGTAAAAGCGGATTTAATGGATGTATATCTTAAGAATATCTCCAAAACACATTTGATTAATTCAGTTTTCTAAAACGAACTAAAAATATCATAAATCAGGATGCCTGAGCAGTGGATTCGCATAAAAAATGCTCTTTCTCCTTGTGTTTTTTGATAATTTGCGAATGTCGTAAGCTCGTTTTTCGATATTCAAACTTGAATCTCGAAAAAGCAGAATATCAAAAAACAAGTAGAAAGAGCAGTTTTTATGTGAATCCACTGCTCAGGCATCCTCTTTTACGATATATATATTTAATTCATTTAGGACACTGATTTAATCAAATGTGTATGGAGACATCAATCAAATCTGCTTTTTTGAGATTCAAGCCTGAATATCGAAAAACGCATTCGAAAATATCAAAAACCAAGGAGAATGCGAATCCACTGCTCAGGCATCCTCGTTGATGATATCTTTAGTTCGTTTTAGAAAACTTATTTAATCAAATGTGTTTTGGAGACATTCTGTAGATTTACATCCATTTAATCTGCTTGTTTTGAGATTCAACTTTCACAATAGGCTAAATCACACAGAGTCTTTATGAGGTATTCATTTGTATATGAGTCTAGAGTCGATATGAAAATACCCATTTATAGTTCCTCTTGTAACATTGTTGAAATATAAAAATTTCTTCTTTACATTATTTTGTTCGTCTACATTATATGACACGGTATAAATATACTTCTATATCAGCTATTTCGTTTCTTTTTGGTTTCGTTTAAATCTTTGCCCGTTAGTTAAAATCCAGACAAAACATATATTGATTGTTTAAACGAGGGGTCACATGTTAACATAAAAAAAAAGAGAAAAAAAAAAGAAAAAAAATGTCAGTCTAAGCAAACTGGCAATTATAAAGACTAAACAGCAAAGACAACAAAAAACTTTTATTAAAAACGCATGATATACAAAGTAATCTGGATTGTTTAAAATGTTATATGTTAATCATTCTCTCGATGATTTGTATAGTAAGATATTTTCTATGTCTGTTGTTAATGTTAGTCTACCAGACGATATGATGTTATTATGTCGCTGCATTTCATTATTTACCCGCAATTTAAATACATGTATTATAGATTACGTTAAAGGCGATAAATCGCTAATATTTAGGACCAAAACATTGACACAAATGGGTCGCAATGCATATAATAATGCAATATGAATGTATATAAACTGAATTACATTCAATCGTTTCTGTTTTTACTGTAATTCCAAATCAGTTATATTCGGCGAAATACGCCAGAAGTCTCAATCGAATGGCAATCTATAGCGTCTTATTATTCCAGTCTACGCCGTTAGTATTTATTGCGCATACTCTCCTTAAAATAATATGGGGTCACCGTTTGACATGACATGCTTTTGGAATATGTCTAGCCTCGTTCTTCGAGTCCCTTGTTACAAATGGCGCTGAACGCATTATGGTACATGATTCGTGTACCAATAATGTTTATTTTGTCTTAAATATTGGATATCAGATGCTCATGTTTTCCCGGTAAAATCACAACATCAATGTTGATTTAAATTGACAAATAATTTGTGTTTTCAATGTGGAAGACTTTGGATGATATTGAGTTCAGTCGTTCGTTTCTAGAGTTTTTCGTCCACTTTCACCTAGGGTGATATCGTAGGTAGAGACTTAGCTTTTTGAAGTAATCGAGATAAATGTTTTATGAGCATTGTTTATTATGGAAGTATACATTTCATACATCTCCGACCAATATTTATCGAATGGCGATGTTTCTCTCTTTGAAGCGTGGGATGTTTATTTCGAAAGAATAATTTTATTGTCGAACCTTGTTACCACCGCAAACGGTTGTCTAAAATACGCTGATCAACTACACTAGTCTACAAATTCCATTTACACGTTCGCCATGAGAGATATTGTTAGCTGCTCCATATGAGACATGAAGATAGAACCAGATTTTTATTGTGTATATTGTATAACAGCATAGTTGACTTAGTTTACCGCATTGCCGGTTGGCCATCAAAACATTTACTCAATTTATTATTTTAGAATTAGCCCATTCTGAGCTTGAGCACATTTTTGGACAGAGTTTAGAAAGGACCGAAAGGGAATACGAGAAGAAGACTCAAATTATTTTTAACATTTTTCAGTTGACATAACAAATGTAAAAGTCGATAGAGTTTTGTTACAAATGATGTCCACAGATTGCCCATGAGACGAACTTTAAAGGGAAAAAAATTTAAAAAACAAATAAAAATATATTATTGTTTTTATGACAACAATTTCCCAACATTGACAGAATCCATTTTTTATGGGAAACAATCGTGGTTTTATTACATAAACACTACATTTCGATAAATATTCAAACATAGGCCCGGGGGGAGGGGGGGCACTTTGGACAACTTATCTTGCACGCCACAATAGGTCTAAACTAAAATGTCCAAAAAAAACCCCAAGATTTATCCAGTAATCCCAGTGTATTAGCCAGGGTATATTTGAAAAGGGCTCTTTACCCAAACCAAATCATTCTGTACAGAGAGCTCCATTACTTTATACTTGGAGAATAGATTTTTTCCCTAAATGGCCGCCATATCCAACAATTAGTATACTGTTATGTAATGCGGTTCTACTCCGTTTCACGTTAATTATACACAAAAACACTTTCAATTTTATTAAATGGAAGAGGAATAAATACTTAGTGTTTTCGGCTAAAATTGCCGATTTAGGACTTAAAATGTCGGTCAACTAGCTGGGCGTCTGTTCTCAAGCGGAGCTAAACGTAGACAAACGGCGTAAGTTTAGTATGAAACGAAATAGGCGTATTAATGCTCACTGCGTATCTCAGCTAAATATAATTATATCTATTCGACAACACAGATGAAATATTGTTTATACGACATTGATAAACACCTTTATTTTTGTCTTCTATATTTTCAAAGAAAACTGCTTATTTTACCTTAAATCGAGAAAAAATCGATATATAATAGCTTCTATTGTTCAGAATCATTCCTCACAAATCTCAAAAAAATTAAACGACTTTTTTCCCGACAAAACAAGGATGAATTATTGTTTTATTGACATTGATATACAGCTTCCTTATTACTCTTTGGTAATTTCAAAGAAAATTACCTGTTTAACCGGAAATCTATAATGGATATAATATATATCTTTTCTTGAATGGGGTTCCGCGTTTCTTCTTTTATAATAAGAATGAATCATTCGGCTTCTCAATAGATAAAAGTCAACGGTTGATACGATCAAGAACAGAAATTAATTAAACCCACTTGATAGCCATCGTTATTATAAACATAATTATCACTGAACGATATAATTTGACGTCTACAAACATTTAAATCATCCAATTACCTCCCTTGCTTATCTGAGCTTGATCTATTTAGCCGCCATCTTTCAGCTAATATTGACTAGGAGATGTAAAGCTAACATGAAAGAATCTATAATCTTATTACACGAATGTGAAATGTAGCATGATGTTTAGATGTAATAACCTTTCCTAGTTTATTGTTATCTTATAAGTTACCAAGACTAAATCGTCACGTCTTTAATTTGATAATACGCGGCATCGATCCGCTTAAGTTACGCTTGACTTGCCGCCATGTTTGATTTTACTGAAATATTGATGTTTTTCATAAAACTTTTAAGCTCCGTGTTTGTCATAAGTAGAGTGAATTCTGTTTACAAAGTATAATATTTGTTTAACTCTCTCGAGTTACAGACAAGAATAATGATCATCGTACATACTATCAGTTTACATTCATTTTACTCATTATAGATACATTATTTCTCCAAATACTTTATTTGGGGGGGGGGGGGGTCCGCAAGTAACTTTCATGAAAATGTTGTAATCCTGATCGATTTACATTGCGTCTTTCTTATTTCGTTTCGTTTTTTTATAGTTCAAAATTTCGTTTTACTTGACTATACTACAATAGGATCTGGAAGAGTTGTTATATAACCCGCTTTCTGGATGATGTGAAAGATTAGCCAATGAAACGGTCTGTTACGGCGAGTTTTTGGCGTGAGGTGCACGGAACTTTGCGCAAACCGCTAGAAAAGTCAACGCTGATTAATTAATCAATGTCTCACGTTATAAGTCAAAAGCCGCTCGTATGACCACTGACGCGACCTTCCACTACAACCGGTCAGCTCTTCATGTAGTGTAGGCCATCGAAAGTATAAAAAAAAAATTAATTATAGATCTATGTTTTAATCAGATTGACTTATTATCGGACACGTTTCATCGTTGTGTTATCCTCTTCCAGTCACACCAAGACATCGTTGTGTTATCCTCTTCCAGTCACACCAAGACATCGTTGTGTTATCCTCTTCCAGTCACACCAAGACATCGTTGTGTTATCCTCTTCCAGTCACACCAAGACATCGTTGTGTTATCCTCTTCCAGTCACACCAAGACATCGTTGTGTTATCCTCTTCCAGTCACACCAAGACATCGTGCACTGGGGCCTGTTTCACGAAATGTTAACTAAAATAAAATTCAAATATTAGTAATTTGATTGGATAATATTAGATTGATTTTAGTGCTTAGCCAATCAAAATGGAAGTATCGACTAAAATTTGGATTTTATCTTTAGTTAAGATTTCGAGAAACAGGACCCCGTTGTCTCGTGTAAATCGCAGTAGACGTTAGTTGTCTGAAATGCGGCCATTTCTGAATATTGTAGAAAATCAAAACCAAAAAGATGTAGCAAAATTTAAATAAGATTGATACCAAGGTGAAACGACTAGCCTATCCTCCCTCTATAAAGCCTTGAGCGACCGTTTCTTTAATCAAATGAGAAAATTTGACACGACTTTATATCAAGATTTAGAATAAGTATTAGCCTTACATCGTTTTCACCTCACCTTTAAGGAATTGTTTACACTCTCGAGGCCAGTGAACGGAACAAACTTATCTCACATCATAAAGCTGCCTTATCTTTGTATTCAATCTTCGTCTCTTGTCAGAAAGCTGAAAATTACACGTTAGCAAAGTGTGTGATTAGGGAAAGAATATCTTCGTTATCCATGCAAATCTTACACGAAATCCTGTAATTTCCACTCACATCAGCCCTCGTTGCACTTTTTTTCTAATTTTTGATTCTGTACGAATTTCCGCTTCTTTAATCTGCAATCAAATTGTGCAAGCTTAAAAATAGTTGCAGGCTATATCACATAATTAGTTTTCCGAAGAACCGTTTGAGCATAGCCTAATTTGCTTTGCTTGTGTGATATTCAAGGAGTAAATATGATTATATGTAATTTGTTATGTAAATACAACGCTTGGTGTCAAAAGTGGTATGGCTTTAATGTACAAGGGCTGGCTGAAAAGTTATAAGCCTATCTGTGAAAGGCCTGTACAAAGTCGATGGTTTCCATTTATTTTTCTACTTAGTCCCCTTGATGCCAACCAGCAAGCCAATTTCTCCAGCCGCCCTAAAAGAAAGTCATTCACAGCTGACATGACGTCATCATTACTAGGAAAATGACGACCGACTAGTTCCTTTTTCCTTTTTGGAAACAGGTCTCATCCTGTTTTCTCATCCATGGTTACAAATCTGGCAAAACATTATCAGGATCTGTTTCAAAATGGCACCGATTGTCATGGGACGTTAGGAATCTGACACGTTTCTGATCCGCAGTCAAGAGCTTTGGCACCGGTATAACTGAACCTTATTAATTTTTTGCTAGGAATATTGTCCATTGGGAATGATGATTCCTGACGCTTCATTATTGTTTTTGTTTTTCAGATACCGGAAGTAGGGATGAACAGAGATGGATATAATTATTTAATGGGGACCCTAGTGAGTATAGATTCTATAATACTCATACCAATCTGTTTAAAGCATGCATCTTCTTCCCTCCTTATAATTCAACTTCCATTTTAATTTTTATTCACTATAAAGAATCGAATCGATCTCTATTTTAATCAGATTTTCATATCTACCTTCAGAAATTGAATTTATCTGTCATAGCGACTTCGCCTAGTATAATTTGGAAATCTATTAGCCGCCTGACTTCTTTTTTTAAATTTTCAAGTAACTGATTGAAAATGTTTCAAATTGTTTCGAAGTTTATCACCATCCGTCTTGATGATTGTACATCAACACATCTACTAGACAGAGACATTTGAAAATTATCACATTAACATGCGTCTGATTACCATTTTCACTCAGTGCTTAATTTCCTTTCCCAGACTTGCATTTAGAGGATTAGGGAACTACTTCGAGCTCAGGTGTAAAGTGATTTCTTTATAAGGTAGTTAATAGAATGCGAATGAATCGTTGTCTATCGGATTTTATCGTTGGGTTAATTTATGGGATTAATTAATCGTTGCAAGTTAATCATTAATGCAAGAGCTTACTGTTTGGCCAGTCATGTTACCATGCACGATAGTTTCAAATACTAATCCACACGAAAGTTTTAAGCAGGATAAAAAATTCTTTTCAGCTGCATTCACCGCCATTTACGGGAAGATAGTTCCCCGGGTTTCAGATCACCAATAGATCGACATGATCCTATTCCGTTGTCCCAATATTTCTACACTGAAAAACGGCATAGTTGTTAGGTCAATGTCTTCACTAACCCATTACCCACGACAATATCCCTTCACTAACCCATATTATATTAACATTTCCCGGGTGGTCTAATTGGAATTTTAAACAATAAGCACACAGATTTAAGAATATTGTTACAATTGTCCACGAAACAGGTTTTAAGAACAGCTATAGGGTTATCAGGGTTTCAATTTTACTCTATTGTATGCACATATTGATTATCGAGAACCTTGATTGATCAATCTGATTAAAACACAGATCCTATTTCGTTTCGTTTTTTATAGTTCAAAATTTCGTTTTTTGTCTTTACTACATTAGGATCTGGAATAGTTGTTATATAACCCGCGTTCTGAATGAAACGGTCTGTTACGGCGAGTTTTTGGTGTGCGATGCACATAACTGTGGGTATCCTACTAGAAACATCAACGCTTGTCGGTTAATCAAATGTCTGACGCCATAGGGTCAAAAGCCGCTCGTATGACCTCTGACGCGACCTCCCACTACAACTGGTTAAATATTCTTGTAGTAGAGGCCATCGAAAGTATTAATCAGATTGCTTGATTGATATTATTGTACTGTCGTCATAGATTCAACACACGCTTTCTTTAACATGACTTTACATGAGAATTAGATGTAACCAGACGTATGCACGAAACGAAACTAACATCTAGTTTTAATAAAATTGTTTCAAACTTTGAATATCGTGCGAAATGCAGTTATTTACTATCTGGTTGATGAACGAGCAGTTGATTGTTTCACCAATTTAATGACATTAAACTTATTGGCTGATAGACGAAGCCATTATCGGAAGGGAAAAACACTAAACTATCAATCAGAATGTTTTTTTTAAAGATACATTAGTTAGAGTGTAATAAAGAGTTGGTCATTCTTGCCATAATAATTCAAAAATAGATGGTATAAAAAGAAAATATTGAAAATTTCATTCAAATTACTTCATCTCAGCCAAGTAATCATTGTTTATAGTTTTGACAAGATGTGTGCACAGTGGTAACCAGGGCACTGGTATAACCGGGCTTAGCCTCGCTTTCCCATTTTTAAATTAAATTTTTAAATGGCGAACCGTTTAAATCTAGTTAAAATCTCAAGTATCCGATGCCATAGAGAGTCGATTATGGTCTTATTTTGTTAATAAATGTCTAATTAATAATTTATATAACATTTCAGGCCTAAAGAAAGACCTGCAATAGGCAGATTTAGCTCTTGCATAATGTATGTTTAATTGTTAATATATTTTTTTCTTAGGATATGTTGAGTTTAAACCTAACAAGATTTCGACATGGTGGTGTAAATATAACAGGTTTTCAGTTAGTTAATCATTCCTCACCTCGTGTACAAACCTTTCTACGGGAATGGGGAAGTCTAGAATCTACCGTATGGCCTGGTGCTGGTCGACCTATATTAGATGTAAGTTTATAATACTATTTTAACGAACACATGATTTGGATGTGAATATAAATGTTTGTAATCGCTGCATTATAATCATAATATAAAATGGTGTTTCTGTGAATATGACGTTGGCAAAGTAACCAGGGGTAGCGAGTTCTATCCCGGTGTTGGCAAAGTAACCAGGGGTAGCGGGTTCTATCTCGGTGTTGGCCGAGAAAGTTACTTGGTATTTGCAAGCTTGGTTTCCCTTTAACAGTAATGCAGGGCAAATAGAATGACAAGCAATAGCATTTAGCCCTTCGGATGGTACGAAAAACCGAGATACTGTGTACACACTGGGGAGCAACTACAATAACTTTGACAGTAGGAATCCTGAGCCCGGTCGGTGCAGAGAAGAACGTTACCCCCTCACTCCCTCCCCCTCTCTCTCTCTCTCTCTCTCTCTCTCTCTGCACCGGGTTTGGTATCAACATTCTATATAGTAAGGTATTTTATAGGTTGATGCTGCTTTATCATTTGATGCAGTAGAAACGATTAGTAAAGCATTAAAGATGATGATACAACGACAGGAGAGAGTGTTCCAGTATACATTTAGACGAGCTGAAGTATTTAATTATAATAAAACTAAAGGAATACCATGTATTAATCCTGTTATACCCTGGATGCATGGACAAGATATATATAACAGCATTAAAAAGGTCAGTATAAACTTTATTTCATTCAGTTGCAATATCTGTATGGTGGGGGGGGGGCGAATGGTTAGCGCGTGTGCGTTGTATCATAAGGTATGTCACTGAGTTAGCTGGCGTGGTTTTGATTCCCCCGGTTGTACGTGACAAGGAGTAGGGCCGCCTGTCCAACCTCGTTGGTTTACTCCAGGTCCTCCGGTTTCCTCCCACTGCTAAAGACCCCTATGCGCAACCGAATTATTGAAATAAAATTGAACCATATGTTAGTCCCGGACGTTATTTTATTTTTGTTAATTTTTCCAGAGACGGTACATCTCTTAACATTTTCGACTGGTCCGACTAATCACGGACAAGAACCGTTTTAGATATGATGTGTAGACTATAGTAACATATCTATAAGATATTCTTCCTTGTCGGTCACTTATTGCAATACTCTCGCGCTATTGAAAAAATAACGCTTTTGTCAGTTCTTGTTTCCTTTTTGGCGTTGATTAGTAATGTAAAATTGATGTTGATGGTTTTTATCTTGAAATATAAGAGAAATCCAATATTGTCGTTTCTTAGTAATTTATCAAGTCAAGATAATTTAATTATTCAAATTCAAACATTAATAATAATATAAGATAAATACAATGCATAGAAAGTTAATATTGAATAGAATATGCACAAATAATCTAATCAATATTCACACTGTTACAGTAGGATCATTTCCGGTTGCACACAAGATCTGGCATAAGAACAATTTTGTGGGTATATTGTGAAATCGCTGCGCATGTCAGGGTTTAGACAAGTTACAAACGACAACATGTTGGTGATCATAATCTTTTAAAATAATTGTATACAGACATCCGTTTTACAAATCTCCATGGTTAATAATCTTAATGTCCATTATATCGATAAACCCGGAGAACGGCATACTACGAAACTAAAGGATAATATTTTATCTCTTAAAGATCCCATAGAGTGATCTACATAAATATGTCTGACATAATGGTCGTTATACTTTAAATAAGGTTATCAAAATCTGAAATCCAACTCTTCGATTTTCCATTCTAAAGATAAAACGATTGACAGTAGATCGGACTCCAGAGGGTAGACGGTACAAAAATGGCGGAATATATGAGCATGCGGCAATGTCTTCATATCATTATTTTCTCTTATCTTTTCAGGTTGGCTTTCATGGTTTAACAGGTCACGTGGCCTTTGATGGAAGAGGGTACCGCCGAGACTATAAGTTTGATGTGTTAACTGTCAGTCTTAATAATGGACCAGAAAAGGTTTGAATATTTCCGTTCTCAATTCCCTTTTCCCGAATTGCATTTCACAAATTATAGCCACTTGAAGTGCCAAAGGTGTTAGCGCGATCAGGATAAGGAAATTAATGCCTTCTCATCCGTCATTGTTTCCTCTCTATATTTTGTGCTAACAAATTAAGAAGAGGTTTTCCGGAATCTCCATGATTAGTCGTTTGCATCGATTAATCAAGCTGTTAAAGCCTGTTCCGTTATATTGTAAAGAGACGAAAAGAAATGAAAGGAAATTAGGTTCTGCACCAACCAAGTAGTGTGCTATTAGGGAACTACTAAAATAAAAAATTGTATCGCATGCTCTAGAAAAGAGTCAACATTACCAGTCTGGTGCAGGAAACACTGGTTTGGACGGCGACTCGGTGGAAGATAACCGCGGGGCTAAAACCTACCGATATTGTGACATAAGTAGCAAAAGTTGTCAGCTGTGCACATTCCTCAATGATATGGGGGTGGGGGGCAGCATGATATGCCTTTTATAAGCTCAATGTTTAATTGTGACGGATTCTTTTACATGCACACCAACGTGTACATGGTACCCTTCTGTCGTCCTATCCGAACGGTCAGGCGTTGTTCCCAGACATCAAACATTTCACACGTTTCTCAACACATAGTGCACGAGGACCGCACTACAAGGTAAACCTACGGACAAGACATAATACGTGGATAATGCACTACAAGATAAACTTACGGACAAGACAGAATACATGGACGATGCACTACAAGGTAAACTTGCGGACAAGACAGAATACATGGACGATGCACTACAAGGTAAACCTTCGGATAAGACAGAATACGTGGATAATGCACTACAAGATAAACCTACGGACAAGACAGAATACATGGACGATGCACTACAAGATAAATCTATAGACAAGACGGAATACATGGATTCGAAGAATGGTAGGTGAAAACGTTCGGGCAATATTCCTTCACTAACACTAAAGACAGTAATATAGAAATAAAAATTACCATTATTTTAATCTCAAATTATTGATGAGACTTTTCCTACACTTGATGAAGATTGCCCATGGTCCATGGAATAATTCATGGAATGATACTGCTTGTAAAGAGCAATTGTATCCTACCGTGTGTATCATCTATGTTGGGGAAAGCATCGGTCTATCATCTGTTAACTCTATTCTACTGCTGAAGAGTATGTCGATCTGTTGAATATCTGTGTCAGGTGATATTGGTATTTTGTCGCAAACCTACAAGTATTATGGACTAACCTTTACCATTGCCAATGTTCAATCTTCAGTGTTCTAGTATGGGCAACTGGTATCTATGGGTCATTTCCCTAGAAAGCGTAAATTATTCTGACCCCCCCCCCCCCATATCATTGAGGAGTGTGCATAGCTGACAACCTTTGGTAGTTTTGTCACAATATCGGTAGGTTTTAGCCCCGAGATTATCTTCTACCCAGTCGCCACCCAAACCTCACGAGGTTGGATATGTTTACTCTTTCTAGAGCACGCGATACAATTTCACATTTTAGTAGTTCATACTGCTAGCAAAACACGATCAAAGACAATATTTGCAGTGTTTGTTGTCTGTCGATTATACCGGATATTACGTTTTACCTGGGTTAAATGCTGCATATAATTTTATATCCCTCTTGCATTAGAGAATTCCCAAAGCTTACTTGGCACCTATTATGTAGCTATCAAGGCGATTGATGGCATTATTAACGGCTTAATTCTTTGATTTTCGGTTCAATTGGTCGGTGGTAAATGAAAGGGTGTATCTGACACACCATCTATCACTGTGTAGTTTATGCAACTGAATGTTAGAAGAGAAGAACTCGAGAGTTTATCAGTGGCGCTGGCTATAATTGATGGTATGTCAGGAGAAGATATTACCAACATCAGTTTTAAAAAGGAGTGATTAGAGAGTTAATCATGAATATCGACACACATTAACTATTCTAAATGATCTCTTCCCCCTTTTACTCACAAACTGCAATAACCAATAACTACTCTCTTTATTCTTACTGCTTTAAGTGGCAATAACGTCTTGGGGGAAATAATAAAAAAAAAACATTTTTATTACACACCGAACGAAGTTAAATTGGAGAGATATTGAATAGATCCTGTCCGTCCTAGAGTCCGTTCTTCCGTTCCTGTTTTGTTTCCGGAACATATCTCAGAAACCCCTCAAGAAATCATTACGAAACCTTTATTTTTCTTTAAGGAAATAGGAATAGATTTAGCCATGGTGATATGAAACTTTACAAGTGTATGTTGATCATTAAGTTAATCGCTACCGCATTCAATTTCTACTCCAAAGTTATTTTCAGCGATAATATCTCCGTGGCAAATCATTTGGCTGAACCCACGGACAAATCATATCTTAGGGTCAGATATTGCGAACCCGTACAGCAGGCCCAGGTCACGCCCTTACTCGTGATTAAACGTGGGTTTTATCACCACCAGCAGTGGTCCTACCTTTTTGGTGCCCATGACCTAATCATCCCTAAACTAACCATCCTGCTACTACAGTAGACCTTAAATTTTAAAGCAATATGGACGAAATTGCTCTCTGGACTGATCGGGGATCAGGGCCATGGAGCGTAAACTTTACAAGTTTTATAGTAGAGTCGTAACTTGTCACTGTATCGTACTATTGACATATTGTTATGTGGAAAAAAAGATTGCTACAATAACATTGTGAACTAAACCTTTCGGGTGTTCGAGATAATGCGACGTCTATTGTAAAACAAACCTAACCGAATTCATATAGTTCTGCCGATCCAAATACTATCTGGCAATGGGTTAGTTTGGCGCAATTTCTACTTTTGACGTGTTTACCTTCTGATGGTAGTTACACTGTCACTAAAAGCAGTCGTGACTACTTTTTTATGCGCCTGGTTTCGATTCCCCGGTTGTACGTGACAAGGAGTAGGGTCGCCTGTCCAACCTCGTGGGTGGGTTTTCTCCGGTTCCTCAGGTTTCCTCTCACTGCTAAAGACCCCTACGCGCAAGCGAATTATTAAAATAAAATTGAACCATATGTTAGTCCCGAAATGACCTAGTTTGTGTCGAGTGGACATTTAACTCTCTCTCTCTCTCTCTCTCTCTCTCTCTCTCTCTCTCTCTCTCTCACACACACACACACACACACACACACACCACACCCCACACACACGCACACGCTTTTTAATGCCAGAAAATTCTGAATTTAGATTTGGAAATAAGTGACACTTTAAAACTATATTTGTATCGGTACCTACTGTATTTCTGTGATGTGTCAAGTAATATAATCGGTTATTGTGTGGTTTAGACGTGAATGCCAAATTTGGTCGTGTAAAAATAAAGATACGAATCGATAGAAGAAATATGTAGAGGCTTATGTGGTATATTGATGTATATATAGAGCAGGACAAACTGGGTTTAATATATTTGATGATTAGTTTAACCTCTTGCTTTCTATAATCTACATAATCTGTGAAATTATATTTAAAACATAGATAACAGATCCAACATTATTCCAGCTTATATTTTAAGTTTCCTTTAGTTTCATCTGATTTCACGACTGTCTTTATGATTCTTAAAGATACATTGTCCCGAAAATGTTTATCGGGTGGTTATTTCCAATAAAAATATGGCAAAATTAGTCTATATGGAAAGCATAGACACCCAATCTTACTAAAAGAAATACTGGATTACGCGAAAAACACCCATGGGGCTTGCACTGGGTAAAAATGTCAGGATATCACTTACTGGAAACCCGACTATTGTCTGCCAGCGTATTATGTGCTAGCTTGACTGAGGGAGCGGTTGTTATTTCTTGACGAAATGGTTAGGCGGTTTGGGGAACATTGAGGAGTGTCAACGTACAAACGACTCTGCAATTAAACGGCGGAAAAAGAAGTTGATAAAAAAAATATTAACAATTTACATAGGCCTCAATATGTATGGTAAATAGACAGTAAGTAATGAAAAATACATTCTGAAAAATGGATCCTCACTCAATGAAGCAAGGGGACAGCCATGGCCTCTAACATCAGTTTATTTATACCTTGAGGTATCCCCCTCCCCCCAACCCTGTATACAAAGGTTTGAGAGGAATTTGAGGCCAATTTTTGATAGATTAATTAGTTTGAAAATGTTTTTAGTACAAATATATCATCAAATCATACAGTTTGTACACCGGAATGTATCTTTAAATACATAGTAATAATACCTCTGCATCGTTTTTCGTATAAGCCATCTGATCCTTGGGTGTGCTTTATTGCATACAATGACGTTACAACATATTTTACATTTGAAATAGTACATAATTTTCAGGAAACATCTAGAATGTCCAAAAACAAATTGGACCGACGTCCGGAGGGACGGGCATGAGCGACAACATAATACGTGCACGGGAAAATATGAGAGCATAAAAATCCTCTTAAACGGTCTAGTGGATAGAATTCTGTGAAAGAAACGTCTAAAATGGAAGCCATCTTGGAAAATGGCGGTCAAGTGGCCAACGGGATTTTATCAATAAAAGATCCTAAAAGGACACCCAAGGAAAGGTTTAGTGCATGTATCCAGATCTAAAAGATGGTTTTTACTAAGCTGCCCCACTATGTCATAGTTTCTAAACTGTGAAGAGATTAAAACCTAGCGTGGTACCTAATCAAGTTACTTACACCTAGAACATATATTCATACGCAGATTATTATCAGCTATGGCCGATGGCTTATTTGATTGATACACACATTACTCATGACACAATGAATTAAAGATGAACATTTATTATCTGAGAAGAAAATCTTTTTTACGAGCAAATAATAAGAGTTAATTTACTTTAGGTGCTTTACTAGTTGTTACTAGTAAATACTTTGTTATTAGTGGAGTTTTTGGTGAGTAGATGTTGCATCAGTATGATTCAACAGGATATGGCACAAACAGTACAAAGTGAATCTTTTCTGAAAAGGGGAATCATATCCTGTATCACTGACGACACCCGTCACAACTTGTATGTATGGACAAAAGCTGCCCGGAATTTTAGGTTTTAACACACCTTCCTAAAAATCTCAAAAACATCTTAAATATTTTCAAGAAATAAATATACAATATATGAGACCAATCTTGAAGTGTGTCCACACGGACCTGTGTGTGTGGACCTGTGTGTGTGGACCTGTGTGTGGACCTGTGTGGGTGTGTGGGTGGACCTGTGTGTGTGGACCTGTGTTCCCAATCTCGGGGACCCGACCAAGGTTGGGATCGCGGAGCATTTTTTGTGGTTTCGCGCCGGACTACTGTGAAACTTTTGAATAAATGCTATGTTTTTGTGAAAAGCAAAATAATATACGAGGGCTGGCTGAAGAAGTTCTAAGTCTGAAAATGATAGATCAATTGGGTTGAAACAAACTTTTATCACCAACACGTACAATCATTGAATGAATCATAGACTGTAATGTTATTATTGTCTTCGTATCAAACCATCTTGTCCCAGTGAAATCGCCAGAAATGGACAAACTGGCTATAGGTTGACCAGTCGACCAGTTGCCAGTGTTGTGGGCATCTCTCATGAGAGGATTGAACACATTGTCGCCAGCGAGGGGATGATGTCCCTCCCTTTTCCACAGTAAAGACATGGACTCTGGAATTTAAGCGTGATAGAGAGGGCGTTTACAATTACCCACGCATCTAAGCTTTGCAACATCGTTGGCAAAATTGTGTATACCTCGAAGTGGATTATGTAGAAAAACAATGGCAACCATCGACTTTGTACAGGTCTTTCACAAATAGGCTTAGAACTTTTCAGCCAGCCATCATAAATCCCTGATCTATACACCTCTTGCCACATTGCCAATCGTCTTTCCTCTCTCACGCTCATGGCTTGTTTCCTCAGTCTCTCATTACAACATTTTCATCTGTAAATAATGATGATGTTTCATAGTAAAAGGTGACTTTGTTCTTGGAGGGGTCGCGATCAGATGATGGTTTCTGGAATAAGGTCTCAACCAACAAAAGCCTGGGAAACACTGTTCTAGTATATAGTAACGTAAATTCAACATTCGATAAAAAAAAATCCGGTTAATTGAATAGAAATTCAGTTTCGGAATTTTTGATTTCTAGGTTATTCGCCGAACTTATTTATTTAATAATAAGTTATTCACCCAGGGAACCCCATAACAAGGACAGACTAAGATTATACTAAAGTGTATCGTTAGAGTTTCTAAGATAGATCTATGATTAAACCGTATGCTGTAATTCTCTAGACAATGTTCTATAAATTACAAGACGTAATCATACGCTTTGGGACGGAAACTGAATTACACTTCTTATAATAGCTTCTGTAGCGTACATGAATAATAATTATCTTTTAAATTAACTATAACTGGTAACAGGTATCGTGTAAGGGGCATGGTATACTTATATATTTATGGAACACATTATACAAATAGTAACCTAGAACTGTGATGCAGTGATGAAGGGTTTCACCGGCACCCCTAAACCTTTAACTGAGGTCACTTCCCGCTCCCCGGTTTAACAGATTTTCATAGAAGCATAGCACACGGGTTTGAAATGGGCGCTAAACAATTACTGATCAAGACATTAACGTGTGTAAAACTTAGAACGTGGCCAATGCGAAATCGGTCATGTCTCGGTAATAGATACAATAATGAATTATTTTGTGTTATAAGTCAGATCGTATATATGCATACTATTATTTGAATGAAGGTTAGAAATATAGGTTGTTGGATTTTTTTCAAAAGCGCGTCACTTCCGTTAATACTGGAAGTTTTTAACATAGTTGGATATAATGACTGTTTGCATTAGGTATCATATGGTGAAAATTTATCGAAATCGAACAATAAATACCTCTGTCATGGGCAAAACAACGTAAACTATTACTCCGGGGTAATCAGGACCAGGATGACTGAAATTACTACACGAAGTAGTTCACGGATGATTGAAATCAGTGCTCGGATGACTGAAATCAGTGCCCAGTTGATTGAAATCGATGCTCAGATGACTGAAATCAGTGTTCAGATGACTGAAATCAGTACACAGAGAGCATGAAGTAATATTGGACGGAAAGGGTCACATCAATCGTACTGTAACTTGGACAGCGAATAAAGTAATACTTCTGTCAGAGAGCTACGAACTTAATTTGTTCATTGACTGCAGCTCAGTTTATATATAACCAGTGCGCTTTACAAGATCACTGCTAATACGGATTTTACAATAAATTGGCTAATGTGTGAAATTTCCTACAACTTTCTTATGAAAGTTAAGAATTTGCAAGAAACTTATAAGATAATTATTATTAGACGGTCCGTGCTTTTACTCAATTTAATTGTTAAATTGACGTGGGAATTTTACACATGTCACGTTTTGAAGGATTTGACCTTTAAACGTGTTAGGAATTGTCTAGTTTTTATGTTAACTAAACTCTATTAACAAATCCTCCCCTTGTCTTTGCTAAAGAATGCCTTATACCACCAACTTTTCTAAAGAATGCCTTATATCACCAACTTTTGTGCCCTGGATTCTTCAAAGTTACTAATGCTCACTTCTAATTGGAGAACACACAATGTCGAAATGGCTTAAATGGATATTGATTGGGGGCAAAAATGGAGTTCTAAATTAAATATCCACAAAACAGCAACGTTTTGTTTAAGATAGTTATCAGGTATGTTTGGTAAAAACAAAAATAACGGGGATGGGCGTGGCTCTATATCCTAAATACATAATTGACACTTCAGCATGTTGTCCCTTTTGAAACCATTGCTGGTTTTCAACGCTTTGTCTCGATTCGTAGACTACATTACTGTAACCTTACTCTTGAAATTAATGACTTCATTCGATGTCTTCTTCTTTTATAGTAAGTAGGTAGATTATACGAACACACCTGCTGATGTTAAAACACCAGAAATAAAAGCGATAAAAGAAGACCAGAAATAGTGTTATTTGAGTAAGGATGCATGATTAACTGTTGAAGGATGTGGGCATGAAGTCTAAAGTAACAATACATCATCTTGTCTAGTTAGGTTTAGTTAATAAGACAAGATACTGCAACCACTTGTGTTAATCACAGCAAGCTAGCGACATATCCTTCCACTTGTCGGGATGATTATATCATAGTTAAAATCTATACCAATTACATCTGTCACGTTATCCAGAAATTGATTTGGAATCCTAAAGTTAAAAAAACAAAGTGGGATGAAGAAAGTATTATATCTCTCCTACGAATCAGATTAAGAAATCAAGTTTTCAAAACAAGCAATTGAAGAAATTCGTTAATGCTAGATTCGTGCTGCGGTTGAAATCGTGGTTTTAATCGTGGAGTAATCTAGTGATTCTATTAGGTATCATATATTGAGGTCAGTCGTACTAGAACGTGGATTCAATAGGGACACACCTATCATAACACATCACGGTGGGAACCTAGCATAAACTAAGTAGCCCACGATATGTTTTCATGGAATTCAGACATAGCCGTGTCTCCAAGTCCAAATGTAACCAGCACACATGTATTCTGGAAAGCCTAAACCTACTCTTACACTAGAAGTGACCCGGGGTGTTAGTAATTAAATACAAACGAATATCACACCTACATAAAAAGAAACTGCCTAAATGAGAAAGCGTTGTCTGCGATATCACCTCGGTGGAAGCGGACATTAAATAAAGCTATTTCACACATGAGAAAGCGTCTCTGAAGGAGATATTGCGGTGATTCCGAGCGATGATTCATGTCTGAAGAACTGTAACCAAATTTCAGCCTCCTCGTTAGACCTGACCTAAGCTTAAAGCATCAATGCACCAGGATAATAATTATGTTTTCCTTATTTAAATTTAATGCCGGCATGAAATCAATAGGAAGTCATGATGGTGCAATGCGGGTATATGGGCAATGGCTCGCTTATTGTTCGTCGATAAAATTCTTTGGGTTTTTCGGATAAGGAGAATAACCAAAGCTTCATGTACACATTAGCGTGTACGTAAAAGAACCATTGACAATTGTCCGTCTTCATGCAGGGTGAAACAGAACAGTAGCACGTTACACAGTATCTCATTTTATTTCATAAAATCAAAAGAAAATAGTCAGTCGACATATACTGGTGGTTTGTGAGAATTTCCATAAAAGAATATCGTATTTTTAACTTGCTGGAACATTCGGCTAATTCTAGATGTTTCGGGTAGATATTGTAAATGTTCAATATATCAGAGTTTTTTTTAAAAAATATCCTGCTGAGGGTGTTCTGCTAACAAAATTCAGACCCGCCGATCAATTTTATGTCGAAATTTGGCGAATTTTATGCTGAACTCAAATTTGTCAAATTTTATGTTGTACTCTGTTTGTTTTTGTTTGGGTGATAAGTGTGATCAACCTTTACAGCTATTATGTCTGGGGCCTTGTGGCCATAACCCCTCTAGGTTACTCTCTGTCAAGCAGCTTCGACCCAGTTTACCACAAGATGTGATGGGATTCTAGAACAACTGATACCATTTCTTGTTTATTTTGGTACTCCATATAGCTAAAGATTTCTGTAAGATTTCTGTATTATCTAAAACCTCCAATTGCGGTTATATAACTTTATTTCGATATGTTTTCTATAGATTGGTGAATGGGGAAGTAGAGATGGACTAAAAAGTGTTTATGATGTTGAAGAAACAGGAGGATGGAATTATACCAAATCCAAATTGGAAAGAACTGTTGTCTCTATATTAGTAAGTATAATAGTAGTTGTTTCTAATCAACATGTAGTTGAGACTGAAAAATGTATCTACTCTAAAGGAGTATGCTTTGGGCCCTCGTGGAGTATCCATAGTGTTACCATAGAAAACAGACATGGTATGAACAAGTAGGCTACCAATCTGATTAAAACACAGATCCAATTTCGTTTCGTTTATTTTCTAGTTCATAATTTCGTTTTACTTGCCGTTACTACACTAGGATCTGGAAGAGTTGTTATATAAACCGCGTTCTGGAAGATGTGAGGAATTAGTCAATGCAACGGCCTGTTATGCCAAGTTTTAGGCGTTAGGTGCACTGAACTGTGGGTAACCCACTACAAACATCAACACTGATTGGTTAATCAAATCTCTAACGTCATAGGGTCAAAAGCCGCTCGTATGACCTCTGACGCGACCTCCCACTACAACTAGTCAAATCTTTATTTAGAGTAGACCATCGAAAGTATAAAATAAAACGAAACGAAATATAGATCTGTATTTTAATCAGATTGGATAAGGTACATATCGTAACTGAACTAACTTTAGTCTTTCTACATATCTAGTTCCAGATATCCACAAATTATTGTGCTAGAACAATGATTCTCAACTAGTGTGCCGCAGCACATACGTGTGCCGCGGGTTCTTCCTAACAGCACACTAAGATCCCAATTGAGTATTCTCTGTGTCCACTGATACGTTCATAGCTGGGTTTTTTCTTCTTCTTTATTTTGCCGTCTGACTTAGGGTGTTTTTATTTTGCAAAATTCAAATATTTTTCATATATATTTAGCCAGGTGTGCCGCTGGTTTTTATGTGTTCCAAGGTGTGCCATTGGCAAAAAGGTTGAGAACCACTGTGCTAGACAATGAAATACAATACATGCTGCAACTACACTAATTTCTTGTAAACATTTAAAGAAAGAAGAGATGTTGTTGATTTTGGTTGACTTGTACTAAAATGATCAGTATTCTCCTCACGATCACGTGTAATTTCTGTTTCCTTGAAACCTGACTGAACTTAGTAAGACCAGATCACATATTAATTAATTCGTTATCGAAATGCAGATTGACCCGTTTGCATTTAATGCCAATTGCATCGTTAGCATATTATCTTAAGCATTATAGGAGCAATTCCAGGATTCACACAGTATTCACGAAAGGTCTATTTGCTTCTGTTTTTGACTAACACTTAGGATCGACTGTATGTTTATATTTTGATGCAAGGGAATGAAAGCTTGCAATCGTTTTTATTATATAATTAAACGGGACTATTATGATGAACCTTTCTAGAAGTTCTTCATTCATGTAGAATTGGTCTGTTTTATTCACTACCTGGGACAGCTCTTTTAATGATTGACACTGGTTAACCTTTCGATGAGTGAATGCTTAAACAGATGCTTTTAACCTCTACCCCGCTTTGTAAAGAGAGGTCAAAATAATGACTGTAGTGAATTTATCATAAAGAATATTGATCATATGTATATTTTGATCAAAAGACCGACAAATAATCCAGTCGATGGATAGAATTATGCAAATATTTCTTGTGAACTGAAACAATACATTTTGGAAACTCATGATTTCTCCCAACCGACCAATTTTTGTAGGACTTTATTCAGCATGTTGTGTAATGTTCTTTATTCAGCATGTTGTGTAATGTTCTTTATTCAGCATGTTGTGTAATGTTCTTTATTCAGCATGTTGTGTAATGTTCTTTATTCAGCATGTTGTGTAATGTTCTTTATTCACCATGTTGTGTAATGTTCGTTATTCACCATGTTGTGTAATGTTCTTTATTCACCATGTTGTGTAATGTTCTTATTGCGGGAGTTAACAGAAATTGGCCTGGCATCTTGGCCTTAAGGCGAGAATGTCGAGAGCTTTCTGACAATCCATGTCTGTTTTCCATAGCCTTGTTTATGTGTTCCATTAAGTATGAGCACGTCATTATGGTGTTTATTATAATCTTAGTTTACTATCATCTTAATTACAGACAGCGCCATTTTTAATGATAAATAATAAGTCTGAAATGGGACGACCACCTACGGGAAATGATAGATATGAAGGTAGGTACAGGTCATTATAGACAATTAAGATGTTGTCTTATTATTCCTTACAGCTGACAATATAGAGTTTAGCCGCAATAATGTTTTATACGTGACTTTACACTTTAAACTTACTGAACAGTTGTGAATATTGCAATATTGAAGAGTTAAATCTTTCTTTAGCAGGACTTTTTTCTGGCTTTAAATGTTACATACTTTAGTATTGCGACATTTATTCAAACAAGCCCATAATCAACTCTCTAGACCACCGGTGGATTAGATATCGAGTGCATTAGACAACGAGTGCCATATTTATATTAAAAGATAATTTGACAGTAAACATGGTGGCGGCATACTGAAGGACTGGAAATCGAGACTGTTTATTATCATGTCAATGGTACAATGTCAACAATCGTTGGACACAATTTAGGTTATTTCTTGTCTAAATATGTATAACTTCACTCAGAATGAAGTAATTTGACTGCAATTTTTAATATATTTATGTTTTATTATGTATTTTTGAACTATTATAACACGGCCAACACTTTATCTAAATCTGACATAAAGCATCTTTAATTCCCAAATGATTACAGTCGTTTATGACTTATGACAATGACCCGTATCTTTATACAATTTGCAATTCCTAAATACCAATTTAAACTGTTTCATGTGACTGCTGAATTACTGCTCATTTTAAAACCAAATTGCCGCATATAACTGTCATTGTACTGACAACTTACATTATATAAAGCTCATATTAAGACCAATTTTATCCATGGAGGAAAAGCATGTTTTAAAACTAGAATTCAAGTGATATGCTTTCAAAATGGCCTTTTTATCTTTTTCGGTATTTTACCATTCCATCTTAGCTAAAAATCCTGTCGCATGTAACCTTTGAAGATGCATAAGAGCTATATCTGCCTATTGCAGGTCTTTAATATGAGTTCAAATGTTATATACACTATTACTCAGACATGTATTTACATGACAAGCCTATAATCAAAACCCTAGGCCATCGACTGAAGATATTAAATAGTTGAGAACAACCGCGACATTTAATAATTTAACGTTAAACTGGATCATCGGGACTTGGTTTATAATCATAGCTATTGTACTTGATAATCAAAGGTTTATGGAAGAATTTAGATTATTTCTGGACCAGTTGATTATGACTAAGTGTGGACTATTATTTGGCAGGATTTTAATTATCATGTTGATGATTCCAATGACTGTACCGCGGTTGATTTTTGTGAAATGTTGAATAATAGATCTCTCACACAACATGTTTCTTCTTCGACTCAACGGTGGACATATTCTCGATCTGGTGATAACTAATCCATGTAATATTAAACTGGATAACCTTTATGTCTCGGACAAATTAATATCTGATCATTTCCCGGCAAGTTTTAATCTTAAGATCCAGAAACCACAACCAACAAGAAACACTGTAACATATCGAAGGTTTAAATCACTTGACACTAATAAATTTAAAGCGGAAATAGTCAACTCGAATTTCAATGACATTCAACGTATTCAAGATATACAAGAGAAGGCAACCCAATATAACTCTAAGCTTACTGAAATTTTGGACTCACTTGTGCCTCTTCAAACGAAAACATTTACTGTTTTCGTCCCAATACGCAGCTGTTTAATGATTCTATTTTAGAAGCCATAAGGCTGAACATCTATGGCGGATATAAATTTACATGTCCATAAACGGATTTATCGGATTTATAAATCTTTTAAAAACAACGTGAATAAATTAATTGAAGACGCTAAAATTTTACTCTGATAAAATAGAAAATGGTGAAAACAGACAAAAAGACCTGTATAAGGTTGCGAATTCCCTTTTGGATCATAATGCTGAGCGGACTATTCTCCCGGACAATGATAATGACACTGAACTCTTTAAAATACAAACTGAACTTGATAATTTAAATAAAACTATTGACTTTTACGCTCATGATTTTGATAAGTTAGAAGATTCTGTTTATTTAGAAAATTTTAACTTGGTTAGTGAATCTTTTGTTTTAAAGCTAATTAAATCGTCTGCTTCTAAATCTTGTTCATTAGATCCTGTTTCGACTCCCGTTCTTAAGGACTGTCTAGACGAAGTTATTTCCGTTTTTACCAATATTATTAATTCTTGTATCATCTTCTGCTATTCCCAACGTTTTAAAGCAAGCTTATGTAATCTCTTTAATTAAAATGTCTACACTGAATCCTAATGTTTTTAAAATAACAGACCTGTCTCTAACTTAAGCTTTATTTCTAAAATATTGAAGAAATGTATTGTTTCTCAGATAAAGACCCATCTAGATGATAACTGTTTGTATGAACCATTTCAAAATGCTTATAAACAATTTCACAGTACCGAAACAGCTTTAATCCGGGTTTTAAATGATATTTTAATGAAAATTGATAATAGAAAATGTACATTTTTAATTTTATTAGATTTATCTTCGACACGATGGATCCTTCTATTCTTTTACGTAGACTTAATTTTAAATTCGGTATTTTAGAAAGTTATCTTGTGGGTAGAAAACAGTGTATTTTAGTTAATTGTAAATCGTAGTCTGAATCTGTTTTGTCATCTGTGGTGCCTCAAGGTTCTGTTCTTGGTCCGAGTTTATTTACCCTTTATACGTCACCATAAGGTGATATTGTCAGAAAATATGGCCTCAGATTTCATTTGTATGCCGATAATACTCAATTATATATTTCATTTACACCTAATAGCAAAATTGCAACTTGAGAACTGTATTGGTGAAATTAGAAAATGTATGTCAAAGAACTTTCTAAAATTGACTGATGGTAAAACCGAATATTTGTTATTAGACCCAAGGCCTCAATTAAGTAAATTTGCACATGATAACTCCCGTGTTGTAATTGGTAATTGTGATATATTTTCATCTTATTCTGACCGTAATATTGGCGTAATCTTTGATAGTTTTATGCCCATGGGAGCTCAAGTAAGTAGTATTTGTAAATTGTGCTAATTTAATATCAGAAATATAGGTAAAATACGTAAATTTGTAACTGTAGAGGCCACTAAGTCACTTGTTAATTCTCTGGTCATTTCTCGATTAGATAACTGTAATTCGCTTTTAGTTGGTTTACCCTTAAAACGTATAGATAAATTATAAAAAGTACAGAATATTGCAGCTAGATTTGTAACTTTAACTAAGAAATGTGACCATATAACTCCTTCTTTATATAATTTACACTGGTTACCTGTTAAATATCGAATTGATTTTAAGATTTCATTACTTTTAAATGTTGAAATAATTTAGTTCCTGTTTACCTCTCAGATCCTTTAGAACTTTATACACCTGGCCGAACATTACGTACATCAGATAAACTACTTTTGAAGCCCCAAACTGTTCAACTAGTCTCTTGTGGCCGGCACTCTTTTAGTTTTCAAGCACAATATAACAACTCTTCCAGATCCTAGTGTAGTAAAGACAAGTAAAAATGAAATTTTGAACTATAAAAAACGAAACGAAATAGGATCTGTGTTTTAACCAGATTGTGGCTGATAGAATAGTATAATGATTATGTTAACTAATGTAAACCACAGTCTCTTTGGATATCTTGTTGGAGAACATTTTGTTCTTGCTCATTCATTCTTGCTTATTCATTTAAATACTTCTCGTCCAATACAGAAACAGCGAACAAATTGTAGGTTAGGTACCGATTACTACTCTAATATTATTTGTAGATTCCGAATAAGCTATTTAAAAAAAAAACCAAGTCGACGCAAAATAATTGATCACTTAAATAGAAGTTTAAGGACAGTGATAAAATGATGGTTATTTTATATGGACTGAAGAAAGTAATAATAATTTCAGCTTAATACTTTATTTTATGTTCACATCACGTATTATAACATATCCATCTTCTTTGTCTTCTTATTCCCTAAAGAGTCTACCACCATTTACTACGAAATGATGAATATTTCAGGAAAGCCACTCAGTTGAGCCCATCCGTCATTTTTCGATTGAATAATAGAATATTGTTCCATTAGTTATCTAAACTAAAGTGTTTGTTTTGTTTTTACTGATTGTTCACCTCCAGTTAAAGGGGTTCTTTTGTAGATGACTCAGCCTTAAAACCTGTATTGTTAAATGGCGTAATTTTGGTCAGAAGATTTTATGACATTATCATGAAAATTCGTATCCTTAATATCCGTTTCTTTTTAAAGAATGTCTTAATTTAAATCCTGCCATTTTGTTAAACACGATTATCCAGTCAGTGTGTAGATATAGTCTCGTCGGTCAGTCATCATCCAGATACAACCAGACAATAAAGACTGCCCTAGGGTCAATGAAATCTGAATGATACGAGATGTAAAGGACATAAATCGCCGTCATTTACTTGGAACCATGTCAAAGGTGGCCATATAATTATTCGTCTACGTGATAATACGGCCATGTAATATCCAACACTCTACAGGATACCTGGGCTTTAAATTTATAAATTGATGGACATTCACAAGCTTTTCATCTTTTGCTTCGTGCTTAAATAATAGCCATTATCACAGGTTTGAAACCATATCTGTTTGGATAGCTTCATAAAGTCAACATGTTAAAAGTGCTCTGTCGGTCGCAATGAACTAAATACCGAAGGTGCATCCTTGTCTTTGGTCGCAGATAATTCTGAGATTTATAGATGGTAACTAAATATGACGTACTTAAAATGGCCCATGTCTACTCACGAAGGTAGTAATGGGTGGATTCGGTGTTGTAATTCGAGAAATTCGTGTTTTAAAGGAGACGAATTCCATACCATTATAAAAAGACAGATAATGATGAAAGCTACTCGATCAACTTAAACAAAAACAACACCAAAACTTTAATTGAAGAATACGTTAATGACGTCATGATCACTAGAAAGTCTTTTAATATGGCGGTCAGATTTATATATTTTATGTGTCTAAAAGTTTTAAATCGACAATAATTGCTGTTTCTGGTTTGGTCAGTAACCGATCTCATTAAATACAGATCTATATTTCGTTTCGTTTTTTTATACTTTCTATGGACTCAACTACATAAAGATCTGACCGGTTGTAGTGGTATCTCGCGTCGGGGGTCATGCGATCGACTTTTGGCCCTATGACGTCAGATATTTGATTAACCAATCAGCGTTAATGTTTCTAGTGGGTTATCCATAGTTCCGTGCACCTCACGCCAAAAAAAAACCCCACCGCAACAGACCGTTTCATTGGCTAATCCCTCACATCATCCAGAACGTAGGTTATATAACAACTCTTCCAGATCCTAGTGTAGTAAACTATAAAAACATGAAACGAAATAGGATATTGTGCCGTTTGAACGGAGGTGGTTAGAACGCGTTAAAAGGGTGATTCTAGTAGTTGTCATCGCTAACTCCCTGTTTTGGTACATTTACTTTAAACCTCTTGAATTTCTTGTACTAGTCAAAACCGATCCATACTGAGGCTAACAAATATACTTCTGTTCTGGAGATGCAAATTTACAATTACGTGTTGGCTCGTCAACGCCCGAAAGGGGAATGAAATAATTTTGGAAGCAGGCCCCGAGTTCACAAAACATTCTCAGACTTAAATTAAGAATTTACTCAAAATTGTTCGCCTAATTTTAACTAAAATATAGAACTTATAAAACTTTTGTTGTTTTAATGTATCAAATACTTCAATATGAAACTATGTGCAAAGTTTTATGTTGATGGATTAAAGATATTTCTCATAAACAGTGATTGAGAAACTGAACTATACTATTCAAAAAAAGTTGGGGATATTTGATTTTGGGGGCATAATACTAAAATATGCAAATGACTACGAAAAAAGTCACTATAGAACCTAACAGAAGAAACATTTCCAGTTACATGTGACGCCCAAACGCACCAATAGCTACCGCATGGAATGCAGGTGATGCTTGGGATCATCATGGGGGTCCAACCCAAGATTTGCACGACTCTGACTTTGAATGTTACAGTCATTGTGGCATTGAATTCCAGGGTGGAAACATCAGTTTAATTGTTTTAGTGACCAGAAAACAAATTTTGATATGCGTCGGCTTACCCAAAATGAAAGGTTACGTGCCCTTGGCATGCTACAGATCGGCACAACACAGGCGGTTGTGGCGCGGACGATGAATGTTTCTCAGTCTGTCATAAGCAGGCTATGGTCCAGATACCGTGATACACAATCTGTACAGGACAGACCACGCTCAGGTCGACCAAGGGCGACAACTCAAGCCCAGGATCGATTTATCCGTACCTTGGCCTTGAGAAATCGTGTCATCACAGCAAATCAGATCAGCGCTCGTCTTCAAACAGACACTGGTGTGAGAGTGAGTGGCCAGACGTCCTCGCGTGATCCCTTGTTTGAGAGATCATCACATTCAGGCAAGACGTCGTTGGTGTAGAGATCGTCAACACTGGGATAATCGACGCTGGAGCAATGTGATGTTTTCAGATGAGTCAAGGTTCACTGTTGATTTTTTGGACAGACGTAGGAGGGTGTGGCGTCGTCGAAACGAGCGCTTCCAAGACGTTAACGTCATCAGACATGATCGATTTGGGGGTGGTTCTGTTATGGTGTGGGGAGGCATCACTGTTGCTGGAAGAACGGCTTTACATGTTGTTGCAGGGCGTGTTACAGGCCAGTACTACCGGGACAACATCTTGGCAGTCCATGTTGTGCCGTTCGCACGACGTCATGGCCGCCGTTTCATCTTCTAGGATGACAACGCAAGATGTCACAGGGCCAGGATCGTTACAGGTTACCTCCAACAACAGAACATCACCACATTACCTTGGCCAGCACTGAGTCCCGACCTCTTCCCCATCGAGCATGCCTGGGACATGCTTGGACAGAGGTTACGTCAACGTCAACAACGTCCTGCCAATGTCCAAGAACTTGCTGCTGCGTTGCAACAGGAATGGGACAATCTGGACCAAAATGACCTTAGACGTCTCATTAGGAGTATGCCACGAAGGATCAATGCTTGTTTGGCAAACAGAGGAGGATTTACCCGTTACTGACTTGGTTGTGATGCTGTGGTAACTTTGCTGTTCGACCCCGGGTATCATTTTACCCTTATAATGGTCAGTCTGTGCCTTACTTAGTCTAACGATCATTTGGAATAAATCGATGAATGTGAACTTCATTTCATTTTGTCATTTGTTTCTTCGTCAGTTTCATTAGGTGACTTTAATAACACTTAAAAATCAAATATTCCCTACTTTTTTTGAATAGTATATATATATGTCAATATACTGTGTTCAAGTTTCTGTCATGAATTATAAGATCAAATATTGGTTTTTTCTATAATAACTGCATGAAGTATATTTCATCTCCTGGGTGAATTAAAATTAACATCTAGATCAAACAAACCTACCTACCTTTATAGATATGGCAGACAGAGTTGTTTTATATCAAAAATAGATACTGGATACATTATTAAAAAACGGTTTTTAGAAGTGGAATTTGCCTTTAACTTCGCAATCTTGATCTAAGCATAATTTTTGATCATCCGGTTTAAAATAATGTTTTCGCTATCAATTAAAGTATCTTTTCGCTTTCAATTGAAGTATGTTTTCGCTATCAATTGAAGTATGCCTGGTTACAGTTACAATTTTTGTTCTCAAACCGATAAGTCGGTACGATAAAAAACGTAGTCTCGATTATCCATTTTTTGATTAAATCATCAATGAACGTTGAGCAGCAAATCGGATTCAAATCCAGTAAATATCGCAGGCCAGCGATGACCTGGATACGTTAATTAATGTCTAATTAATAATTTAGATAACATTTCAGGCCTAAAGAAAGACTTGCAATAGTCAGATTTAGCTCTTGCATAATGTATGTTTAATATGTGTGGTCTATATGTGCCGTTTATTGGACCTGTAACGATATTATCACACTTACTCTTATAATCTCCACTATGGGCAGGTATTAACTTCCATGTGAAAACTTATATTTCTAGGATACTGCAAAGATTTGGCAGAAGTCATCTCTAAGCAATTAGGGATCAGCTACATCCTGGTACTTGTAGAAGACAGTAAATATGGCAGCGAGTTAGATAATGGTTCATGGGATGGAATAATAGGCGCATTAAGAAGAGGGGTGAAGTCAATCTTCCAACCAGCATAGTTTTCACGCAAGGCAATCAATATGTGATAGTCACTTAGACCTAGCCTTAAACATCATACATCATTTTTAAATTAGCGCTTTCCAAATTTCTGCTGTTTTAGTTAAGGCGATCGCTACACGTTTTACTGGATGTGGGATTCCAAAGGGAATTCCCCACAAATTCTAACGTGTCTCCCTAAATAGAACAAAATTTTACTAATTGTCTAAATACAAAAATTACACGTATACAGTAATTTAACAGATCAAAGGCAATGTATCGCATCACCATGCAGTAGGTTAAACCATGCGCAATGAATTCCATCTAAGTCATGATGCCCAGTTCTTTATTTTAAAAGGCCGTCAAAATAACTTTCCTGTGTTTCTATAGGAATGCTTTATTCCACAACTGGGATCAAAGTATTGTTATTTCTCGATTTTCACCTAGGAAATCATGTATTCGTTATGACATACCTCACGTCTGTGAATATATAGCTGATAGAAGCTTGAGTTATTTCATAATAAAAGGATTTACTGGTGAAACTATTTGATGTTAGGATATTATAGACATTTCTTGTTATTTCTTTAGATTACCGAAAGGCTCTTGTCATTTGATCCAGTATTGTTTACGAGTTTATTTTTATAATAATCTTTAAGTAAAAACCCTTTTTACATTATTAATTTTGTCACCAATATATTATTGCAAATGACAGTTATCATCCACATTTCCAGGTTTTGATCTGTTAAGACCTTTAATACACGCTTTTAAAAAAATCTATGTTCTCGCAAAATCTCATTTCTCATGCGGATTTTCTTTTAATTCCAGCAAGCTGACCTATCTGTGGCACCGTTAACAATAACAGCCGAGCGAGAGAGAGTCGTGGATTTCTCTAAACCTTTTATGAATGTCGGCATCAGCATCATGATTTTGAAACCAGAGAAGCAGAAACCGGGAGTTTTCTCGTTCATGGAACCTTTCTCGATACAGATCTGGGCTTGTATAACTATAGCCTATATCATAGTTAGTTTTAGTATATATTTCGCAAGTCGCTTCAGTCCTTATGAATGGAGTACTGAAGATCTGACGTCAGGCACTATTTATCACAACCAGTTTACACTACCAAATTCCTTCTGGTTCTCGATGGGTGCTTTAATGCTACAGGGAAGCGACCATGTATGTCCGAGGTATTGATATTACGTAATTACGTTGACTTCTGTTAATTACATTATGGAACCATCTCTCACTCACAGATGTGTTTTTGCCAATACGAATTAGCGACAACTTCATCTTGTACAAAAAAAAAACCCAAGTTGATATTTGACGGAGTGTGGCTAATACGTATTGATTTGTTAAATCCATCAGAAGTTAATTTCGTTTGTAATACATTCAATTACTTCTTTCTTTTTATTCCAATATTCTTTAATTGGGGTAGCTATGACCAATTAACCTTTTACCCTTTTTCATAGTTCAACTCAAATTTTAAAAAGCATCCCCATTACTCATACTGGTTATCAAACATTTATTGATAATTGCACAGTTCACCTTCCGCGCGGATGAATACAACATTCTTCCTTTCTGTAACGAAACGTGTGCATTTATACTAAAAAAGTAACGATTAGTGATTCGTACTTTAGCAAATTGATATCGTTACCATGGTTACCAAAAGTTGAGATTCATGATTGTCTGGGTTTCCTATAACATTAACGGAAGTCGGCCATCTTTTAACAACTACTGCGACTAAAGGACGAAAATAAATCCAGACAATTTCCATTTTCTGAAATTAATAAACAACAAACATGTTCCAAAATTTGAAGATTTGAATTACATTATAAGATTTAAAAATAAATTTTTCTTAAATTGTCGGAAGAGTTAAGTGTTTAAATGGTTGTATATATTATTTTATTGTAGATCTACAGCAGGACGTATTATAGGTGGTGCCTGGTGGTTTTTTGTATTAATTACAATATCATCGTACACAGCTAATCTAGCAGCGTTTTTAACAATAGAACGGATGTTAACGCCCATAGATTCACCAGATGCTTTAGTTAAACAGACACAAATAGCTTATGGCACCGTTGATGCTGGTTCTACCATGTCATTTTTTCAGGTATATTGTTCTCATGTATTGTACAATAACAATACTTTAAAATATTTAAATTAACACACCATTATTCTCATCATATGGCAGAACGCCAGATCGAAGACGGTCCTGCACATTTTAGCACATATGACGTCATGTTGCTAAGGGTTAGGGTAAGGGTCAGGACCTGTAGATTCCACCAAACTCTCGAGATGTAATCAAAAACACATTTTTATGGATGTAAACATCTCGAGATGTAAACATGGCTAGCGCTAACCCTAACCCTGGACCAAACCCTAACTCTTACCCTAACGCGCATTCCACACGACGTCATAAAAAGGATCGTCTCCGATCTAACGTTCTCCCATCATATGCCACGTTGTAAATAATTTGTATCAGAACGGTAATTGAAATATGTGAATAAAGACTACAGCTTATCCAATAACGTCGGTAATCTAAATGCAAGTTTGCAGCTGTATCTAAAACACCGGATTCAACTTCTGTTTGAGTTCACATAGGTATCAGCATATCTAACACAATTAATATTAAACTCTTGTCATTAATCTATTTGAGAAATTAAAAGTTACAACATCAATATTAAACTCTTGTGTCGTTAATCTATTTCAGAAATCAAAAGTGACAACATATAGAAGTATGTGGAATTACATGGCGTCAGCTACACCCAGTGTCTTTACAAAGACGATAGCAGAAGGCGTTCAAAGAGTTAGAAAGTCCAAAGCTAAATATGCTTTTTTATTGGAATCGTCTAGCAACGAATTTTACAACAACAAAAAACCCTGTAATACTATGAAAGTTGGACCCAATTTGAACCTGAAGGGATTTGGTATAGCAACACCTTTAAACTCTGACCTTAAGTAAGTTGACTTTATTTATAATCTACTAATTAATCCAAGTGATTACTACCTGGAATTGATCATTATTATAACTTTATTATAAGAAGAAGTGGTATCCTTGTGTTTTCATCACAAACAGTCGGGAACGGATATATCGGTACAGAATCTGTCAATAGTATAATTGGTCATTTTTTTATTGTCAACGGCAATCAGATTAACGTGTTGTTTTTTTAACTGTAGAAGAAATCATCATTGTTCTTCCTACAAAATACAGAGATCGGAAACGTGTGAAATATTGCAGGCTTTCTGAGTTAATGTTATTATGAAATTAAATTACGCCATTTTGTTTTGTGTTTTGCGTATAATGACATTATTAGATACACGGGAAATTAGTCACTTAACTCTATCAGATGGAATATATGAGATGCAAAACTTCAAACTACTTTTTGATCTTTAGTATTGGTTTTGATATATAGTCGTCACCTTTGTCCGTCCGCCGTGCACACCGAAATTTATACACAGTGCATATTCATGAGACGAAGAAGCCTTCTGATTTTCAAGGCTTTCCGATAATTACGTTCCGAGTTCTGTAGACTGTAATCGCGTTGAAAAATCTTTTGGTCTTTCTTACCTCCACAAAAACGTCTTTTGAGTAATAAATCTGTATATTTAACTGGATATATGTTGCAATGTTGTTTTATTGGTTATGGAAACGACGTCGTTTAAGATTTAATGGTAACATCGGTAACCAGTGAAACCCCTCATGTCTGCATCGCAGGTCGACTCGAAAATGGCTGTTGTTTTGACCTCAGTTATACACTTACCTTATAAATTACTGTCTCTCTTTGTTTCATTCTACAAGACAAATCATTTTTGATTTCATGGAAATTGTTTTATTTCTAGCAGGAAATTGAGGTCTAATTGAAATTACCCGGTCTAGAGATGTCAGCCACATCGTGCAGACTGTACAGTATAGATTAACATTATCTAGTTTGCCCGTTGTAAGAATCTAGGACAAAATTTGAATAGGATATGTCTTGAAAGAATTAGATACTACGTATGATTTATCGAAAGGTTTTTCCTTTCTTCAGTTTAGTTTATTAAGTCCTGTAAGATTTTGAAGAAAATGGTTTATTGTAGAAAATATTGTTAAACATATATCTTGTTGTTTTTTAAAATTGTCTTTCTGATATTTATAGTTTCTCTCAATAACACTATGATAATAGCCGAAAACAGGAAATATAGCCAAAAAATAATAACAATTTACACAAAACCTAATGCACTTTACATACCGTTTAAGCAATTAAAGTTTTTAAAGCCTAGATTGCCTATAATGAAATGATTTAGCTAAACCAACATAACACATATTGAACATTATAAACACATAATATCTCTTCTTCCATCTTGCTATTACTCTTTGTGACAACATAAAAGTTGGTCATATTTCATGTAGAATTTAATCATTAAATATTACATGATTACTATGATAAATCATAGGTGTGGTGGTGGTGGTGGTGGGGGGGGGGGGGGTTATCTAACAATCGTTTTTGTAATCATTCTAAATATAATGGAAACAGTTGTTCCCTTGTTAAATGCATTTTTGTAATAATCAGTTTTCTATAATTTACCCTCCACTGAAGCCAAAAGATATCATCATTATCCACTCTGGTTTTGATTATGATGGTGGTGATGATGATAAAGATAATGACGACGATAAAGATGAATATAGTTTTAAGTTCCACAAATAATATATTAGAACAGATTATTGGTAAATTAACGGAATCTGAAATAGAAATTCGTTGGGAAAACTATACAAAATATATATAGGTTAATACATAACTTTTACCAATACATTACCAATTTTAAGGAGACTTTTGATATACACGGACGTTTGTATTGTATGTTTTTACCAATTTTAAACCCATTATGTGTAAATAATTTAATTGAATTAACATGTCCATAATATCATATTTAATGTATTGGACGTTAAATCTGTAATAAACAACAACAACAACATATAAGGGATATACCTCAGGAGCGTAAACTGCCTCGGGATAAGCGGTTTGGTGCGGTGGGCTATGGGTTGGAATCCCATAAATATCAACACTTGGACAATGTTGATGTAATATCAGTGTGAAATGAAATGGGGTTTAACGTCCTATTGTTCTGCACCGACTGGGCTAATGAAGACGGGCATACGCCATACAGTGTACTATGAGGGAAATCTTGCCCGGGCAGCAGCACTATGGGCTACTCTTATATCGAATTCCAACTGCCAGGGGATATTTTACGTGCACGCCAATGTATACACGGGACCTCTGTTTTTTGTCCGATCCGAACGACTAGACAGTTGTCCTTGTCAGCCCCCCGTCCTGCACATATTGTACATATTGGCGTGCACGTAAAAGATCCCTTGGCAGTTGGAATTCTATATAACCGTAGCGCCGCTGCCCGGGCAAAATTTCCCTCATAGCACACTGTATGGCGTATGCCCGTCTTCATTAGCCCAGTTTAGGGGCAGAACAGTAGGACGTTAAACCCCATTTCATTTCATTTTTTTTGTCTATAGTATATATATATATATAGTAAAGTAGATCAGCTTTAAGAACTTCGAGTTTAAACATACATTAAGCAAGAGCTAAATCTGCATATTGCAGGTCTTTCCTTAGGCTTCAGATGTTATAGAAATTATTAATTAGACATTAATTAACTTATCCAAACCATAATCAACACTCGATGTCATCTTATGTGTCGGATGTTCACTGGATTTGAATCCGATCTGCTGCTCAACGCTCATTGATGATTAAATCCAAAAGTGGATAATCGAGACTATGGCTAATATCTCGGTTCAGAGTGGAGCAATTTGATTGAAATTTTCAACTTAATCGATTTACGTTATTTTATTTTTTAACTATTATAGCGAGAACAGCCAACTCTTTATGTAATTTTCTATAATGTATCTTTAAGGTACATAGTATACATAAAATAAAAATTACAATTTCGCCCAGTTACAAAAAAACAAAACAACCACTTTCACGTGTTCTTCATAAATTAGCTGTCAGTCCTTAATTTCACGTCTTCAGATGTTATATTATCTATAAATGGTGTATACAGTATACATGCGTAAAATTATATATTACCATGAAAAATGATATCAACCTAGGTACAAATACAACAAAATATATAATAGATAATAATAAGATATATAATAGATAATAATAAGATATATAATAGATAATAATAAGATATATAATATAATAGATATATAATAAGATATATAATAGATAATAATAAGATATATAATAGATAATAATAAGATATATAATAGATAATAATAAGATATATTATAGATAATAATAAGATATATAATAGATAATAATAAGATATATAATAGATAATAATAAGATATATAATAGATAATAATAAGATATATAATAGATAATAATAAGATATATTATAGATAATAATAAGATATATAATAGATAATAATATATAATAGATAATAATAAGATATATTATAGATAATAATAAGATATATAATAGATAATAATAAGATATATAATAGATAATAATAAGATATATAATAGATAATAATAAGATATATAATAGATAATAATAAGATATATAATAGATAATAATAAGATATATAATAGATAATAATAAGATATATAATAGATAATAATAAGATATATAATAGATAATAATAAGATATATAATAGATAATAATAAGATATATTATAGATAATAATAAGATATATAATAGATAATAATAAGATATATAATAGATAATAATAAGATATATAATAGATAATAATAAGATATATAATAGATAATAATAAGATATATAATAGATAATAATATATAATAGATAATAATAAGATATATAATAGATAATAATAAGATATATAATAGATAATAATAAGATATATAATAGATATTAATAAGATATATTATAGATAATAATAAGATATATAATAGATAATAATATATAATAGATAATAATAAGATATATAATAGATAATAATAAGATATATAATAGATAATAATAAGATATATAATAGATAATAATAAGATATATCTTACTCCGTCTTCCTGGTATAATCTGATAAATATATAATCAATCAACATAGAATTTTTATAGCGCAGACAATACTTCGATAAAGTTCCTCGTGCACTTTAAAGATGATGTGGATTCGTTTACTGTTTATTTTCGCCAAATAGTTGTGTCTTCAAACGTGACTTGAAGAAGTCTAATGTTTGTGATTCTTTGATGTCTAAGGGTAGAGAGTTTCAGACAAAATATGCTGCAAACTATAGACGTAATGAGAGAGAGAAATGGGGTTTAACGTCCACTCGACACAAATCAGGTCATTTCTGGACTAACATATGGTTCAATTTTATTTCAATAATTCGCTTGCGCATATGGGTCTTTAGCAGTGGGAGGAAACCGGAGGACCCGGAGAAAACCCACGAGGTTGGACAGGCGATTTACTCCTTGTCATGTACAACCGAAGAATCGAATCCACGCCAGTTGTCTGAATGATAGACCTTATGATGCAATGTGCACGCGTTAACCATTCGGTCACCCCCCCCCCCCCATCCGAATGTCAATAGATGAGTCATGTAAGCTGTAAACAATACACGGGTAATATAAGATAATATAAACACCGCATAAAATGAGTCGATAGTCTGGAAATAAACAGTATTTATAACATATTAAAATTTCTATACTTAGCCTACATGTATAAGATATGTGTAGGTGGGTTGGGGATGTAAATTAAACGTTTCAGTCTGGTAATTGGTCAATCAAATTCGATTACATGGTTCACCTCTTCACGGTATCGTCAGTTTCACTTTAAAAAAATGAAAAAATACTAATTTTAATATCATATTTTTGGCACAAGTTTTTTAATGTGATTTATTTGTAGCTCCCAGATGAGCGAAAATATACTTTGAAATGTTAAAATGTTATTAAACCAGTGTTGAAACCAGCTTGTGTCGGTATACGTTTTACCTTTCAATACTGTGAAACAAAGTATTGCAGCTTTACGCTTGTGCTAATATTTCCGAATATATATTAAATTTTAAATGTTTTTTTTTTCTCAAATACATCAATTTGACTTATATTTAAGCTATATATATTTGTTAATGCGGTACTTTCCGCACAATTTGGTAAGAAAATTATTCTGGATTTTCTACTGATTTAGTGTTTGACCTTAATATATCATATTAAAATATTCGTGATTCTTGATTAGTTATGAATTAGCTACCAGACGATCTATTACAGTTCTATATATTATAGGTCGCATTCCTATTATCTCTTAAACGTAAACATTGGATGACGTAGACTTATTCTCTTCTGTGTTTTATCTGGAGAATGCACGTGTCCAAAACAAATATCCATTTCACTTGAATCCTCGAGAAGATTGAATAGATGCCTGAAGATCATAAAGCATGAAGCTTATTGTGATACTCAGAAACTTATTTCGTTTGAAGATTAGAAAACGTCGTCTCCGCTTGAAAAAGTTTTCATAATTTCATGACAACTGTATGATGTTTTGAGGAATGGGAGTCAATGGTGATTTATCTTTAATCATGTTGAACCTTTCAGCGTGACTGAATTCACCAAAAGTCTGAAATGCACAAAGATTTCTAATATCTTTTATCAATACTTCATGATGATGTGTTGAAGATTTTACCCGCCATTACCATCAAGTGGGTCGAAGCTTCCAGTTTTTCTAATAGAAACTGACTGACGCAAAAACACCTCGAGAGACTGGCATTTCTCGCTTATTGATATTAATTTTTCAGGAGACGATCTTACCAAAATAAGAATTAGAAAAAAATCCTTTGATTGATTGAGAATATGGAAGAGGTCCAGAGAAGAATATTGTATTATAATGGCTGAGACATACCCAAATACTTGCCTTTACACATTAAAACCTATCGAAAATTCTTACTTATTTAACATGGATTTGACATCATTGTGGTATCTTCTGATATATACGTCATTCTGGTATACAAACCATTCTGCTGTATACAAACCAGAATATATACTATTCTGGTGTATGCATTATTCTGGTGTATGCACTGTTCTGGTATATTTACTATTCTGGTGTATGCATTCTTCTGGTATATACACCGTTCTGGTATACCCACCGTTCTGGTATATACACCATTCTGGTATATACACTATTCTGGTGTATGCATTATCCGGTTGGTGTATCCAGATACACCGTTCGTATATCAAGACCTGCTAGATTTAACTCAGACCCCGGCGTGACTACAACTTAAAGTGTAATGTGGGATGCCTTTCGGGAATCGTTTAAGATTATGCTTTATTTTTTATGAGTATCTTGGGACTATAATAGCAGTAGGCCTACGTACATCATTACACTAGTATGTCCTGGTAGTTGCAATTAGAGCCTGTGAACAAATTGTCTTTTATAGTTATTGAATTTAATCAGGTTCTTTTATTAGTTTCTGTCCAATTCCTGTATTCGTTAGAATAAAAAACAACTACAACGTTAATATGTGATATACGATATCGTAAAACATGACGGCTGTATCCGGTAGACAGGACTATAATGGCCGAATAGTCGTAGAACGATATCGTAACGGCCAACTAAACCTCTAAATATCCAGAGAAAAGTCAGTGAGTAGTAAACATTGACAGAATTCTAAAATCGTTATTGTATTCCGTGCCAATAATTTCTCCTTAGATACTAACATTGATTAGAGTAAGATCCCGACATTTAATTTAGGCATCGGTTATGAATATAAACATCACTTTTCTCACGAATTACTCTTCTAGAATCGATGGAAAAGGACTACGGTGTCTTGACCATAATGGCCTGCACCGATCTAATTAGAAGAGAAGAATTCTACTTAATCTTAACTATAGCGAAGCATGGATATCTGTTCCAGACAAACTGATTTGATAGTGATAACTTAACAACACAATATTGAACTGGAAAGATGATATTCACATGCCTTATAAAAACGGATTGTCTGGATGGGAGGGTAAAATAAAGACACTAAACGTCACATAAGATTGTTCTTTAAGTAAAGTCAATATTCCCTATCTTTGTACATGTGGTCTGGGGTTGACGTACATTAAACCCATCAAACATTCGGACTCTATAGATAAAGCTTCGTGTTTTTCTTACAGCTTTTAACTAGATTAAAATCTATAGTCTGCACATCTCATTTCCTAAAGCGTGTTCCTGGACCAGTGAACTTTAGACATTTTTCATATGCATTTCTTTTTTAATAAAACAGATAATAAGAATTCCTCCTTGTTGATAAGTTAAACAGCTCCGCTAATTTTAAATAAGATATTTTAAAGCTTGTTTAAAATAGGGTCAATAACCCCACGAAACATAACGTGCAGTTCTCAACAGTCATTGGTGTCGGCATTACTCAAAAACAAAGTTGAGTTTTATGAGGGATTCGATTATTTTACAACTCTCGTGGCTAGCCACTTGGTGTATTTTCCAATTTCTTGTCTTAATTTGAGCGGTCTGGCCCAACAAGTCTCACTCTGAGTTAGATCTCAAAGTTTTAGAACAGAATGAGTTGTTTCTGTCGCATGTGCCTATTGCTATAATTTGTTCCGGATTTAATGACCTCTGACACATTGAAAGTATCTGCTGATTTAATATCCACATATATACTGATGTAGGGTTTGACTCGTTAACTACCGGGTTTGACTCGCTAACTACCGGGTTTGACTCGTTAACTACCGGGTTTGACTCGCTAACTACCGGGTTTGACTCGCTAACTACCGGGTTTAACTACCGGGTTTGACTCGCTAACTACCGGGTTTAACTACCGGGTTTGACTCGCTAACTACCGGGTTTGACTCGCTAACTACCGGGTTTGACTCAGGTTTGACTCGTTAACTACCGAGTTTGACTCGTTACCTACCAAGTTTGACTCGTTACCTACCCGGTTTGACTCGTTACCTAGCGGGTTTGTTCGTTACCTAGCGGGTTTGTTCGTTTGACTCGTTACCTATCGGGTTGGACTCGTTTACCTAGCGGGTTTGACTCGTTAACTAGCGGGTTTGACTCGTTACCTAGCGGGTTTGTTCGTTACTTAGCGGGTTTGACTCGTTACTTAGCGGGTTTGACTCGTTACCTAGCGGGTTTGTGTATGAAAAAGAATCAGGAATCAGTTACGTATTTGTTTGGTTCGCCAAATACCTATTTTATAACAGCTCAGAACTGATTTATTATATCAATTCACTATTGTTAACTGTCCTAACGAAATACCCTGCTTCATTTATATAGATAGATAGTCTTCATTAGCCCAGTCGGAGCAGAACAGTAAGACGTTAAACCCCATTTCATTTCATTTCAACAACCCAACTCTTTATTATTAGTATAGATCTTTGGTTTAATTTCTTATTAAATTAGGGGGTCACTTTGGCTAAGTGGGTAAGACGCTGGCTCGCTGTCCTGGCGGTCGGGTGTTCGATCCCTGCATTGGCCGAGAAACTACATCCAGATTTTCCGGTTCCCCCTTGTCAGTGATGCAGGAGGGCCTGAAAAGGACAGCTGTCTAGTCGTTCGGATGGGACAAAAACAGAGGCCCCGTGACAATTGGAATTCGATATAAGAGTAGGTCGTAGTGCCGCTGTCCGGTCAAAATTTCCCTCATAGCATGCCCATCTTCATTACCACTGTTCGGAGCAGAACAGTAGGACGTTAAACCACATTTCATTTCATTTCATTTTCTTATTAAATTAGTTATGGTAAACTATGTGTGGCTACCATCTTTTTCTATCATTAAAAATAAAGTACCGGGCCAGTCCCATTACCTAATCAAACCCCACTACCAGTGTATACCTATAAACAAGGATATAATGATTCTAATCAGCTAAATCGCTAATATTTGGGACCTAGAAATTGACACAAATGGGTCTCAACGCATATAATAATGTAATCTGATTGTATATAAAATGATTTACATTCAATCATTTCCGTTTTTACTCTAATTTTTAAACCAGTTATGTTCGTTGAAATACGCGAGAAGTCTCAATCGAATGGCAATCTCTAGTGCCTGGTTATTCCAGTCTACACCGATAGTAGACTATTTATTGTGCATGCCCTCTACATAAGAATGTGGCGTCACCGTTTGACATGATTCGTGGAATATATCCAGCCTCGTTATTCAAGTCCCTTATTACAAATGGCGTTGAAACGCATTATGGTACACGAGTCGTGTACCAATGGTAAAATGTGTATTTTGTCTTAAATATTTGATATCAGAAGCCCGGCTTTTCCCGGTAAGTTCACAACATCATCGATGATTTAAATCGACAAATAATTCGTGTTTTCAATGTCGAAGACTTTGAGTGATATTGAGTTATAGACTTGACTACTTTAATGATTTAATAGCCTGTCTTCTTGCAGCGAAATATTTGCTTGTCCTATGTATGTATGTCGACTACATGAAGAAATAAATAGCAGCTGCAACTGACTGTTATTTAATGAGGTAGTTACAAGCTATTAGTTTACTTCATCATTTATTCATTTTTTCCCTTTATATTTTCTTCTGTCGTTTGTTATTTTAGAGAAGCTATTAATTATGCCGTACTTAAATTAAAAGAAGACGGAACACTTCATAAACTTCAACAGACGTGGTGGTTTGAAAAGGGTGAATGTGGTACGGATCCTGGGAATAGGGTAAGTTTAACCCCAAACTCAGAGAAGTTAATGACGGGCTTTCTTTATATAAATCAAATTTTAGTGTTGATTATAAATGTATTTGGTCTGGATTTTTAAACGTCCGCTTCCACAATCTTCATTTCGTAGACTAGCATTTTTTACACGCCCACATTGAAATGTGGTCATATATTGTCGCCCGTCCGTCCGTCGGTCCGGCTCTAGAGGCTAAAGTTAACATCCGATTGACTTAAATTGATACACAGTGTTTAAGGTCATGAGACGAAGAAGTCTATTCATTTTCAGCGATTTTCGATAATTACTGCCCGAGTTATGGCCCTTGATCACTTCAAAAAATATTGTGGACGCTCTAGAGGCCATTGGTAATATCCGATTGACTTTAAATTTATACACAGTGTTTAAGGTCATGAGACGAAGAAGCCTAGTGATTTTCAGCGATTTCAGATAATTACTGCCAGAGTTAATATCCGATTGACTTTAAAGAATCCTATTGAATTTCAATGATGTCCGATAATTACTGCCAACGTTATGGCCCTTGATCACTTTGAAAAATCTTGTGACGCTCTAGCGGCTAAAGTTATTATCCGATTGACTTCAGATTGATACACGGGGTTTAAGATCTTGAGACGAACAAGTATATTGATTTTCAATGATTTTTTTATAAAAGACTTGAACAGCTAAATCCGTGATATTAAAAGTTTCGTATACTAATTGGCACAGAACTTTATAAAAACCAAACAAATTCTAATGGTTTTCTGATAATTACTTCATGAGTTGTTACTCTTAATCAGATTTTAGAGTATTATAAATGTTTCATTACCGAAAAAAGTAAAAATATGCGACAACGCTTGTTAATTGCCCTGCCCGAACGATTTAGCTGCTTTGGGCGTATGTTTCGTTGCCTGGCAACCTATCTTTTTATGAACTTTGACTTCTTATATTATTATTATTATTATTACAGCATATTTATAGTGCACCCTTTCATATAACATGTTCAGGGGCACCTTACAAAGTGACAATATAATAATAAATAAAAAACAAGATTATGGACATGTTAACAGTTGTATAAATGTGTTTTAAGTAGGTTTTTTTTAAAAGAATATAGATATGTACAACATCTTAAACTAAATGGTAGATTATTCCATAAAACAGGTGCTTGAAAACTAAAAGTGCGCTGACAATAAGAGACTAGTTGAACAGTTTTGGGCTTTAAAAGTAGTTTATCTGTAATCCACATCGAACTCTGTATTATTATAACTTTATTATGAGAATGGTCTCCCTTGGCATGGCATTAATAAAGATAGGTGCAATTCATACAATCAATAGCCAAAATTTACAAAATTGACTGGTCCTGACTGAATGAGATTTATAACACAAATAACGAGCCTGTGATATATTTTTCATTTTGCTCGAGCTAGTAACATAAACTTGGTGTCCTATATATTTGCAATCTGATTAAAATACAGATGTATATTTCGTTTCGTTTTTTTTATACTTTCGATGGACTACATGAAGATCTGACCAGTTGTAGTGGGAGATCGCGTCAGGGTTCCCCACAGCTCCCTGCATCGGACGCCAATAACTCGCTGCAACAGACCGTTCCATTGGCTAATCCCGCACATCAACTAGAACGCGGGTTATATAACAACTCTTCCAGATTCTAAAGTAGTAAAGACAAGCAAAACGAAATTTGAACTATAAAAAACGAAACGAAATAGGATCAGTGTTTTAATCAGATTGCTATATTTGTGTCATCTAGGGTAATATCACATGTTGGCCTATTAATGATATCCTCGGCCAGGCCAATTATTCACAAAATTAACAAAATTCTCTTATCATATCATTGTATACTTTGGTGGAAAGGTTTAACTAAAGTGATGGGGTTGAAAGTGTGAGAAGCTAGTCATGAATAGAATGTTACCATTATACAGATAATGTAGCCAAACGGTTAATAAATCATTAGAAACTAATATTTGTTTACAGGAATCTAAGAAGAGATCTTTATCTTTAAGTAATGTGTCTGGGATCTTCTATATTCTGATTACTGGATTAGTTCTGGCGATTATTATTGGTTTGATAGAAATATATTATGGAAGGAAACACCCACCACAACTTGTAGTAAGTACACCATTTTATTGTCTCCATGGAATATTGATATGGAGTGAAAATTACGACATCATTTTAACTATTAACCGGATCAGTATGCTATGCTAGTATGCTATGATGCTAGATAACTGTAGTTGCCATCGCCTCTTGTAATATTTGTAAATGTCAAACAGTTGGACTACTTTAATATTAAAATAAAATACGACTGAAAATTAAAAGTAATCATGGAAATATTACAAAATTCAAACTACAGTATTTAAGAGATGTCATATAAATTAGCATTTTTACATCAGTAAATAGCCACCTTACTATGTAAGTAAGAAGTTACATGCATTGAAAGCACAAGCATTACCGAGTTAAAAAAAATTATGTCGTTAATTTCACTCCATCATAACGCATCTTCTGCTGTTCACAATACACTCAAGGAACTTTCATATTAAATGTTATGGATCAAATCTTTTAAAAATTTTGAATGAGCCAATTAAGTAATATAACAAAACATGTGCTTTATTAATATATTCACATGTTATATTATCGTCACCTTGCCCCTTTATTAATATATTCACATGTTATATTATCGTCACCTTGCCCCTTTATTAATATATTCACATGTTATATTATCGTCACCTTGCCCCTTTATTAATATATTCACATGTTATATTATCGTCACCTTGCCCTGTTATTTATATATTCACATGTTATATTATCGTCACCTTGCCCCTTTATTAATATATTCACATGTTATATTATCGTCACCTTGCCCCTTTATTAATATATTCACATGTTATATTATAGTCACCTTGCCCCTTTATTAATATATTCACATGTTATATTATCGTCACCTTGCTCTTTATTAATATATTCACATGTTATATTATCGTCATCTTGCTCTTTGTCTATACAAAATGTTTGAAGTTGTTGTCCTGGGCTTATTCTATACAAGACACTTAATTAAAGTCGCTTATCAGGTGTTCGCAGAGTTATGGTTCCTGGCATCATTGTAATCGATCTGCACGGATCTGCTTGACAGGCGTTTTGAGATTTAAAAAAAAAATGAAATCTGTTGAAATTTGGAGTCACGCATCAATTATTTATGAGTTGCTGCTTTTGTCATCCAATCCTTGTCATAAAACTTGTTGGGTTTCGGAATATTTAGATAGTATAATAACAGCCCGGGAGAATAGCCGGTTAATGGGCGTATGTTTCGTTGCCTGGCAATCTATCATTTTAAAAATTAAGACTCTGCCTTTATATTTTGCTGCCTGTCTACAGAATTTGTTCAGCAACATAAGAATGTTTTTGTCAAGGACTATGACAATCGTTAGGGAAATACAAGATAAACTCATGTAATTTTCTTAATCAGTGATTCCAAGATAAACAACAAATGAGATGGCTATACTTGTTTTTCATGTAATTGTGTGGGCTATCGTAAACGAAATAATAGGTTCTCCATACGATTGTCGTAAAACTGGAAACCAAAGAAAAGCTAATCAAAAGAATAGCAAGTGATTAGCCACGGTACCATTCTGTTTGCCAGAAACTCGAGAATAATGACGGCGATAAAACTAAAAACACACAGCTTTTAAATCCGGCACATTTCTTTCGCAATCTGGAAGAAAACCCAAGACGTTCATTAGAACTAGAGCAGATCATTAACTTGGACTTATTCGCCATGTTGACTTGGTTTATAGTCTAATGAGATTTAAACATGAAATGGCGGAGATTTCTGGGTAACCGTGTAATATTCCTGGAATAATAAAGCCGACTTTACTGTCATGGCTTCATAACATAATGACCATTCACAGGATAATAAAAGTCACGTAGTTCGTAAATACAGGTTTCAACTTTTACTGCGTGTAAAACCACACCACTGTTGCCAATTTAAAGCCACTTTTCGTTGTACTTTTGAGTCCATATTAAACTTACGCTGCCTGTCTACTCGACAACGCTGCCTGTCTACTCGACAACGGACACTGCCTGTCTACTCGACAACGCTGCCTGTCTACTCGACAACGGACACGGAGATAGTTAACCGACATGTTAATTCCCATTTTGACGATTTTAGTCGTAAACACCAAGTGTTTCGAAAACACCATTATACTTCGAGAATTTTGAGAATACATTTTCTCATGTATTCAAATTGAAAATGTTTATAATTTAGTTTGTATGTGTATGGAACGGATTAGAATCGCACAACAAAATAGTACACTTATTTTTCAATATGGCGGAATTGAATAAAATTCCAATCAAATATTATAAAGTAGTAAATAAATAAAATAAATTTCATCGAACGATTTCACTCAATTACACAAAAGGTATGCAAGAGCTTCTTTGTACGGAATCGTAATGTTGAATGATCTCTCCAATTTTCTGGGGTAATCCTTTCGAATTCCAACAAATCGTTGTACTTAATCAAATCGAAATATCCATATTTTTTTGACTGCAATCAATGGTACTACCGAAAATAAGACATGTAGAAGGGGTGGGGGGGGAATTTTTGTACGCCAAAATATTTTTATATGGATGTATTATGTCGGCTCCCCTGTTTGTCCGGACGGTCGTACGTCCGTTTTCATTTGTATGTGGATCCTCTACAGGTCACAATTTTTATCCGATTCGGATGAAACTTAAAACATATGTTTACATGCCAAAGATTTCGGATGAGTTCGATTTTTGCACGTACCAGACAGTAACATCCGTGACCTTCCGTTCCGAAGTTATTCCCCTTTTCCGAAAAACTTTTTTTCTGAATCGATGTGAAGCGGATGAACACTATTGATTTTCCTTGTTTAGTGTTCTCCGTCCATCCATTACAAAATGTTAGCATCTCTTGCCCCACGTGTTTAAAATACAATAGAAATGGTAAAATCTGTCTAAACAAAAATAAGAAGTGGTTTAAAATATTCTTAAAAAGAAGGATTCATTTTGTGCATATACCGGTTTAGATTCACTGAATCAAATTTCTTTGAAAAAGGGATAAACATTGGGATTGCGTAGGTTTCATCCGTGTATGAAAAAACCCAACTTCCCTTGTATGAATTACCGCTGCAGTTGTTTTTGGAACATTTTAGAGCTGAAGATATGAATGAAATGTTATTCCTGCAATAAACGTGACCATAGAAATAACTCGTGGGCGTAAGAGAGATTTGTTTATAACATGAGGTTCGTTATTGAATAAAACGTTTTAACAGACCGGAAATGAATGATTGCGGAGAGTAACAGGTTGATGTGTTGACAGTTAAATTCGCGTGTACATTCAGTGCCGAGACTTGAACAGTGGTGTGAGTCCATGACACTTTCATTGAGCTAGTGCTTTAAATATCATCCAAATATTATTTTACTTCAGATTTTTTTTTTATTGGCAATTCTGGTACTTTTATTTGCTACAATTAAATTAGATGGAATTCGGTTACATTTATTGACTTATTATTCAGCAATATGATATGAAAATTATCAAATTATGACAAAATATTGTTCCCTTCAATAAAAAAACATTACTAGAGAGAGAGAACAGAATAACCTATAATAGTCAAACTATACTCAAGTTATATTTTATTAAATAATTGCATATTATTGATGTCTTTATTACGTTATGTCGCTATGTTAGAAAATTCAATATTAAAACAATCTAGTTCTTCCAATAATATTTATTTTTCATAATACACTAGGTGGTTGATGAAGTTGGCGTAATCAATGATTAAATCTGCATGTCGTAATATTATTTTATCTAACCTTGCTTTCAGAAAATATTGCGTGCTCTTTTCAAAACCACTGAAACCACTTTGTCAAGGAAGTGTCAGTTAAAGTGGAACAACTCTTTATTTAACACATTTGCTTGATAAAGACGAGGGTATCCTCGTCTAAACGTCGCTTACTATTAAACTTGTACCCTGTGTTAATATGCCAATGTTAATACTAAATGCCAATAAAAGAAAATATGTTATTTCTTGCTTCAGAATAATAATCAGAATCCGCCATTTATAAAATGACTGGGCTGTTTGTTTATCTGGCCATTCCATCAGATCTGTACTACAGTGGGTCATAATAAAGGTTTGCCCAAACCAAGGTCAGCTTTCCATGTACGCGATTCCGCCGGCGAAACAGTTGGTCTAATGGCATGCAATGTTATGGGACCGTTTTCATGTTTAAGCGTTCACGATGAGCGACTTTTTCGCTGGCGTTTTTTCTCGCTCGAGGTGTGCATTGTGCACACGCGTGCCCAACCGAGTCTCGAGTTCACAAGGCATTCTAAGAATTTACTCAAAATTGTGTTTTAACAGAAATATAGCACTTTATAAAACTTTGGTTGTTTTAATGTATCAAATAACACCAATAAAAAACCATGATGTACAAAGTTTTGTGTTGATGGATTAAAGATATTTCTCATAAACAGCCATTGAAAGTTGAGTGAATTCCTAACTTAAGTTTCTTGTGATTTCCAGTATGGTTTCTAACGGTGGAGGATGTCGGGCCATCCGACAAAACGTGTTTATAATAGTATACCACGAAACTGTTGCAAAGTTCTCTTGGCTTTTAATTACACAGATTAGGGTCTGTGAACACTAGTGTTCCGTTATTTGTACCCTCATATACGTTAGTCTTATCCCCACTGTATAAGGTTTATGGGTACCTACTGATGTACATGATTAGTCATTTCAAATAGAGGATAGAAGTTCCATCATGGGACCTATTGATTTTGGTGCATGCCCGACCCCTAGGGTTGCCATAATTACTGTCATATCAGTCATTTCATATTTTATTCTCTTCATTTTTAAAAACTACCATTTCAATCGAAGCAGGAATGCGGCATTAGCGTTGCTCTTATTCTATATTTTTCTTGCTTCCTTCTTTTGACAAACTCTGTCAACAACACTGGGCTACATATCTTCCAACTTGAAAGTTTCAGCCATTTTACAATCTACGGTAATCGCCAGTATAGTTACAAATCGTTTTATTGTCGGATGACGCCATCTTTATGTTTCGCAAAAGCTAATTGATGGGTTGTTTTTAATCCGATTCTCAGGCTTTGATATTTTTATTTTGTTTGCTTAAACAGGCATTATGCAAGAGGTAAATCTGCCTGATTGCGGAGAGAGCTAGCGTTCACTCGACACAAACCAGGTCATTTCGGAACTAACGTATGGTTCAATGTTATCTCAATAATTCGCTTGCGCGTAGGGGTCTTTACGTGGGAGGAAACCAGAGAAAAACCACGGGGTTGGACAGGCGCCTACTTCTTGTCACGTACAACCGGGGAATCGAAACCACGCAAGTTGACTCAGTGACAGACCTTATATGATACAACGATACTCTAGATTTTCAACAGATATAAATACGATTTGCGGTTGATGATTTAACGTAAAAATTGATCATCGAAACTTTGTTTATTGTCGTAACAACGGTAGCAATGACAATCGAGGCTTCACTGTAATTGTATCGGCGATAATTCGGCTCAGAATGAAGTAATTTACATTTCATTATCAATTTTTTTATCTATTATGGCTAGAACTGTTAGCTCTTTATCTAATCTTCCATAATGCCCCTGTTAAATAATTAATCTGGGTACATATTAGTGTGGGTTATGACCTGAGAATTTTCATATTTTTCTAAAAATGTAAATTACGCACAGATATATAATCTATATAAAACATTTGTGACCGTGAGGTCCGTCAGATATTACAAGAGTCTGGAATGGTTCTTCAAATCTTTAATACTGTAAACTTATAATAACAATTATCTACATACACTTACAGGACCGCGGATAACCGACTAGTACCTAATGCTACTAAGTCGGATAGACCTAAATGACTGACGTATCAAGTACAATCACATATTTATATGGAATTACTTCTAATCACTTGGCTAGATCAAGTGTTGACATAAATAAGCATTGATGTAATAATGTACAATATAAGAAATAAAACAATGGTAAATAAAACAATTAATAGATTAATCATACGATTGGCATGTTCACCAGACAGGCCATATTGTCAGTTACTTTCTATCTATAACAGTTTTATAAACAATAAGGGATTATAATAAATTAACATGTATTGTCATTATAACATTTCACCCATGGCTAGTCACCTTTTAATAGCACACCTACAATTAATGTTTTAAAGGAATAGAATAGTTATTGTCCCGAGAGTTTAAATAAATTCAATTTGAAGGCTTTCACTTTTAAAATTAATAATACATTATCTTAAATATTCAAGATTTAACTTATAACATATAACTACTATAACCTACACGGTTATACATTCCACTATCAAAGGGATAAATCTATTTGTTAAGGCCAACTCAATTCTCATCGAGGTCGCTGAGATGTAAATAAGGTTAGGGCGAGATTGTAGGTTCGGGTTAGGGTAAGCGTTAGGGCTAGGTCCAGGGTTAGGGTTCGGATTAGCGCTAGACCTGTTTACATCTCGTGACCTTTGACCAAACTTGAAGTTGGCCTTATCAAATAGATCTTACCCTATGAAAGTCTGAATTCGAAAAGATATTTGCAACCCTGATAATTTTTCGTCGTCAGATTGATTGCCTGCCAGTTGCCCACATATAGCAGACGAACCGCCTGCCAGTAGCCCACTTATAGCAGAGAAACGCCGGGAACACACTTTCCGGCCGACTGTATGATTCACCACAGACCAATGAGTGTTTCTCGGTCGACAAATCATTATTTTTGGTGACGATAAAATCATTTCATATTAATACGTATGGAACGTTAATTGCCTCCGAGAAGCTGATAAATCTTTACAATTCATCTATCTTGAAAAGTTTATGAATATAATTGTGAATATCTTGGATCTGAAATCCATATTTTCTTTCAAGAGCTTTTAGTTTTAGCTGACTTTCTTCATCTGTAATGTTACACTCTTTCTCTACGAACATTGCGTGGGGAGTATGGTTTCATTAGTCAAATATGTTTGAAAATTGAATTTCTAGATGTAGTTATTTGTGTCAATTTGTTTGGAAAATTAATGAATTTCACGGACTTCTATGAGTATTATGATGAAACCTTATTTAAACCATGGAGCCCCTAGAACATAAAAATTTAAAATTAAAGTAAATGCGATTGAAATTGTTGGAAGGCTGTATCCGCTTTATATCATTGACGGCTTTCCATTGTTCTGTTGGGTAACTCTGCTGTGTTCAAATATATACATGTACGTAACTCTGCTGCTGTGTTCTATTATTATAGGTAACTCTGCGGTGATCTATTAGATAGGTAACTCTGCTGTGTTCTCTTATATAGGTAACTCTGCTGCATTCTCTTATATAGGTAACCCTGCTGTGTCTATCTCTGCCGTGTTCTATTATTATTGGTAGCTCTGCTGTATATATAGGTAACTCTGCTGTGTTCTATTATTATAGGTAACTCTGCTGTGTTCTATTATATAGGTAACTCTGCTGTGTTCTATTATATAAGTAACTCTGCTGTGTTCTATTACATGTATATAGGTAACTCTGCTGTGTTCTATTATATAAGTAACTCTGCTGTGTTCTATTACATGTATATAGGTAACTCTGCTGTGTTCTATTATATAAGTAACTCTGCTGTGTTCTATTATTATAGGTAACTCTGCCGTGTTCTATTGTATAGGTAACTCTGATGTGTTCTATTACATAGGTAACTCTGCTGTGTTCTGTTATATAGGTAACTCCGCTGTGTTCTATTGTATAGGTAACTCTGATGTGTTCTATTACATAGGTAACTCTGCTGTGTTCTTTTATATAGGTAACTGCCGTGTTCTATCGTATAGGTAACCCTGCTGTGTTCTATTATTATAGGTAACTCTGCTGTGTTCTATTATTATAGGTAACTCTGCTGTGTTCTATTATTATAGGTAACCCTGCTGTGTTCTATTATTATAGGTAACTCTGCTGTGTTCTATTATTATAGGTAACTCTGCTGTGTTCTATTATATAGGTAACTCTGCTGTGTTCTGTTATATAGGTAACTCTGTTGGTGGCTATGGTCACACTGTAACCGTCTTGTAAATGAAATGAAATGAAATGGGGTTTAACGTCCTACTGTTCTGCTTCTATGCTGGGCTAATGAAGACGGGCATACGCCATACAGTGTGTGCTATGAGGGAAATTTTGCACTATCGCCTACGCTTATATCGAATTCCAACTGCCAAGGGATCTTTTACGTGCATTCCAATGTATACAAGGGACCTCGGTTTTTCGTCTCATCCGAAGGACTAGACAACTGTCCTTGTCAGGCCCTCCGTCCTGCATCACTGACAAGGGGGAATCGCGCCGAAAAATCTGGATGAACTTTCTCAGCCAATGCAGGGATCGAACACCCGACCTCCAGGCTACCGAACCAGCGTCTTACCCACTTAGCCACGTGATCCCCCGTAACCGTCTCGCAAGCATGTTCAGCAGAAATCTATTTAGATGGATATTGACGGATAGCGTGCTTAATTTCTGGAGTATCCCATGCCGTTGGGAACTAACAATATTTTTTGATTCTATATGTATATTGTCACACCAACATGTAATGTTATACGTTAAGAGACATTAAATACGTTGCTGAACAATTTCGGACAGATTAATGCCCGTTCCTTGCTTGTTATTTCCATGTAACATTTTGCTTTTGATTAAAATTGATGTGTTTATTTGTTTTGTATTTTCAGCATTATTCATACAGCCGAAGATGGCAGAATTCTCGACCTAATTTAGGAGTGACATCTACGGAGCACCATAATGGTATATTTGTTGATTCAATGATGAGATGATTAGAACATATTGTATTATATATACATATATATATTCCTCGTGTTTATTTGTTTTTTTAATTACTGTCAAAAAGCACATTGTTGATATTTCTTGTAACATATTGTCTATTAGTTACATATCGTATTATGTCACATTTCCAATTAATGTTTCTAAAAAGATTAAAATTAAATTATTGTCATTCTGTGTTATGTACCTTAGGATACCTTGCTTAACTGAGATATATACAGGTATGAGATACATGTTTAGAAAGCTAGATGTGGTATATACAGGTGTGAGATATATGTTTAGAAAGCTAACTGAATCACCTTTTGAAAACATTAAAACCTTTATGAGTCTACACTAGCCCTCGTCCAATATTTTATGAGATTCTTTAAATTTTGGAAATGATTTGTAAATGAAATAAGATGAAATGGGGTTAAATGTCGTAGTGTTCTCCTCCTTTTTATGACCCAAGATTTTAATGTGGTCGTCACCAAAGTCCCTCGGCCAGGCGTCCGTTATTTTGTAAAAAAAAAAAAAAAAAAAAATCCCAAAGCCAAGAGCGAGGCTGGTGTACCCCGCTTCAATCCTATAAGAAATAGATGACACTCATTAATTATTTGAACATTTATCTTAGCAATCAAATGGTTTATAACCTAAATAGAAAATGCTTAGTTTCGAATTCACTGTCCCTCAATTAGAAGCAGAGTTATGGTGTTCCAAAGTCGCGGCCAATCAAATATTTTATCTGTGACTAGCCTAAGCAGAAAATGTCCATCATCGAACTCAGTCAAGAGTAAGATATTCACATAACAAACATCTAGTTTAATCATTCTACATGAATTAGAACCAGAGCTATTGTGTTCCAAAAGGTATTATGGACAGCCAACTAAGTAGAAAAACGTTCATCATCCGGAAATGAAATGAAATGGGATTTAACGTCCTACTGTTCTGCCCCGACTGGGCTAATAAAGACGGACATACGCCATACAGTGTGCTATGAGTAAGGTTTGCCTGGGCAGTGGCACTATGAACTACTCTTATATCGGATTCCAACTGCCGCGGGATCTTTTACGTGCACGCCAATGTATACACGGGACCTCGGTTTTTTCCCATCCGAACGACTGAACATCTGTCCTTTTCAGGCCCTCCGTCCTACATCACACTGACAAGGGGAAACCACGTCGGAAAATCCCGATGTACTTTCTCGGCCAATGCAGGGATCGAACACGCGACTTCCAGGATAGCAAGCCAGGATCTAACCCACCCGTTCTCTCCCCTCATCATCCAACTCCGTCGTGATATTCCTAACAACTTAATACATCAAGTACGAACAATCAACATCAATTACAAGAATTGTATTCAAAAATCTGTATACACATCATCAAATTCCGTCAAGATATCCCGTCGAAAAACAACTACACCAAGTTTAAATATTATAGATAAAATAAGCACTTATTATGTCCCCTCCAATTTTTTTGTCAGACTTCTCTCGACAGTGGCTTTGTACTTGTAGTTTATAGCAGTCTGACTCCACCAAAGTGAAAAGCACACAAACGCCACTGCTGAGCTGCACACTCTTACGGCGATTATGATGCACCAGTTACGTCATGTTCCTGAAGCAATGACTGTGAGTTTCAAAACATCTGGACGTTGCTAGATTACTTTCCAATTCCCGAACTTATAGCTACGTTTTCTCCTTTTACTGCAGACGCGTGAACAGTGGCGTCCAAGTTGTGACGCTAACGCACTCTAATCAAATGTACCGACATCCACGGAAACCTTGACATTAATGAACGAACCTTGAACTTTGCAACTCGATTATCACAGGTAGACATTTAATCTGGAAAGCGCGAGACTAATTGGTATTCCTGATGATCGAGGGATCTGGGCTAAATCTATTTGTTACGGTCAGTTCAATTTTAGTCAAGATGTGGTTGAGATGTAAATAAGGTTAGGGCACGTGATTGTTGGCGAGATTGTAAGTTAGGTATAGGGTAAGCATTAGTGCTAGGTCCAGGGTTTAGCGCTAAGCCCTGTTTATATATCGTGACCTTTGACCAAACTTGAAGTTGGCCTTATCAAATAGATCTAACCAGGAATCTGATAGGCTCTAAAACTGGGTAAATAAATACCCAATCGAAATTAGTGCCGAAATATGCAGGGTATAACTGAAGGCCTAGATAAGATGTACGGAGTTAAAGCGAGATCAAGTCTTCTATAGAAGATGCAGTTACGGGTGAATACATGATTGGCAGATACCGAATTGCTAGACACCCTAGCACAATCCTTGTTAGCATTGAAAACACAGAAGTATTAATTTACCTGTCACTAACATATGGTGTAGAGGACAGCGAAATATAATATTACCACTAAACATTGTCTGTTCCTATCTCTTATTATTAATACAATATGACACTTTAATAAAATAACCAAGAGCAACGAGTTAAAATGAAGAATAGGTTGTACAAGGTTTGAATTAGAAACTGGTTCCAGATCAATACAAAGATTTAACATAATTAACCTTTAATTTAAATGTTCTCTTCTTTATTAAATAAGCATAACAAAATCTACCAACAAAATATCAATAGTTAATAACAATTAAACAATAAATATGTCTTAGGGAATTATTATAAAGGCTATTAAAATAGAAAGTTTTTTATTATCACAGTTGGAAAATCATGAATGGGTATCAATTTCATATCTTAATTTCTGGTTGGGATAAATGAAATCCACAGAGCTTTGGGGGTAACTTTGGCAGAATATTTTTTGTAGCCACTGGCCAACTCAAAAGGACAGTAAGACAGAAAAGTAATATTTCTTCAAAAATACATCCCAACCAAACAATACTATAACTTCAAAAATATATACTTCAAGATAGTATTTCTTCAAAAATATATCTAACCAAAAGATATTATTTCTTCAAAAATATATCCAACCAAAAGATATTATTTCTTCAAAATATATCCAACCAAAAGATATTATTTCTTCAAAATATATCCAAACAAAAGATATTATTTCTTCAAAACTATATCCAGCCAAAAGATATTATTTCTTCAAAACTATATCCAGCCAAAAGATATTATTTCTTCAAAAATATATACAACTTAAAGATGGTTTTACTTCCAAAATATACCTAACCTCTGGATAGTTTTTCCTTAAAAATATATCCCAAGGAGAAGACAGTATTACTTCAAAAATATATCCAACATTGACAAAATATATACGAGATATAACAGTATTACTTCAAAAATATATACAACTTCAAGATAGTATTTAAAAAATAAATGTATCCTAAAAACGATGAAATCTGTTGAAAACTTGATTCATTATTTACCAAGGAAAACAAGGATCTGTACAGTTGGCTAAATAAGTTTCTAGATGACCTGTAGATACCTCCATTACAGCTGTATAGGTTGTTAACTGAAAAAACAATATTATTATGTTTATACAGATATATCCTAAACTATAAACATGGGCATATTCCCAATCAGGGGTTTTTCGACTCGCGTGGGACGTGTCCATCATAACAGGCGAATCAGCATCCATGGTTTACAGTTACCCTTTACCTGACCAAACCTTTTTTATGGAGCCACAATCATTTACCCTAAACCTTGTCCCTTCATTATTTTCCATGTCCTAATAATTGGTATTGGTATTTAAAACATCTGAATTGACATTATTAGAAATGTTAGGAACTATTAATATAATAAACTCCTGTATTTAAAATGGATGCAAATAACAGTTTTTTGCCTCAAATATTATATTTCAGGTGACATCCAGTTGACCCTACCCACAGACTATCTAACTACAAAAATATCCTTAGCCATGAAAGTAACAATAAATTAGATGTTACCTTATTTAGAACTGGTTTAGAACTGAGCACATTAAATATGCCTTTAACTGATACATTCTGTAATAAAAATAAAAAAAAATACAAAGTTAATTAGATCATCTGTTCCTATCTTAAAACTTAGTTTGAATTAAATACTGGTATATGTTTTATAAACCATCAAAATATATTCATGAATGAAATGGGTTTAATGTGCTACTGTTCTGCTCCCACTGGGCTAATGAAGACGGGCATACGCCATACAGTGTGCTATGAGGGGAATTTTGCCTATGGCATATTCTTATATTGAATTCCAACTGCCAAGAGATCTTTTACGTGCACGTCAATGTATACATAGGACCTTGGTTTTTCATCCCGTTCAGATGACTAGATTAATAATCCAACAGCAAATGAAAACAAAAGAAATCCTACTTAACCAGTAAGGATGAACATGTTGGAAAAGAAGGCCACAGTTTTTTTAAAAGTTCACTGAACAGATTTTTAAAAGTTCACTGAACAGATTTTTTACCGGCTCATTCAATGATGGTTTATTCTATAATGTAGTAGAAAAAAACTTCTTGACAAAATTTATCTTTCTGAGCAGAAATGGAATGAAATGGGGTTTAACATCCTACTGTTCTGCTCCAACTAGACTAATGAAGACAGAACACTTTCTGAGCAACAAATATATGTTTCCTGAATATCTGTTATTTAACATCAAATAGATTATATTACCTTGTTTTATATTAAACCAGAAACAGTCAGGTACTTACAGTCTGTGTCATATTTCTCATACAGTTATTAGCTGGTGTACGACGATCATCTAAAAACAATGGTTTGGTCCAATGATCATAATTAGTTTCCAGTATATACCATCCACCTGCAGACTTCATTTCCCATATATCAATAGTCTTCTCTCTATCTCGTGTTATTACACAACCCTAAATTAAATAATACTCAATCTACCTTGAAAACAAGTGGGGTTGGGATGGCCTTGTGGTCTAGAGTGCAGCACTTCGACCTCTAGCTGGCCGTTCACCTCTGGCTTGCGGCTGGTGTGAGCGTATGTGACTTGGAGATAGGGGCGCTTTCTCAACCTCGTGGGTTTACTCCCGGGACTCCCGTTTCATCCCACAGGAAAGACCCGTGCAAGAAAATGAAAAATATCACCTTTGGTGGAAGCAGATGTTAAACACTACAACAACAAGTGGATCATTTCGAGATTAAAAGATGATATATTTTCATTTCGTTAATTGCAAAGATCTCATGGAGGTTTAACAGTGAGAGTAAACCAGAGAAGAATGAGGATACACCCACCTAGTCACAAGCCATAAAAACTCTACAGGTATCTTATCTTGTTATTGGAACCAGCAATATATACTCAGCCAAATTAAAAACTTGACACTGATGAATTTCAACAAATTTTTTTTTCTGGTAAGTCAAATAAATTCTAAAGTGTTTCTAACGATAGTAAGTAGTAAGAAGCCTTTAATTTCATAAAATTGTAAAGTCACGTGGATCACATGACTTTTGAGCATATAAAGATGAAAAACCTGAAAAACACGTGCAAACACAAACTCGTGAGGTCAATCGATGCAAGTTTGCTTAAACTGAACACGCACACATAACTTGAACTGGAAAAACAAATTAAAATTGTTATTTTCATCTTTGTTAGAAAATGCCGCGCCTTTCAAATGTAGAACGTCTACGTGCTATAGGTAGGCTCTATGCTGGTCAGTCTGTGGTCACTGTTGCAAGAGCCTTTAATTGTTCACCCCAGACAATAATTAATCTTAGAATGAGAGTGCTTCAAACTGGAACTATTGCCGACCGCCCATGGGCGGGAGCGCCACGTGTGACGTCACTTCAGTAAGATCAAGCAATACGATTACGTCATCTTAGAAACAGATTTGTCACTGCAATCTCCACAAGTAGAGATGTTTGGTGGAAGGGTAACTGCACAAACTGTTCGAAATCGCTTGCAGGCGGGTGGTCTTTGAGCTCGGAGGCCCTATAATGGACCAATATTGACACCTCTTTATCGCCGTAACCGACTTGTGTGGGCCACAAGACACATAAGATTTACTCAAAGACAGTGGAATTCGGTTGTCTTTAGTGACGAATCTCGATTCACTTTGAGATTTGCCGATGGCAGGGTCCGAGTGTACCGCAGACGAGGTGAACGTTACGCTCAAGTATGCGTCAGAGAAGTTGACCAATTTGGTGGCGGCAGCGTCATGGTTTGGGGTTCTTTTTGTGCACATGGACGTTCTCCTCTTGTTGTTGTCCAAGGGAACTTAAATGCTGTCCAGTACAGGGATCAGATTTTGCAACCTGTTCTTCTTCCGTTTATGCAGAGACATGGGCCTGGACTAACGTTTCAACAAGACAATGCTCGACCCCATACAGCAATTGCTACCCAGAATTTTTTAAGAAATGCCGATATCCAAGTCCTGGATTGGCCGTCGCTTAGCCCCGACCTTAATCCTATTGAACACATCTCGGACGAACTGGGTTGATGTGTTCGTCAGCAAGTGAATCCACCACTGACGTTGCAGGACCTTCAATATGCTCTTGCTGAGCAGTGGTGACGTCTTCCTCGGGTAGTGTTTACTAATGTTCTGAGATCCACGAGAAGACGTTGTGTGGCAGTACGAGACGCTAGAGGAGGCCACAACCGTTACTAAACACTTTATTCCGATTGTTCTCCAAGTCTGTGAATTTCATTTTGGGGGGTACTGTGACATCACGAAGGTTATCAATGTCAAGGACTTTCGGTGAGACATATTCTTGCTTTCTGTTGATGTCAAGGTCGTCTGTGCACAACATAACACTAAAATAGTTGCCTTAAACCAAATATTAAAAATCTAGTCCCAAAAATCCAGAGTGTCAAGTTTTTAATTTGGCTGAGTATACATAGTACATTTCCAAACAAATAAGCTAAAAACCTAGGGTGAATAATGGGCTCCTCCATTTCACCATTTCCACAGATATGTAGCATATTTATGTCAATATCGGATGTAAATATTTGACCCGAGACATGTGCTATAACTATTATTACTCAGTTAGATAATATAAATGTACTTTTAGCCAGTGTTGATATTCATTTTATCAGAACCATTCAACCAAATAGCTGGAGATCAAGGGGAGGTAACAACAATATTCCTGGCTTAAAAACATCAAAACAAGCGGTTGCCATGCAAGATATGCCCACATACTGCAAGAGATGGACAGAGAATAACTTTAAAAAAAAGAAGCGATTTTCCTTACAATCAGGGGCCATAATCCAGGAAGTTACATTCCGATATGCGTGAAAATCTACAGAAACTGAGATCTTTGGAATATAAACATATATTTTAAGTTTCATCAAAATCTGATCAAAAATTGTGACTTCTAGAGGGTCTACAACCTTGGTATTACATACTTTTACACTATATGCGTACAAGGAGCGGCCATTTTGTCCAGCAGAACTTAGTCATCATTATGGTGTAACAGTGATATATTTGAACGATTTTTGAAATCGGATAAAAATTGTGACCTCTAGAGGGACCACAAGCTAAAAACGTGATTTTTTGTACAATCAGAGCCCATAATCCTGGAAGTTGAAGTCCCAATGCACTAATATCAAAAGGAACTGAGATCTTTGGGTTATAAACATACATTTCCAATTTCATCTAAATCGGATAAAAATTGTGACCTCTAGAGTGACCACAAGCCAAAAACGTGATTTTTCGTACAATCAGGGCCATAAACTATGAAATTTCGATCCGATACATGCCAATATTTCGATGTTTCGTCAAAATCGGATAAGAATTATGACTTGTAGAGTGTCCACAAACAAATTGTGGACGGACAGGGGCGATGACAATATACGTCCACATGAAAGTGTGGGTGTATAAAAAGCACGAGATATTTTTACCTCTCCTGACTTGGTACCACCAAGTATAAAATATGCAGGTGCCAACATTTCTGTATTAGATAAGACATCTCTAGCATCACTATACGATGTACTATTCTCCATTACATTACGTGTTAAAAATCCCATCCATGATCCAGTTCTTATACCTAGCAACCATTCTATAATACCTGTAATTAGTCATCAACAACATGAACCAGGTGTTATACCTAGTAACCATTCTATAATACCTGTAATCAGTCATCAACAACATGAATGACCACAGCTGATTGCTTCACCTTTCAGTTACAACAAAACATTTTTAAATTGGTTGAATGTCTGTATTGCTGGAAAATGTGTATCTTTTAAAGAAAATGAAATGAAATGGGGTTTAACATCCTACTGTTCTGCTCCAAACTGGGCTAATGAAGACGGGCATACGCCATACAGTGTGCTATATGGAGAATTTTGACCGGACAGTGGTGCTATGGCCTACTCTTATATCGAATTCCAACTGCCGAGGATCTTCTCTGTTCGATTTCATGTCTAATTTAAACCATTTTGACTGGCTAAATTTATTCTTGCCAAAGTCAAATCCTTTTTTCATGGGCTAGATGAAAGATCAAGACACTAAATAATGAGTTATACATTTACCTATAAATCCACCATCTTTATTAAATCTTTCATCCATAGACAATGTGAAGGTTTTCTGATTAAAATAAAAATAATAAACAAACTATGATATCATTCAAAATAAATCTCAATAGGAAAAAAACATGTAGATAGCTATTATCCATGGGTTTCTACTAATTAGATATAAGTAGTGGTATTTTTCCTGTACTTTTATACCTTTGTTGGCTTTTTTGTATAAAAATCTCATACAATAAGATATTGGCAGTCAAAAATCTTTCTCTCTGGCAAATAAAAATTCCCAAAAATTAACCAGAAACAATTCTGGTTGTTGCTTACTAAAAAATAAAATTACAGCTCGCTATATTTTTCTATTAAAATATAAATATTAAATATTGGCTTTCAAATGCGACTTACTGGTTTGACTGCTGTTAGAATTCCAACATAACCAGCGTAATTGACAGATTTAAATACAGTTTGTCCTGATCGTTGAAAGTTTAAATTAACTATTAGTGGTTTTAACGCTTCTGTTATTTCCCAGGTCTCATTTCTGATATCCCATCTAAAATATATAAAAACATTTGTTATGTTAGGCTACAGGGTCATTCCATATCAACTGATGCAAGGTTTTAACCCGACCCCTCCGGATTTTTTTATATTTTGTTATGGATCCTTTGAGATGACCATATGCCAAATTACAGGCCTATCAAACAATTTTTCGCGAAGTTATGGCGCCCAGAAGAGTTCTATGTCGGAAAATTGAGTCACATCCTGCCGCAAATTTGCTAAGTTCAAGTAATGAATTAGGTAGGTTAAAAATCCAATAGACTTATTTTAACTTGCTTTGCTAATGGAACTCTGGCCAAATTTTCCGAATCTGGCATTATTTTTGGTCTACGTCTAAACCCCGGGTCTCTAACTTGTACTGAATTTGGTATAAATACGACTGAAAATCGAAACTTTGTGACGAGTTCACAGCCAAACTACGAGTGCGGCTAATGTCATCTCTGGATATTCTGGAGCTCTTGTACAGGTCTTATGGCCAAACAAAAAAATTAGGTTCTCCGGCCCCGGGTTCGCAGAAATTTTCGCACCTGAAAATTGAAAATATCGAAAATTTCACATTTTCACGCTCAAATTTCGAAATGTGGGGTCACATGGATTTTGACGAAAATCGCATGGTAGTGAGAACCATCCAGGGGCATGTTTATGTGAAAGTATGAACTTTGATATTTTTCTCCTTCATACATATTTTTGACAATAAAAATACATAAAATAACTTGATTTCACGATTTCTGTTTTGGAGCGAGGTGTACGTTTGATGCATGTTTTCTCACTCAATGAGGCAGAAATGAGGTATTCCGGCCTTAACTGAGCTGTCGCTCCCAGTATTCTTCCAGAAAGTGTCGCCAAAATGGTGTTAAAAGTTGGCAAATTGCCAATCTGTGGTGACACTGCGCCTGTCACGCCGCGGACAGCAGCAAGGTCCACGCTTCCACCACGGGGGAAATTTAGCACCGGAATTACGCTTGGTCCAGACCTCGAATAACCCCGCGATTCTTCCACATGAGATTTTCGGAATTTCTGACGTCTACGAAGTCGTACAATTTTCGGTTTCTTGACCACTTTCAAACGAATGGCGAAGTTCGGAGCTCTCGTACACCTTGTGCTTGTCATTCGGGGTGTGGACCAAGCATAATTCCGGTGCTAAATTTCCCCCGTGGTGGAAGCGTGGACCTTGCTGCTGTCCGCGGTGACAGGCGCAGTGTCACCACAGATTGGCAATTTGCCAACTTTTAACACCATTTTGGCGACACTTTCTGGAAGAATACTGGGAGCGACAGCTCAGTTAAGGCCGGAATACCTCATTTCTGCCTCATTGAGTGAGAAAACATGCATCAAACGTACACCTCGCTCCACAACAGAAATCGTGAAATCAAGTTATTTTATGTATTTTTATTGTCAAAAATATGTATGAAGGAGAAAAATATCAAAGTTCATACTTTCACATAAACATGACCCTGGATGGTTCTCACTACCATGCGATTTTCGTCGAAATCCATGTGACCCCACATTTCGAAATTTGATCGTGAAAATGTGAAATTTTCGATATTTTCAATTTTCAGGAGCGAAAATTTCTGCGAACCCGGGGCCGGAGAACCTAATTTTTTTGTTTGGCCATAAGACCTGTCCAAGAGCTCCAGAATATCCAGAGATGACATTAGCCTCACTCGTAGTTTGGCTGTGAACACGTCACAAAGTTTCGATTTTCAGTCGTTTTTATACCAAATTCAGTACAAGTTAGAGACCCAGGGTTTAGGCGTAGACCAAAAATAATGCCAGATTCGGAAAATTTGGCCAGAGTTCCATTAGCAAAGCAAGTTAAAATAAGTCTATTGGCTTTTGAACCTACTTAATTCCTTGCTTGAACTTAGCAAATTTGCGGTTGGATGTGACTCAATTTTCCGACATAGAACTCTTCTGGGCGCCATAACTTCGCGAAAAATTGTTCGATAGGCCTGTAATTTGGCATATGGTCATCTCAAAGGATCCATAACAAAATAAAAAAAAATTGGAAAAATTCGGAGGGGTCGGGTTAAAACCTTGCATCAGTTGATATGGAATGACCCTTCATGTTGTTCACAGGATTCTACTTTAAACAGTGAAATATCTATTTGGTTTTGTCTTTCACAAGGGACTTAATTCATATAAAACAAATATCCTTTTTTAAATTGTCTTAATGTAATTCTCCAAACATCTAATATTCAATACAGATCATATAAATATCAGTCATTGAAGAGAATCAGAGAGTTTTTACCAACTTTTTCTTAAATTTATAATCAAATGTTCAATTTGATCAGATTTTCGGTCAAATGATGCAAGAACAAAATACTGTGCTAAGCTTACACTAAGTCTGTATGCTTACTATAGAGACCAGCGAGCATGGTGAGGCCAATTATATCACTTCCAGTTTTAATAAAAAATTAATTACTCGCCCATAAAAATTTTTTGTCTGTGTTACAGGGGTGATTATTTCTAAAAATATATTTAAAATTTATGGAAACCTTGTTGAAAATCGTTGGTCTTCCCCTTTAGGGTTTTCAATGCAAAAGTAAATTAAGAAATCTCATATTTGAAAAAACAAAAATTATAATATTAGTAAAGAATAATAATCTCACCCAATAAAGAGTCCAAAATCGAGATTACGAGCATGATACAGATTCCCTGAAAGTGAAGAAATAAATTATATTGGTACTTTGATAAATCGAATCTGGGATGATATCATGTGGAAAATAACAGAAACCAAGACAAATGACTATTATCATTAACATGGAAATCTTGTATCGTAGTTATAATAAAGCGATTTTACCTGAAGGATCTTCTGCTACTATAGATGTACAAACGGTAAATATTTCATAAAATATATTATATAATACTACTTCACCTGAAATAATGTATTTAACATAAGTTATTACAATCCAATCCAAAATACTATGAGTTATTACAATACAAAATACCATGATTTATTACAATCAAAATACCATGAGTTATTACAATCCAAAATACTATGAGTTATTACAATACAAAATACTATGATTTATTACAATCAAAATACCATGAGTTATTACAATCCAAAATACCAGGAGTTATTACAATCCAAAATACCAGGAGTTATTACAATCCAAAATACCATGAGTTATTACAATCCAAAATACCATGAGTTATTACAATCCAAAATACTATGATTTATTACAATACAAAATACCATGATTTATTACAATACAAAATACCATGAGTTATTACAATCCAAAATACCATGAGTTATTACAATCCAAAATACCATGAGTTATTACAATCCAAAATACTATGATTTATTACAATACAAAATATCATGATTTATTAAAATTAAAACACACTTTTATTACCAACACACACTTGTATTAACAACAAATTCATTATAAGGGTTACAATTTGCTGAATGGTCTGACGGACAAAACACTGCATCTAACATACAATTTATGATTGGGCTTAAAAAAGTGTCTTATAAATCAGAAAGTATGCTGTAAAATGTAATCTGTACTTCTATTTATTCAAGGGATGATTGGGCTCTGTAGAAAATAATATTCTTGACCAATTTATAGAATGTACTTTCTCATTTGATTTACCAGTAAAGGTGTTAAATTTATATTTTGAAAGACTACTAATTTTTAAGTTTTATTCTTGGCTTAAACTATCAACTATAACTGATTATTAATTATATCTGGTGAGGCTTTATCCTTTTACAGTTTTATAATGAAATATATAACTTACCCAAGTTAAGGTTAGAATATTTAGCAATACCCAACAGTTCTCCTCTAAATGGTTCAGGTAATGTGTCATCAAATTTTCCCTGTAACATCAGATTATAATAAGAAAGAGAAATGTGATTTAACATCCATTCCTCACAAATCTTTTCGGAACTAACATATAGTAGGCCTACAATTATATCACTTGTGCGTAGGGGTCCTTAGCAGTGGGAGGAAACAGGAAGGCCCTGGAGAAAACTCACAAGGTTTGGCTGGCAACCTCACTTCTTATTACACACAAGCTTGAAATCATGCATCTGGACTCAATGACAGATCTTATGTTCAAAAGTGCATGCACTAGACCACCTGAACAACCACCAATTTATATATATTAATACAAAGGTGCATACAGTTAAATTATAATAAATTATGAAATAAAATTTACAAATTTCTCATCCACCAATTCTATCAATTTAGCTGCTTCCTGGCCCCAATCACGGACAAACTCTTTGAATTTAGCCAAAATGTTTTTTATCTAAAAAAAATAAAAAAAGGAATAGAAATAAAAAAGACAAAATAAAAGTCTGACTTTACATCAAATCTTGAATTCTTTTAAAATTAAAAGACAGTTTCAACAAAAATGCTTTTGATTTCTAACTAATGTACAGATAGCCCTTTCAAAATGTTCTTTCACATAATACTCAGACCACTTGGAACAACAGACTACTTGGGACAAAAGACCACTAATCTGGAATCAATCACATAGCTTGTCACAAATGTGACTCCAATATCAAAAACTACCAGCGGCTGCCAGGCAGGATATGCCCACATTTTCGAGAGATGGATAGAGAACAAGCTAAAAAGAAAGTTATTTTTCCTACAATCAAGGGCCATAATTCAGGAAATTACAATTCGATATGCGCAAATATTGAAAGAAACCGAGATCTTTGGGTTATAAACTTACATTTAAGTTTCAACAAAATTGGATCAAAATTGTGACCTCTATAGGGTCCACAACTTTGATATACCATATTTTTACGCTATTGGAGAACGAGGAGGTGCCATTTTGCCAGTCAGTTTTGTGCCGATTTTCACAAAATTCGAACTCAGCCGTCCTTAGGGTGCAACGGTGATACACTAAAACGTTTTTTTAAATCAGATAAAAATTATGACCTCTATAGGGTCCACAAGCTAAAAACGCAATTTTTCCTACAATCAAGGGCCATAATTCAGAAAATTACAATTCGATATGTGCAAATATCGAAAGAAACCGAGATCTTTGTGTTATAAACTTACATTTCAAGTTTCAACAAAATCGGATTAAAATTGTGACCTCTATAGGGTCCACAACCTTGATATACCATATTTTTACACTATTTGAGAACGAAGGGCGGCCATTTTGTCTGTCAGTTTTGGGCCGATTTTCACGAAATTCGATCTCAGCCGTGCTTAGGATGTAAAAGTGATATAATAATCCGTTTTTTTAAATCAGATAAAAATTATGACCTCTATTGGGTCCACAAGCTAAAAACACTATTTTTCGTACAATCATGGGCAATAATTCGGGAAGTTACGGTCCGATATGCGCGGAAATTGAAAGGAACCAAGATTTTTGAGTTATAAACATGCATTTCAAGTTTCATCAAAATCGGATCAATATTGTGACCTCTAGAGTGTCCACATGATTAAAACGCAATTTTTCGTACAATCAGGGGCCATAATCCATGAAGTTACAGTCCTATACATGCCAATATCGAAAGGAACCTAGATCTGAGGGAGATAAAGCTATATTTCAAGTTTCGTTGAAATCGGATAAAAATTGTGACCTGTAGAGTGTCCGCAAACAAATTGTGGAGGGCCGTCCGGACGGATGGACTGACGGACAAACAGGGGCGTATAAAAATTCATTGTCCTAATACCCAAATTATCATACTAAATTTTATTTAGCTATCTTTTATCACAAGCTGCCTATTTCCACAAGGACAGCCTACGGACTCCCTTTTATTTTTCAGACTCCTGTAGAACCCAAGTCGGGAAATGCTGTTTTAATAACCAGTATAAACACTTACCAATTCAGCTTTTTCCTTGACTAATTCAGCCCATCTTTCTTCTGGTGCTAAATCTAAATTAATGATGTACTCTTTTACAAGAAGACTGAAAATACAACAAGCCAACAGTGAGGCTGATGTCCCCCGCCGAAATCCCAAAATAAATAGATGACACATTAATTAATCGCACATTTATTTTTTTCAAAAGTATCGAGCAATCAAATTATACACTAAGTTTGAGCACTCTCTATCAGATAGAATCAAAGTTATCTTGTCCCAAAGCATCGACCAATGTTAATAATTGAACTCAGCCATGACATGACAGCAGAAAATACTCATTATCAAACTTAGTCAAGGTAATGATATAATAAAGCTATACACCAAGTGTCCTCACTCTCACTTAATTAGAACTAAAGTTATCGTGTCCCAAAGCATCAACCAATCAAATTGCTTATCCCTGCTTACTCTAAGCAAAAAATTCTCATCTTCACACTCCATCAAGGCATTCACCTAATAGCCACCTATGCCAAGTGTGAACATTCTAACTCAACTAGAATGAGAGTTATTGTGTTCTAAAGTCTCGACCAATCAAATTGCTTATCTCTGCTTAACCTAAGCACAAAATGCTCATCTTCGAACTCCATCAAGACATTAACCTAATAAACACCTACACCAAGTTTGAACATTCTAGCTCAATTAGAAAAGGAGTTAATGTGTTCCAAAGTCTCGGCCAATCAAATTGCTTATCGCTCTGCTTACCCTAAGCAGAAAATGCTCATTATCGAGACTTAGTCAAGGTATTGATATAATAAAGCTATACACCAAGTGTCCTCACTCTCCCTTTTAATTAGAACTAAAGTTATCAGGTCCCAAAGCATCAACCAATCAAATTGCTTATCTCTGCTTACCCTAAGCGGAAAATGCTCATCTTTGAACTCCATCAAGGCATTGACCTAATCAACACATACACCAAGTTTGAACATTCTAGCTCAATTAGGAAGAGAGTTATCGTGCCCCAAAGTATCAACCAATCAAATTGCTTATCTCTGCTTACCCTAAGCGGAAAATGCTCATCTTCGAACTCCATCAAGGCATTGACCTAATAAACACATACACCAAGTTTGAACATTCTAGCTCAATTAAAAGTTATCGTGTCCCAAAGCATCAACCAATCAAATTGCTTATCTCTGCTTACCCTAAGCGGAAAATGCTCATCTTCGAACTCCATCAAGGCATTGACCTAATCAACACATACACCAAGTTTGAACATTCTAGCCCAATTAGGAAGAGAGTTATCGTGTCCCAAAGCATCAACCAATCAAATTGCTTATCTCTGCTTACCCTAAGCGGAAAATGCTCATCTTCGAACTCCATCAAGGCATTGACCTAATAAACACATACACCAAGTTTGAACATTCTAGCTCAATTAGGAAGAGAGTTATTGTGTCCCAAAAAGTGTGACGGACAGACAGACGGACAGACAGACGGACAGACAGACAGACAGACAGACAGACAGACAGACAGACAGACAGACAGACGGACGAACCCATTTTAATAGTCCCCTGCTTTCTTCGAAAGGCGGGGGACAATTAAAGGGTAAGGTAAAACAATCTAGTATTAATTTATAGAAGGGGGGTTGGGGGGGTCTAGTGCGCGTGAAATCGTAAGGTCTGTCATTAAGTCAAGTGACGTGGTTTCGAATCCCCGCTTGTATGTGACAAGGAGTAGGGTCGTTTGTCTAACCTCATGGGTTTTCTCTAGGTCCTCCTGTTTCCTTCCGCTGCTAAAAAACCCTACGTGCATGCAAATTATTGAAATAAATTTGAACCATGTTTGTCCTGAAATGACTTGGTGTGTGTTGAGGAACCAAGATCATGGAGATAAACCTAGATTTTAAGTTTCGTCAAAATCAGATAAAGATAGGTTGCCAGGCAACGAAACATACGCCCACAGCTGCTAAATCGTCCGGGCAGTCAACAAGAGTTGTCGCATATTTTTATCCTTTTTTGGGTAATGAAACATTTATAATACACTAAAATCTGATTAAAAGCAACAACTCAGAAAAACATTAGAATTTGTTTGGTTTTTATAAAGTTCTGCCCCATGCTAACGTTTTGTATACAAAACTTTTAATACTGTATCATGGATTTAGCTGTTCCAAGTCATAAAAATTCATTGATCTTAAACTCTGTGTATCAATCTGAAGTCAATCGTATATTAATTTTGGCCTCTAGAGCATCCACAAGATTTTTCAAAGTGATCAAGGGCCATAACTTTGGCAGTAATTATCAGAAATCTTTGAAAATCAATAGGATTCTTCGCCTCGTGACCTCAAACACTGTGTATAAATTTAAAGTCAATCAGATATTAACTTTCAATGTGGGCGTATAAAAATGGTGACCTGTAGATAATATATGTTCACATGAAATGGTTCAAGTAAAAGTGTTAAAATTTTGTTATATTTTCATTCAGATTATTATCTACCTTGCTGGTGGGGGATATGCATCTTTTACACATTCTTCTTTAAACTGAAAAACATTTAACATAAAACAATATATATAATGTCTATTTAAAACTCCATAAATCTATAAAGGTGTCATGTTTCAGTTAATAAAACAGTTGATTCTGTGTAAAAGAAAATTAGAAACATTTAAATAATCACAGTCCTGTATATTATAGCTTTTGGTCCATAGTATGTTTTTGATAGTATGAACGGCATACCAACAAAAAATCAATTTAAGAGCTGAATTCTGGACTTTCTGGTCCATGTCCAGCGCAGATAGGGCCTACATGTATCTGGATATTGGATAACTTTTCGAAAATATTATATATACAGTCAAATTGTTTGTTTCCAAACTGACTACATAGTAGTGTCTGGTTAATCAAGCTTGTCATATCATAAAGTTACTTTAAAATTTATAAGTTTAACCATTTAGTTTCCTTGTTGTTGTTGTTCCTACGTCCGCTTCCACCGAAGGTGATATCACAGACAAGTTGTCTTATTTTCATTTTTATTATCTTAACGCATGCGTAGGGGTCTTTCTTGTGGGGGGAACTGGGGGAACCAGAATAAAATTACGAGGTTGAGAAGGGATCGTAACCACGACTGCAAGCGAGAGGTGACCGACCTGCTAGAGCTCGAAGCGTGACACTCAAGACCACTGGGCCATCCCAACCTCCCTTTGGTTTCCTAGGACAGAATTCTTTAAAAACCTATACAGACACAAAGGGTAGGGAATATATAGAGGTGTTTTTACTACTACCCCTTCCAAAACTAGGCCTAGTGGTATTTATTTAACCCAAAGAAAATGGCATTGCTTTATCTTATTCACAAAAGATGAAATAATGAAACAGCTTGTCTGTGTCTTATGGTGGCTGATTGGTAGCATGTCGTGATGTCGTGGTGTTGTCCTTCATAAGATGACATCAAGACATTTCAACTTGACACCACGACATCAAAACATTTTAACCTGGCAATAGGGCCACACCCGACACAACATTAAAAATGTCGTATTTCTCTCAATATTATGATTATGTACACTGATCATGGTGTTGGTCAAGAAAGTTCCTCAGGATTTTGCAGCGTGGTTTCTCCGTCGGTAGTGCAGGACAAAGGGCCGGACAAAGAACAGTGTCTAGTTGTGTAGATGGGACAAAAACCAAGTTCTTGTCTTAGTGTACACATTGGAGTGCACATTAAACAATCCTACGCAGTTGAAATTCGATGAAGAAATGCCACGACATCACACATGATACCAATCAGCCACCATATATAGTGTCTGTCTGTTCTAGATCGAAACGAAACAGGACAAAATTAAATACTTTACTTACTGGTGGAACTTGGCTAACAGTAAAGCCGACAAAAAGTAGCAGAAACAATATTATTTTAGACATCATTATTATTAATACGAGTTATCGGTGAAACTATACAATTAATTAAATTAAACAGCCATAAACAACATGATGATACAATTAATTAGATTAAACAGCGATAAACACCTAGATACAAGAATCAAGGATATATTTTGTGTTTATGCATGGTCATATGACAATTTGTCAATTTGTACAACTTTCTTATTTCTGCGCATGCTTAATAAAGTGAAAGTAAACAGGATGTACTTCTTTGGCTTTTGTTTTTCATGATTGGAGAAATTATGACACGTGATACGAATCTGACGTTCACACTGCATAAATAGACGTGTTCACAGTAGAGTAGTTAGAGAATCAGTTGTTAAAATATCGGCCAAGCTTGTTTATTATCATTTTATACTAGCCTACTTGTACGATAGTGAATAACTGAAGTTAGAAAAATATGGCAGATAAGGTAGGTGAAATAGTATAATAACTCGTTATCACTTTCACTTACCTGGCACACATATGGACCTTTTATTTTAAAAAAGCTTAACGTTTAAAGGGTCCATACCTGTCTTTACTAATTTTATTGGGAAAGTTAATCACGATAAACACTATTGATTATTTAATTTTTCCTCAGAAGGCTACCGTAACATATATTGGCCTATTATGTGCCATACAGGAACGAAATTCATACTGGGTTTGGGGAATGAATCCATGACCACTTGGACCAAAGACCACTCGGACCAAGACCAGTCGGACCAACCGATAGACCACTCGGGCCAAACAAAAAGACTACTCCAACCATAAAAAAAAGACTACTCGGACCAAACAAAAAGACCACTCGGACCAATAATAAATTTATTGTGTTTGTTTTAATATGACTCGTACCAATATTAAAGTGTTGTTTTAATAAAATGATAATGATGTTTGTTTTAATATGACTACTTGAACCAATAATATAGTGTTGTTTTAAAAAATTGATAATTGTGTAGTGCTTAATTCGTATGTATCTGTACTCACCCGTGTTACTAGCTGCACTATTTGTAGCCGTAATAATTCTTATTCACGGCTACAGTTGCATGGAAATAAGTAATTATGTTACAAATAGTGAAGAGTGGAAAACTGAAATCTTAATCTTCTCTTGCCAAACAGTTATTCTGTATTTTCGAGCAAGACGGAAGCCGTCAGTAGTGAAACCATTTCTACCGTGTTACAAGCTAATCAAATTGATAAAGCACATCAAAGAAAAAACAATTACATTGTTGATGTAATAAAGATGACTATTTGCTAATTATGTACTTACCAGTAATGCGCATTTAGTAACGAAGACATTGTTAAGTTATGTGTATACTCGCCAATAAATGATTCGCCTCTTTGTATTGTGATTTAATAATAAATAACATATTGTCTGTATTTTATTTTTAAAATGAATAAGTCAAGCCTTTCTAATATGAATTAATTGGTCCGAGTGGTCTTTTGGTTTGGTCCGAGTAGTCTTTTGGGTTGGTCCGAGTAGTCTTTTGGGTTGGTCCAAGTAGTCGCTGTTTTGGTCCGGGGGCTTTTTTTGGCCCGACTGGTCTTGGTCTGACTGGTCTTTGGTCCTACTGGTCTGGATACCTGGGGGATTGCCTAAATTAAAAAATCGGGTTGGGCGGGGGTAGGCCTATATTCCCAGGTAAAATTTTGAACTAAAGAATAAATATTTGCAAATTAATAACAAGCATACAACAATTAAAATTGGTGTTATAAAATTCGCTATAATTTTAGCACCGGCAGGTATATTCCATTTTAACCAGTTCTATAATGTGTAGCTTTGCATGTTTCTTTGACTACCTTTGTTGACCTTTCAGGTAAGTAGAAATTGATGGGTTAAAGTAGGCCTACATCTCAACATATAGGCCTACACTTGACTCATTTTGCTAACATCATTATTTGTTTTTATAACGATACCTGTGTGTATTGAAACATAGCATGTTATTAAAATTCAGAATTAGTAAATCCATAGTAACCAGTGTTTTATTTTGTGAAATCTATTTCTAATCTATATGTCTTATAAGGATTATGTAAATTCTGGTTGAGTAATATAAATTTGTAATAGACCAATTTAGACGGATTGATTTAACTTGATCAGGGTAAATACTGAAAGTTTCAATCTGATGCGAGATAGATATCAGTTGGCTATATTATATTTTCAGAGAGATGCCAGAATCTGTCCACTACTTGTAGTGCATGTACAAGTGCAACATGAGTAAGGTTAATCTAAATGAAGATGGGGGGGTTGGATGGCCGAATGGTTAGTGTGTGCGCGCTGTATCATAAGGCCTGTCATTGAGTCAACTGGCGTGGTTTCAAATCCCTGGTTGAATGTGACAAGGAGTAGGGTCGCCTGTCCAACCTCATGGGTTTTCTCCGGGTCCTCTGGTTTCCTCCCACTGCTTAAGACCCCTACGAGCAAGCGAATTATTGAAATAAAATTAAACAATATGTTAGTCCCGAAATGACCTAGTTTGTGTCGAGTGGACGTTTCTTCCTCTTTCTCTTTAAATGAAGATTTTTATTGAAACCATCAAGCATTATATGATACTATAACACCAATTTTGAAGTAATATAATATGTTTTATCACTTGGAATGTTAGTAATAGGTAAGATTTGGCCATGGCAAAACATGTTCAGAGTTACCCCGGCTAATTTCAATTACCAAGTATTAGTTAGCTAGAAAATGTTTTCAAACATAGTTCAACTCAAACCCGGACATCTGTCAGGGATCTTTGATAATTAGGTCTAACACTATGTAAACATATCACTATTTGAACAGGAACAAACTGTCAATAAAGGTAGTATCGTTCACTGTTCACACTGAGTCATCATGACTCATAGACTATTTGGTAGTTGTATGAACACATACTGACTGACCTTACCTGACTTTATTCATGTTATTGAATATAAGTAAAGTATGATTGTGTCTACAAGTTACCGTATTATTATAATATTCAGTAAAGGAAATAGGATATTGTATTTATAATAATACCTTTTAACAAAGAGTGTATTAGATAATAAAGTACCGGGTTTTAGTGTAATACTAATAGATAATAAAGTACCAGGTGCTGAATACTGATTAAATAAAGATAATATGTCATAACAGTTATTTAACATGTACCTAGTTTAACATCACACTTCAATAAAAACTTCCTCTTATCTTTATAAAATAAAATGGGGTTTAACGTCCTACTGTTATACTCCAACTGGGATATGAAGATGTACATACGTCATACAATGTGCTATGAGGGAAATTTGGCCTTTTACATGCACGCCCATTTTTTGTCCCATCCTAACAACTACGCATTTATACCTTACCAGGTCCTCCGTCCAAAACCACTGACAAGGTGGAACCATGCCAGAAAGTCCTGATGCACTTTCTCAACCAACTGGCTCCCTTATCTTTTATAATGGATACATATAATGAATTGTACCATATATTAACTGTATAATACTTGCATTAAAAAAAACATCTTGTTCCAAATTTTATTCATCAGAATCAACCCTTAAATTATTGACATTTAATTTGAAGGTTTTGCTTTTTTCATGCTCTGTTTTGTTTAAACATACATTATGCAAGAGCTGAATCTGCCTATTGCAGGTCTTTTTTTATGTTATATAAACTATTATTTAGACATTTATTAACATGAAAAGAACTTAATCAACCCTCCATGCTATCTTATGTGTTTGAGTTTCACTGTATTAGAATCCGATCTGTAGCTCAACGCTCATTGATGATTAAATGCAAAAATGAATAATCAAGACTATGTTATTTTATCGTACCGACATTAGTAATGATGATCGAGGCTAGGCCTAAAATTCAATCGCTAATATCTCTGTTCAGAGTGGAGCAATTTGACTGAAATTTTCAGCATATTTCCTTTTCATTATATAGTTTTTAACTATTATAGTGTGAACTGTCAGCTCTTTATCTAATCTCCCATAATGCCCCTTTAAATAAATCCTCGAACAATATCTGGGAAAATCTGCAACTTATAGCATGCGGGCAAAGGAGAAATATTTCTAATTTAACTCTATTCTTGATGATGTAAATTATTTGTTTTTATAATTAACAGAAGCATGAATTTCAAATGGAAATGACCTGTGAAGGTTGCGCTGGAGCAGCTCAAAGAGTTTTAGGAAAATTAGGTAAGTACCAAGCCAGGGTTTTATGACCAATGTCTAGATCATATGTTACATTATTATTTTCTAATTCTGTATTAAATTTTGTGATCATTATTTTAATATTCATTAATGCTTGGTTAGTCATTAGAGGCAGACAGCAATTTTAATTGCTTAAAAGCTGTTAGTCAAATTATGACAAATTATGACATCAACTAGAGTAGTTGATCTGTTAAGTTTCTTTAACTATTGTTTTAAATGCTTCAACAATTATATGTTTATGTCAACACTTTTATAGTAACTTATTAGAAAAATGTACGTAAGATGAATCATATTAGTTGGGGAGACCAGCCTAGGAAACCTAGGAGGTCTGATTTATAGGAAATTATAAGTTGTTAAATAGTTGCTGTTAATTATTTGCTCCTGAAATAAAGTGTCGAAGATCCATTCAAAAGAATCTGTATTCATTCTGAAGAGAGCATGTGGATGAGCTGCATTCCCTGAGGTGGATGGCCGAATGGTTAGCACACGCGCGCTGTATCATACGGCCCGTCCTTGAGTCAACTGGCAGGGTTTCGATTCCCTGGTGGTACGTGACAAGGAGTAGGGTCGCCTGTCCAACCTTGTGGGTTTTCTCCGGGTCCTCCGGTTTCCTCCCACTGCTAAAAGACCCGTACGCGCAAGCGAATTATTGAAATTAAATTGAACCATGTGTTAGTCCCGAAATGACCTAGTTTGTGTCAAGTGGACGTTAAACCCCATTTCTCTCTCTCTCTCTCTCTCTCTGAAAGTCAAACAGTGTTAGTTTTATGAACCTATTTGAAAGTTTTGTATTCTGAAATGAAATGAAATGGGGTTTATAACGTCCTACTGTTCTGCTCCTATGCTGGGCTAATGATGACGGACATACGCCATACAGTGTGCTATGAGGGAAATTTTGCCCGGCCAGCAGCACTATCGCCTACTCTTATATCGAATTCCAACTGCCATGGGATCTTTTACGTGCATTCCAATGTATACAGGGGGAACAAGGGGGAACCACGCCGGAAATCTGGATGAACTTTCTCGGCCAATGCAGGTATTGAACAGAGTTTTATTCAGATGATCTGTTGTGTAATTTAGTTTTGAATTGAAGATTGAAATTCAAAACAACATTATAATTTGTAATCCATTGGGCATAGAAAAATCAGACATTATGGTAGTAATATAACTAAATGAGACATATGGGCCACAAATTAAATCTATCTATAGATTTGAATATTATATTCCAGGACCTTTTATTTAAGAGGTATGTGTGTTTATAGTTAAGAAGTTTAGCTTTCAACTTGGTCTATATACACAATAACATTAAAACAAAACTACAGATAACACCAGAAAATTCAGTGCATTTCTAATAAGTTTTTTCCCCTGAAAATAAAGTAGGTTTTGAAGGTAAATATTCTGGAAAGTCAAACAAGGCATGTGTCATACCTTAAATGGGTATCATTAAACAAAGTTGTTGGTCACATATATCTTTTCTACATGTGTGAGAGAGAGAGTGACAGAGAGAGAGAGAGAGAGATGACCTTCTGAATAATATGCCAAGCACTTTGAAAGTCTGTACTCCATACTTATTATTATTATAGAAGGTGTAAGTAATGTGGAGACAAGTGTTGCTGATCAACGAGTCCTGGTTACATCTAACCTATCATCGGATATATTGTTAGAAACATTAAAAAAGACAGGAAAAGCCTGTTCTTATATTGGTACCAAGTGAATCTCATTTTATTATTTACCTACATTTGGTGGTAAGTAGACATATCATTTACATATCGACTCAATGGGGTTTAACGTTTTACTGTTCGGCTCCGACTGGGCTAATGAAGACAGGTATACGCCATGCAGTGTGCTTTGAGGGAAATTTTGCCTGGGCAGTGGCACTATGGCCTACTCTTACATGAAATTCCAACTGCCAAGGGATCTTTTACATGCATGTCAATGTGTACACTTGACCTTGTTTTTTTGTCCCATCCGAACGACTAGACATCTATCCTTGTTCTGCACCACTGCTGACAAGGAGAAACCATGTTGGAAAAGGCTCGGGCTAAATACGACAAGGATCAAAACACAACTCTGCATAAATTTAACTTTGTTTCTGTAGTCAACAACCTTTAAATTAGTATGTAACCTTCCCAGTGTGTTAGCATATCTGTATTGGGTACATTTACATTTTCTAATTGCTTAGATGTGCATTATTGAATAACTATTTGGATCCGGTGAATTCCAATAATGAATACCAGTACCTATAACATTAGAATACTGGTAGTAATAGCAATTTGTGTTTCATGAAATTCGGAAACAGAATCTGCAAACAGGATAATTCTATACCATCATGACTGTTCAAGTGTGTTTAATATGACCAACAACATTAAAATAAAAATATACTAACAAAATATTTATGTTTAATTTTTCAGATGCTGGTTACATTATTAACACTATCTGTATGTTATTAAGTTTCTATTTTACACATGTATTCACTGTCAATTGTAAACTACTTTTTAATTATTTCTAAAATTTACTTAGAAGCAACTCATTATAAAATATTTAGGATGTGTTGTCACTTTCATCTATAATAGAAATGTCATTTAAATATCCTAATAAAATAACTTGGATTCACCTTCACATCAACATCTGAGTACTGCTTAGAACAGATGAATGAACATCAACATCCATGATGGATACTTAATCTTCTTTGTTCTAAATTTAACCTAATAAAATTGATATTTTGTTATAAATCTGTTAATGGGACTTGAGATTTTGTGTCCATATAAATAACTACATAGATATGTTTAATTCATTCTCTATTATAGCTAATATGTTTCATATCATCCTTAGAATAAACAGATTAGTAAAAAAACATGTTTTATTTTTACACAAGTTCTTTTGGTTTAAAATATTGAAATGAATTTGCCAAATCATTTAATAGTCAGTTTGCACAGTCTTATCATTTATTTGCTTTGGAAGTTTTTTTTTTACTGCCTTCGCCCTTCGGGGGTTGTTTTTGGTCACCTTGTGAGTTTCCCCTTGTTGTGACCAAAGCCATATTATTTCAGATACTTGTAGTTTGCTTTGCAATGCCAATGAAACATAGCCCACAGCAACCAAGCAGTCCATATAGGTTGATAATAGAGGGATGCTAAATAAGGGAAAAGGTATGCACATGAATATTCATTGTTTAATTAGTCTTTTATTATAGGTTGTCTCCATGACTACACCCATAACAATCTCCCCTCACTGGCTGCACGCGTGTTAAATAATCAGCTGTCTATAAGTCAATAGTGCATTAATGTGCACACTGGAACTCAGTTTTTCATCCCATCCGAATGAATGTATGTTGTCCCTGACAAAGGAGAACCACACCAGAAAATCCTGATAAACTTTCTCGGCCAACTCAGGGATCGAACACGGGACCACTAGGTTAGCGAGCCAACGTCCTACTTACTGAGCTACCATGGCTCCATCCTAGTCAACTTTCCAATTTTAAACTACACTTTTGCCATGCTCTTTGTGTTTGTCTGTATTGTCAATGACCAACAAAATTTATATTTTGACAAATTATAATATATTTATTCTGCGTAGTTTAAGCCACAATTGTAATATTTTTAAATACAAAGGGAGGAAATGTAAGTAGGCCTACATGTAAAATAACAATTGTTATATATATATATATATATTATCACAATAATGTTAATATAACCATACATCTATACTTCAGTTTTAAACTGATTTAAAGGGCTAAAAACTGGCAACCACTTCCATTTATCATCATTTTACCAAAATCCATCAATTTATGCAAAATGTACAAATCATTCAACACGTGGTTTAAAGAGACACTTTGCTTGGAAAATATTTTCATACTTCCCATAAAATATTTATTAAATTAGAATTAATGTATTTATTTCCATCTTATGTTAGTATTTAAGATAGGTTTTTGTTTTTTTTTCAAATTGTCTCTTTAAGGTTATCTAGCTTGTTTATAGAGATCCACTTGTAATTCAATCTCATTAAAATACAGATCTATATTTCTTTTTGTTTTTTTATACTTCTGATGGCCTACATGAAGATCTGACCAGTTATTGTGGAAGGTTGCATCAGCGATCACATGAGCGGCTTCTGACCCTATGATGTCAGACAGTTGATTAATCAATCAGCGTTGATGTTTCTAGTGGGTTACCTACAGTTCTGGGCACTTCACGCCAAAAACTCGCCATAACAGACCGTTTCATCCAGAACATGGGTTATATAATGACCCTTCCAGATCCTAGTGTTGTAAAGACAAGTACTATAATAAATGAAATGAAATAGGATCTGTGTTTTAATGAGATTGTGTTTATAGAGATCAACAGGTATAAAATACACAGTACAACATGTCACTGTATATCACAGTACAACATGTCACTGTATATCACAGTACAACATGTCACTGTATATCACAGTACAACATGTCACTGTATATCACACGGTCACAAATAATACTATTAAAATACCAAACAGGCTTTTTAAGCACAAAAATAACACATTTTCTACAACAGAAAAAACTTTTTGAAGAAACAACCCAATATTTATTGAAATGCCATGAAACATTTCAGCTATTTACCTCATTCATCTATTTAACTACTTGAAAGACATTTCCTATCTCAATGCCTTAAAGCACATTATTTCATACATTTTAACCCAATAATCCTGGACTCAGTAAGGATGATGATATATTTAAGAAACTGTCCTATTTCCCACTTCCAATGTCTTAAAGAAACTACCACTGTGTTTGAATTGTAGATTCAGTTTGATACAATTGAACATGTTTTTTTTTTAGCACTATGTCAAGATAAGTATTTTATATAGCACTAGATATAGATTAAATACATGAAAGAAAAGAATAAATTAAGTAGCATACTAGAATTATCACCACCAACATCAATAATCAAAGCAATAATTCAAATATTCTCATGAACATTTATAATTTAAATAAGATGTTTTCCTTCTTGATTTGGGAAATTCTACATCGGCATATGATAATAGATGATTAAGAACAATTATCCATTGATATATATGTACGGTATGTAGAACCACATTATCAATGATCCTGTCTGTGTCTTTATTAGCCAGCCTCAAGACTCAGAATTTAAACAATTATTTTTAAAAACCAATCATGTTTGAATTTAAATTTTGCCATTTTGTAGTCAGAAAAGGTTTGGATTTATACACTGAGTTTTAACAACACTATTTATTATGTATATTCAGTATTGATCTTCTCTAATTTACCCACATACCTTTTTTTTAAAACTTTGACAGTTAGTAAACTGGGTTAGATTTTATGGTCCCCTGTATAACAAAGTCTTCATTTAGAAAATGCATCTAGTATAGTCTCTATCATCCAGAACATTATTCTAAGAATGTCCTCTGTACGTTGAAGATTAGGAGGTTCTGGGTGACCGAGACTAGTATAATATACATGAAAAGCACTTTTACAAAATATAATAAACACTGTCAAACCTACCTTTTCTAAAACACATTTTAGTCTCCATTTTAGTTTTAAAATCATTGATATTATATTTAAAGGTCACCGAAAAAGCTTCAAATTTTTTTTTAAATAATGCAAGTAATTATGTCAACATATCCTTTCCATAATTATAACACAAACCTGAATGTCGTGTTATACTTATGGAAAAGATATGTTGACTTATGAAGCTTTTCTGGTGACCTTTAATTTCATTATTTTATTTTTACCCCCAAATGAGATGGTTTATCATGCTTTAGAAAAGAGCTCTTCATAAATAGTTACCTTGCTAATGTTTAGATTCACAGACTAGAATTTAAACTGCTAACCCTTTCAATACATCTATTAAAAAAGTTAATGGAATATAAATAAACTTATACATTTAAATATATAAAACATCACAGTATATTATAATTGATATAGATATATTTACATACCAGCAATATAATATATAATATAATATATAATAAACATACTTGTATACAAAGACAAAATATCACTCTTACAAATAATATACACAATAAAAACATATTTATCAAATTAAAAGTCTTATTTATACAGATTCCAGGTATTACAACCCATACATTTGACATGGTGAAGATGATACACATTAAGCAACTTAAATACCATATAATAATATTACTGCACACCAGAAAATATGTCTCAATATTCTAATTAACAATCAAGACAAAAACAAGACGGTGCACTTAGCAGTAAAAGTTTAAAAATCATTCTCAATGAAAAATTTGCAATTACGTATGATTTTTATACTTAAATTGTTTAGAGAAATCCACAGTAAATGGTAAACATACACTTTCAGAATATACACAATCAAAAGCATTTTGGTCCAGAAATAATTAAAATTGATCAATACCAAGGTCCATATTACTTTCTATTGATTTCACACTGAATAGATTATTTCTCTGTAATCAGATTTTAATTTTATAGATTTTGTAAACTACAATAATAGACCTTCCAGTTTACTAAATGTCATTGTGCTTGATAACGATAAGAGAATACTTATGGAAACGTCATGCTTGTGTATAATAAACCAGTGATCGTTGTCCCATATAACTGTGTTAGTTCTGTAATGTTTCCAATCGCTAAATGCCACTAAAGGATTACATATTATGAAACTTGGATCTTTAATAGCTGTATTAGTCTAAAAATAATGGTTCAATTGTGGTCAGTGTAAATTTAGCTACATTCAACATCCTCTTCCAATGATATAAACATGCCAGGGCCATATATAAAATCGTTAGGTGAGCCTCATTTAAATTCAATTAAATTCAAGCCCTGAGATTTTGGTTTTGGTTTCTTAATGAAATACTAAATAATCCATTTGATTATATTAGATATTCTCTGAAAAATACAAATGGTATCGGCAGCTTTAAATGTCTCAAAAATATGTTAGGCCTTTTTTTGTCTCTCTTTCTTACTCTGCTAGAAATAAACTGGAAAGAAAAAAGAGGAATACCTGCAAAGTAAGCCTACCCTACAATGAAGGCCTGAAAATATAAATACCTGCAAAGTAGGCCTACTCTACAATGAAGGCCTGAAAATAGCATTTTTACTTTTTTCATAAAAACAAAATACATTTAACTTGGTAACCCGGTAACACATGGTAACACATGGTAACACATGGTCCTGTAAACTTTTCATAAAGATCTTTTGAATTATATATTTTAGGAATTAACATAACAAACATGGTCATGAAAACTGTTCATTAAGATCTTTTAAATTACATATTTTACAGGTAAGATATTATAAGCTTTACAATATATATGAAGCAAACCGGTTAAATTGTTGAGTAGTTGCTGAGTGGAATTAATATAAGTAATACATGTATAAAATAAAACTCTATCTACAAATAAATAAAACAAAAATATATTGGTCTTATTCTAGAATTGGTCAATAAATAATCAGATATTTTATACAATACTATATTTGGAGTTTTTGTTTCTGAATTTAAACTGGAATATTTCCATACCCTGGATGAATCTGACTGTAAGAAGCCATATCTCATCATAATATCATGGTATGATTTGTGTTAAATATTAAATTAATCTTTGAGACAGGTGAAAACTTTTGTCATAGATACATATGTGAGGTAATAAACAAAAGCTTTTAATATCTGAGAAATAAATGTTGAGATTTGGGCATTACCCTGACATTTATATCCAAATGAAAAAAAAATCTCAACATTCAAATTTGTTCTTCTTCTTTACTTCAATATAAGAAAAAACACCAAATTTGACCAATTTTTTCTCAATGTACAATATTTCTGGATTGATGATTGGAAATTACAAGTTATTTGTTTGAGTTAACCCTTTCAATGCTAGACGTAAATCCACTGCCTGTG